ATTTGGGGGCCCAGGGCCTCCTGCCTGCCCCCGATGCCCTAGGCCGCTACCTAGGTACGGAGGGGCACCTCGCCGCGGGGCCCGCAGGGCTCCTCCCTCCCATCGAATTGCCCTGTTGACGGGCGGGCGATAGCTGCAGCACGCCCGTTGATTACTGTGTCGTGCCGTGCATTCCTGGTTCCAGTGGAGGACAGCACAGGGCAACAACTGGAACCTGGAGGGCCGGCTCGGTGGGGGATTCGAGCGCAGCATCCCGCTCACACCCCCAGACTCCTCCTCCAAGCCCGCCCACTCTCCCCTCTATCCCGGATATCAACACGCAGCGCTGGGCCTCACCCCCCTCTTCAAGTCCCCGCCTACTTCCGCCAGCTTCCGCCTCGTCGAGGTTCAGCGTGCCGGCCAATGCGACCGAGGACGCGCCGCTTCGGCACAGACGAACCCTGTCCCTGCCGTCAGTTCGCCGTCCCTTGCGGATCGGGCCCCGGGCCAGGCCACAGCGTCCGCCCACAGCGTCCACCACATCACACCACCAGAGCGAGGCCTCGTGACCATCACGGGCCACTGCACCGCCGATGCAGCGCAGCGCGTTGGACGCTTGTCGTGTGCAAACAACTGGAGGCGTCGGTGCGACGGCGAACAGTCGCTCGCCTGCGACTGAAGCTCGCCCAACGAAGGGCCGAGGCGGTGCGCGCCCGGTGCCGGAGGAAACCATTGCGGCGCTTGAGCATGTCTCTGATGCAAGAGAGACCTGCAGAAGCCCTCTGAGCGCGACAAGCCGAAAGCCACTTACTAACCCGTGCTCGAGGGCAAAAGAGAAGCGACGAGCCTGCTCGCACAGCAGATGCTAGACCCAAAAGAAACGCCGTCCTTCGATGCCGCGGGTGGCTCCCATGGCTCCCCCGGCAGCCCATTGCGAACAAGTCCGGGGCTGGCCAATCGGGCCATTGACAGTCGACGGACAGACCGCGATCTCCCTTTGTCGCGGAATGCGTAAAGATGGTTTCCCATTGTGGCTTTAGCCACCGATGATTGGTGACGCGAGCGCAAACCCAGGTTTCGCCATGGACTCATTATGCAGCGCAGAGCGATACTGTACCAGTGTACTTGCAGCACGTCCCTCGACAGAGTTTAACGCAACTCCGCGGACGCCGCATGAGGCACTGCAGGAATGCGCCCAAGCACCGCGGCATGGCCCTGTTTAGTCGGCAGGGCTTATCTGGCGGGTGCACGGGTTCCGAGCCTTCTGCGATCGCGTCGAGACGGCGGGGCGCGGGGGTCACTCGACGCGACGCTTTGCGATGGCAACCACCAATGAGGCTCTGGACAATCATGCATGGACGATGGATTGCATTGCCGCATTGGAACGACTCAAACCGCAAACGACGACGACGGCTTGTCTGTCTTTTGCACTCGAAAACGTAATGATACTCTACTCGTCTCGGCAATTGCGTCGTCCATGTGACCGGCCTCGCTCGGGACCTCTCGGTGAGCCAACAGTAAGTAGGCCGACGCATCGCAACCAAGGTCTGCCCCTGCATGCGGGCACCGCGACTTGGACGCACCCGGGTCTCTGTACAGGTACGCGAAGCCGCTCGTCAAGGACAACCCGGACGGCCAGCGTCGACGGCAGAGCCTCGTTGCTGCAACGTGCCCATGGTGCGAGACAGGCGTGGGTATTGCCGGCGTTGGGATTAGGTAAAACTTTGGCGGTGCTCTCCAGTCAGAAAATTTTGAGGCCATTTTATTTCTCATCCACCTTACGAACACCTTCTCCAACTGATTTGCCCACTGGCCGCCGTTCACCCACGTTCCCTCCAGCCCCCCCGCGAGGCACAAGTCGGCACCTTCGTGGCGCCTCGAGGTCACCAGACTCGCCCGCCCCGTCGCCGGATGGTCTTCAGGGCCTGCACGGGCGGCCCGCATCGCCCGCTTTTTCGCTGCCAACGGACGCTGGCCCAGGACCGCCGCGACGACTATTGACGAGACCACGGCCGAGTTCCAGTTTTGGTTCCATCGTCGAGTCGACTGGAGCGAGGCTAGCCGTGTCACGCGGAGAGCAGATATCTCTTGCGCCCGGCGACACGACCCACCGGATCGCTGGATGAGCTGCGCGGTTGCCCGAGCTCGACTGTCATCAACCTTTTTGAGTCCAGTCTGTATCCACAGGTCCGGCCTCGCGCAGTACTTCCTACTATCGTCGGCTCCGACCGTCGTGGCCCAAGCCCCGGTCTCCGCCCACGGATGGCGTTACTATGGACCAGCCACTTGATACAGGACATTGCAGCACCACACTTGCACAGCGCTCGAGCCGGTCCATCGCGCGCATCTCACACCAGTGCAACTAATAATTACCACCTCCCCGCTATGGAACCCGTGGCACGTAGCCCCGCGTCGGTTGATGCAGCCAAATCAGCCAAATCAGGCCCGCGGCAGGGCATCCCGAACTGGCCAAGATCTGGAGACCCCGGATGTTTTGCTGAGCAGTGAGGAGAAGGAGCCATTGAAGTCTTGAAAGCGGCCGGAGCTTGACATGACTGCAATGCCACATAAAGTCGCATCCGAGCAGCGCGTCCGCCCTACGATGATGTCTTTGCTTGCCCAGCTGACCGTACAGAACGACGTATGGTCTTATCAGACGATGGCCATGGCGTCATTCACCCTACAATGTACGAAGCACGCGTACGCGGTTCGTCGCTGGTGTCACAATCTCCCGTCGCAGTTGCGAATTGGACCCCTTGTTTGCCCTCCCTGCAACCGCAGGCCCAGGGGCAGGGCAGGGCACGCTAGGCCTGCGTGGAACCAATTTTAGATTTGCGGGGGAGACAGACGTCTGGAGGGCGATCGGAAGTTCGAACGCAGCAGCGTCCTGAGCTTCTCACAGCCTGAGTGCTCCTTATCAGGAACCTCCAGCTTGGGCCGCCCCCTGACTTCCACGCTCCCCCAGGCTCCGGCACCTGCCTCGCTCGGACATGGAGAGGCTGGGGTGGAAATTGGCACGGCCGCAAGGGCGCAGGACGAGGCGGGCAGCTGACTTGCAGACGGGCGAAGGATGCGACGTGCGCCGCGATGATATGGGTACGAAGTACATTGCAGTGATTATCATGCGCCGCCGCCGCTCGGAACCCCACGATCCTCGCCCTCTCGTCACACCGCAGATGGCTCCGCTGATCCCATTGAGGGCTAGGTCCAGCTGCCGGTGCTTGCTTTTGGCGATGTGAATGTGTCGGGCAAGTACATAATACTACAGTGCTGCTTTGGCCGTGCCGCCTTGTATCGGATGAGGCACGGAACTACCATGATACAACTCCAGGACGCCGACCTCGGAGCTGACGGTCCGCTCTACCACATCTCGTCGCGAGCTTCGAACCAAACGGCGAGTCACCAAAGAGTAGTCAAAGCGTTGTTCTCGCCTGTCGAGTTGACACTTGACGTTGACACTTGACGCGCCCCAGGATTCCCCAGACGGGCTCAACACTCCACGTCCCCCGGAGCGAGCAGGGGGATTCACGGCTGCCCGTCCGCCCCGGATTGCTGATTCCAGCCCGTCGGCCCCATCATGTCGAGATCATCCAATGGCAGTCTCTCCATCCACGTCTGACCAGGCCCCGACTCGGCCACCGCGCCAGCAGTGTGGCTATGCGCCAAGGAGATGTCAAGATAACGCTTTTCGAAACCAGTTAGCACGCTGATGTGTGTGCACGCACCCCTTCTGCCTCGAGGGAGATACGGCGTTTGTGTGTACATACCCAGTCCATGGTTTCGGCCGACATCCACGGCACGTCAAACTCCGGGCTGGTCGGGAACTCGCCCGGCACGGGGTTCACGCCCGCCATGGTCATGTTCATAGATGCCTCCTGGGGCCGTTGGTCGAAGGACGAAAAGGGCGAGGGCCCGGACGCCCCTGAGCCAGTCCCCGAGGCAGACTCTGTACAATTCTCTTGTCAGCATATGACATCTATTAGTCGTGGACAGGCAGCCGTCGGGCGTACCTAGGCTTGACAGAAGTTCAGACCCGCTGATAGAGTGAGAGGACGACTTGGCGCCGGCTAGGCCCCAGTTGAATGGCTCTGTAGAGCCTGATCCTCCCATGGACGGATACGCAGCGTCGGGGAAGTCGGCGTGCCGGTCGACAGACGTTCCCAGCCTGGCCAGAATCGTGGCAAGCGTGTCGGCTGTCTTGCGGAGCTCCTCTCTCTCGGTTGCCACCTCCGACCAGATGGCGTGAGAGCGCTTGAGGACGAATTTGAGATCCTCTTTTGTAGGCAGCGGCTGGTCGTCCTTTACCCAATGACTCTTACCCTCGGCGTTGTACCCGTCATGCTTGATGACCATATATACGATTACGGCGGCGAGTAGAAAGTCGTGAATGGCGAGAGATGAGACAAACCAGCCGTTCTGGCTGAGCACGTTACCCGGCTTGCACGATTTCCAGATGACGTGCTGGTAGCTGAGCAGGCTGAGGGCGCCGTCGAAGCACTGCTGCCGCGAGTAGTCGTGCTCCGGGTTGAGATCCAACTCGGCGATGAACCGCCTGTGGAGCACGCACCGGCACTTGTTATAGACGGCGGCGAGGCCGAACCGCTGAATGATGAGGTGGGGAGAGTCGCCGATGCATTCCTCCAGGGGCTTGACACGCATGAAGGTCGGCAGTTCTTTCCACGTCTTCTGCAGGAGGCCATCGATTCTCATGACCTCGACGTAGGCCGGCGGCGTGAGCGCGTGCGCCAGCCGCGCAATCTGCCCAAAGACCCTGAGGATCTTCGTCTTGTGAATCGGGTACGTCATGAGCGTGTGGTCCGTATCGGGACGTCCCGGGGGCAGGAAGGCCGAATCCTCGTCGAAGTCGTCATCCTGCAGGTTCCGCGGCACCGCCGTGTCCGTCTCGACGCCCTGGAGCATGCTCGGCAGGCCCATGTGAAAGGCGACGAGCGACTCGATCTGCATGGCCAGGTTCCACATCCTGCGCCGCATCTCACCCTCAAAGGGGGAAATATCCGCCAACCTGCTGGGGTCCCGGTGCAAGCCCATCTTGAACATGAGACGGAGTCCCACGCCGCTGAGGATGTAGCAGTTCATCTGCGCGGCGCGGTTGAACATGAAGTGCGACTCGACGTAGAGGATGAAGGCGGTCAGCGTCTCGAAGCTGGGCTGCGCGTACTTTCCCCAGATGAGGGCCCATCCCGCGCAGGACCGGTACTGCTTGATGCGGTCCTGCACGGGCAGCGGGGAGTCGGCGGAGAGCTCGTGCGGGGCGGCGTAGTTGTTGAAGAAGACGCCGAGGGCGAGGACCATGTAGAGTAGGGCGATCCAGTGGAGCGAGGCAGAGTTGGGATCTTGCCAGAAGCGGGTATACTGTGCACGTCAGCGATTAAATGCCAGGGATTCACAACGTTGAGGCGCCGTACTGCTCTGGTGAACGTAGGTCGGTGAACGACATCTATAGGGAGTTAGCTGAGACCATGATGAGACGGCTCTTTTAGAAAGCTCACGCTGTGACGGGCTCATGGCAGAAAAGTATCGAGTTATGAGGCGGTCTGCAACATGTCGTTCCGGCAGCTGAGTGAGCAACTCATCTCGGTCCCCGGGTCCCCCGGCCGACCAGAGGAGCATCTCTGGAGCATCCAGCTCATCTGTCGGAGACGTCTCGTCGTCAGCCCCAGCTTCATCCTGAAAATACGTCTTCAAGTCTTCGATCTGGACTCATATTAGCACACCAAGCTCCCTTTGGTGAAAATCCTTGAGAAACTCACGTCCTCCAACATCGCCATGCAATGCGTGGCGCCCACGTACGTCGTCCCCCTCCCGCCGTGAACCACATTGCCCTTGACGGCCGGCGTGTCCCCCTCAGCCTCGCCCCCCGGCCTGGCCTCGCCGCTCTCGTCCAGCATGTTGCGCACCATGCCTTCGAGACGCTGCAGCCGCGCCGACATGCCGCGCCGCGGGGGCCGCTTCTTGACCGGCCGGGGCGCGTAGACGCACAGCTCCGGGCGGCTCTTCTTGGCGCACTGGCTGCATGGCTGGAGGCGGTCGCACTTGAGCTTGGAGGCGCGGCAGGGGCCGCACGAGAGGAGCACGCGCGTGCGCTTGGCGGGATGCGCGGGTTGCGCTTGTGCTTGTGTTTGTGCTTGAGAGTGAGGGTGAGGCGGGGGTTGAGGCGGCTTGTCGGGGGCGGAGACGTCGCTCGGGCTGGACTCGTTCATTGGGGTTGCACGGCCGGGGCTGTGATGTCGGCTTGGTGTTGAGGTGGAATCTGGGTGAGTGGGATTGGCGTCGATGCTGGGATTGACGGGTTTCAGAATAAGTCGTAATAAAGAAGGTTCATGAGAAGCATTGGATGTTCCTGTTCAGCTTATGCTTATGTGTCGTGGGTTCAGCCGCCTGCCACACCTTGCTCCATTGAGGTCAGTGTCAGTGAGTGTCGGTGTTAGGCGCTAAACTCCAGTGCCATCGCGAACTACTACTACAGCACGCCACCGCATCCACGACAGAACGCAGCATCGTTGCCATCAAAACACAAAGTCGCTTATATTTGGTAAATGCAGATTCTATGAGTCCGGAGCCCCCGGCAACCTCTCAATCACGTACTTCCCCCTCGCGACGCTCATGAGCGGCACGCCGGGAATCTTGCGTAACCGCTGCTTGAGCGCCTTGTCGTTGGTCCCCACGATGTATATCCTATTCTTGCTGACCCTGTCCACGAGGCAGTCGTCGGCGTAGACGCCCTTGTGGTCGCACTGGAGGCGCTGCCACCGCTCGTCCCTGGCCACCCGCAGCGCGAGGCGGTACTTGGGCCCCAGCTTCTCCAGCTCGGCCATGACGCACGACGTGATGATGGGGTTGCACTTGGCGTAGAGGCAGTCCATCATGGACTCGAGCAGCGAGAGCTTGCGCTGCACCGTGTGCGAGAGGAAGTTGGTGTCGACGAGGACGTTGTACGGCGGCACGAGCGCCGTGTTGTGCTGGAAGAACATGTTGCTCGGCATCTGCGGCGCCTCGCGCACGAGCTCGCCGTCGGCCGTCTTCTTGGCCTTGGCCTTGGCCTCGAGCTCCGCCTTCTCCTTGTTCGCTTTCAGTCGGGCATCGCGCTGGCCGATTAACCGCTTGACCTGCCTTGGTGGTCAGCCGCCCGCACTCTTTCGTCTTCCAAACATGCCGTTTCGCTTTCTCGAGGCCATCGCCGCCGCCGGGCTTATCGATAAGCTTACCTGTCCGAATTTTCTCGTCTTCTTCGCCACACCCATGGCGCCGGTGCGTGAGAACGCGTGCTGTTCGCTTCCAGGAGAGGGTTTGTTCGGCGGGGAGGCAAGGCCGTGCGATGCGCTCGTCGTGTGTTGTGATAATTCGACAAGGATTGGGGCTGATGGGTTGATTGTCTTCGTCTCGCTGCGCGGGCAGAAAAAAGTTGGCGCCAGTGACATTTCTGCCACCACCACCAAAGGCGGTGGCGGTCTGGCGCACGGACCACATGAAAGTGCGGGACCGCCGCCAACCGTCTGCCGCCTGTCCAGACGCGTCTTCCAGGGCGCGTAAAGTGATCGCCAGCTTCATCAGTTCTTCACCACCCCCCGTCGCCGCCACCATGCCCGCAGCCAAGGCCGAAGTAAAGGGCGAGTCCTCGACGGCCGCGTCCAAGGCGGCGCTCGCTGCCTCGTCCAATGGCTCAACCAACTATGAGCTGCCATGGTACGGCACGCATTCACGCCCGCCCGCGTGAATCCTCACTGACTGGCGACAGGGTCGAAAAGTACCGGCCTGTATTCCTCGACGATGTGGTCGGCAACACAGAGACGATTGAGCGGTTAAAAATCATCGCCCGCGAGGGCAACATGCCTCACGTCATCATCTCGGGCATGCCCGGCATCGGCAAGACGACCAGTGTCCTGTGTTTGGCGCGGCAGCTGCTCGGAGAGTCGTACAAGGAGGCCGTGCTGGAGCTCAATGCCAGTGACGAGCGAGGTGCGCTCATTCGGCCGTGGTTGATTGGATTGTACTAACATTATTCCAGGCATTGACGTTGTTCGAAATCGCATCAAGGGGTTCGCGCAAAAGAAGGTCACGCTCCCCGCCGGTCGACATAAGCTCGTGATTCTCGACGAAGCCGACAGCATGACGTCGGGCGCGCAGCAGGCGCTGCGAAGAACAATGGAAATCTACTCCAACACGACAAGATTCGCGTTCGCCTGCAACCAGTCCAACAAGATCATCGAGCCGCTGCAATCGCGATGCGCCATCCTCCGATACGCAAAGCTCACGGACGCGCAGGTCGTCAAGCGGCTGATGCAGATCATCGAGGCCGAAAAGGTCGAGTACAGCGACGATGGCCTGGCGGCCCTCGTCTTCAGCGCCGAGGGCGACATGCGGCAGGCCATCAACAACCTGCAGTCGACGTATGCGGGTTTCGGCTTCGTCTCCGGCGACAACGTCTTCAAGGTGGTGGACTCACCGCACCCGATCAAGGTGCAGGCCATGCTCAAGGCGTGCTACGAGGGCAACGTGGACTCGGCGCTGGACACGCTGCGGGAGCTGTGGGACCTCGGGTACTCGAGCCACGACATCATCAGTACCATGTTCAAGGTGACCAAGACGATCCCCACGCTGAGCGAGCACTCGAAGCTCGAGTTCATCAAGGAGATTGGCTTCACGCACATGAAGATTCTTGAGGGCGTCCAGACGCTGCTCCAGCTGAGCGGATGCGTCGTGAGGCTGTGCAAGATCAACATGGACCCGAAAAAGTTTGTCGTGCCGACGAAATAAAGGCGCGGACGGTGGCAAGCGGCTGCATGTTTTGGCGTTGGAGTTGGCAAGGGACCTCCCAGAAATCTGCGTACTGGCGTGTACATCTATCCTCGAGATGTCGGTATCATTTTCGGGCGCGATGGCCCGACTGCATGATGAATAATGTTACATGTCTGCGTCCTCTCACGTCCTCACTTCACTTGTCGTTCTTCTCCGAGAACTCCTGCTCGAAGCGCTCCCACTTGGCCTTTTCCCTGAGCCACCGCCTCTGCATCCTCATCTGGTACTCGTACTGCCTCAGCCGCCAGTCCGCCTCGATCATGCCGCCGACAACCATGCCGGACATCTGTAGGTATCTGCGCACGTGAGCATACGGCGCATGCGCCTGGAAGGGAGCGATAACAACCTACACTTTGAACTGAATCGTCGTGTTGCGATAGATGGGTGACCAGACGTATCCAATCGCTCCCAATATAGCTGCGCCAGCTCCCCATTTCGCGGCGCCGATGAGCGCGCCCTTGCCGGCCTCCCACGCGGCGGCGTTGGCTTCCTCGTCCTTGACAGCGCCGTGGGTCTTCATGGCGGAATGGAAGACGTCACAATCCTGTTGCTAATGCTCAAGCGCGTCTGAGATGCGTCGCCGTCCGACGGCAACTCGTATATACAGGTCGTTTGCCGCAAGCTCATTCAAAAAGCCATCGGGATGAGTTTTTGTCCCTCGTATGAAGGCAGGCGAGCGAGGGATTGTCGTACGAGCAGGGATCTTGTGTCGCCGAAGTCTCCGTCATGGAGAATTCGCGGTTCGCGGCTTCACGGCCTGGGTGCAGGGTAGTCCGGCTCCGCTAACCGCGACGGGATGGCACGGCGCGGCACCTCATCAGGCGGCACCTCAGGCAGAGCTCCCCGTCCAGCTCCCAGGGAGCAGCGACAGAAGGGGGTGTTACGGGACCCCACCGCACCCCGCTAGGGAGCTCCAGCCCCCCTACAGGCATAATAGTGGAGGTTTCCAGTCCCCGAACGCCGATTTTATCTGCTCTGGCTGGACACGCTGCAAAACTCTTTCCTCCTCTGATTGCTTGCCTCGTGTGTTTTGTGGCCACTTCTTCCTTTCGCGAAGATGACACGACAACACCGACGGTGACCACGCAAGCTCCCGTTGCCTGGTGTTGTCCGAACATATACATTGCTTTCGAACCAGCTGGCCAGCTGTTCAGGAATTGATTTTTTTTTCTTTCTCTCCTCTTGCGTCTGCCCTTTTCTCTGCCAGCATCACATAGTTGTGCGTGCGCGCTGCTTTGGACCTCCGCCCAAAACCGGCACCATGGCGGACCTGTCCCTGGATAGCTACTGGCAGCTCCCGCCCCTGTCCAGGTAAGAATCTCTTCACGTCTTTCTCGCGCCGAGGCCCAATTGCTAACGAGCGTTGCCTTTAGGACACTGGCGACTGCTACCTTTGGCATCTCCCTTGCTGTACACACCGGCCTCCTCCCTGGCTGGTGGTTCGTCTGGGCTCCGCGCTTCCTGTGGATGTTCCCGCCCCAGATATGGCGCTTCGCGACCGCGTTCCTCATTACGGGACCCAATCTCGGTCTGCTCTTTGACACATACTTCCTCTACTCGTACCTGAGCCAGCTGGAGATTGGCAACCCGCGGTTCCCCCGCAAGGAGGACCTCATCTGGTACCTGATGTTCGTCGGCGGAACCATCATGGTAAGCTCACAATGCCTGCGCACAGCCTCCTCCTCCTCCGTCTGTGCCTCCGTGTTTCCGTATCTCCCGAGCCCATCATATGCATGTTCTTCTTTTTTCCTGTCCAAAAACACCTCATATATCTGCCCGGATAGTGTTATGCCTCTACTACTATCACGGTTCCTGGAAATGAGGAAGAGTACCCCTGCACTTCGCGCCGGCCCATCATTCGCAAATCAGGGCTGGTGTCGCGGTGTAGGCATGGTGGGATGTCTTATGGATGGCTCGTGTGATTCCCAATTCACTCGGGTGGTTTTTATAGCTCCCTACATTTCTTCACCTCTCGCACAACTTGTTCCTACTGCACACGCACATGTTGCCTTGTCGTAGAGAAGTTTGAGGCTGACTCCTCGACTTCAGACTATCAACTACCTGACCGGCTTCGGCTTCGTTACCTTCCTCCAGGCCCTCGTAGTGGCCATCTGCTACACCGTGACCCAGGACCAGCGCGGCATGAAAGTCAGCTACATGTTCATCACCATCCCCGCCCAGCTCATGCCCTACGCCATGATTCTCATCAACCTGCTCTTCCCGGGCGGTGTCATGAACATGATCTTGCAGGCCCAGGGGCTCGTTGCCGGGCACTTGTTCGAGTTTCTCACTCGAGTATGGCCTGAGTATGGTGGTGGCAGCAATCCCATCCCGACTCCCGCGGTGCTGTCGACGATTGTCCAGGCCACTGGAGCAGCGCAAGGAAGGGTCGCGGGTGCTGGTGGCGCTCGGCCGGCTGATCAAGCGTCCGGCCGCACCACAGGCGCCTCGAGGGGCCCGCTGCCCGACTCCTGGCGGACGCGGGGCCCGGGCCAGCGGCTGGGTTGATGATGGCAGAGTATAATGTACAGACTACGAGAGAGAGCATTCATAGCGAGAGAATGTATGATTGATGAAATTCACTAGCCGGAACGCCTGGCCTTTCCGACGCCTCAACCCAGTACTTATCTGTGACCCACAAATCCAGGCACCATGCCTTCGACGACACTGACCAACCTGGTATCTTTAATATCCATAGAGCGTACTCTTGCCGCTCCGCAGAGGCACTTCGCGATAATCGCCCTCGTAGTACATGATGTCTTGCTGCACAGTATCTGGGCGATCTGTGGCGATAATGACCGGCCCGCCAAGCGGTCTATCGTGGAACCGTTGTTCGCCTTGCCGGACTGGCTGTGATATTTGCATCTCATGGCCGCGATGGAACCCACCCGGAGTGACTGTCTCAGGCATGTTCGTCGTGGTAGACTTGCGCATCTTGGGTATGCGGAGCTTCGGGAGGGGTGGAAGGTGGATCGAAGGTATTATAGAAGATCGGCTGACACGGGTTTCCTGCTGCGGAGCTGGGGGAGGGGACTTAGTTGCCAGCCGGGCTGAGTCCTCAGCTGCGTTGAGGTACTGCTGCACAGCAAACGAGTCTGGTGTACTAGTCCTGTCTGGCTTGTGGATGGGCGCTGGAGGCGATGGGGGTCGGGCCTGGCTAGCCTGGCTAGTCTCGCTGGTGACTCGCGAAGTCAGAGGGCTTCTGTACGCGTGGTGCGCCGGTAGGGCGCTTGAGGAGGCTTGTTTGTAGAAGCGTGGGTCGGAGCCGTTGGCCAGCCGAGACGCCTGCATTTCGGCTTCCACCTGATCGTAATAGTCTCCCGAGTTCGTGTACGGCGGCGCAGCCTTGTCGCCGAACGCATTCCCGGTGAAGTACCGTCGCTGGGCGTTGGACATAAGGAGACCGCCACTTCGCGATCTGTAGGTCGCTGGAGAAGCAGAGCTGCTCCCGTAGTATCTGCGGTCCCAGTCGTCAAGAGTTCTCTCCCGGCGCCAATGGACCGTGAACAACGCGGCCGCCGCGAGGAACACGAGAACCACGCCAACGACGATGCCGGCGATGGCACTCGGGGACAAGCCGTTGCCACCGTCGTCCTTACTCTTGGCGGTGGGGTCGGTGATGTTTATGGCGGTGGTTGAGAAGACACTGCCGCTGATGCCGAGGATGCTGCCTTCTGCGGGATCCTGCTTGCACCCAGCTTCGAGTGCCGTCATGACTGAGGCGAGGTGTCAGTACGGAGGTACAGTAAGGCACAGGTTGGCACATACAGTTGGAGAGATATGCCTCCCCAGTCGTGGCTTGGAGGCAGCTGATGCAGGGAGAGAGATTCGAGCCCATGAAAGCTCCGTCGTGGGCGGTGCAAAACCCCAGGTACTCCTGAGGCACTGGCTTCACTCCACCGTCCGTCAAGGGAGCCTTCAGCGGTTTGCACGCCTGGTCGATGTTGCATGCGGAACCCGCGGTGCCGTTGGGTGGCGCCTCGGGCTCAGAGTACAGACAGGTAGTGAGGGTGTATCGAAGGTTGTCTAGGAAACCAGTCAGTCTCGAGGCGCGAAGGTCGTGCCCTATATGCAGGGCCAAATATACCATACATATGTACCACTTTAGGTCGGACTCGCCCTTGTCGAATTTGGTGCTGGTGCCCAAGCACTCTAGGCACTTCCTGAACTTGATGCCGGCGTCGGTAGTAGAGTAGTCGATGTCTTTGCAGCTGACGTCTTTTGGTGTGGTCGTCGAGTCTGAAGCCTTGAAGGGGTTTCCTTCTGGCGAGTCCACGCAGAAAGCGGCGCAATGCGAGCCAGGGGTAACCTCGAGAGCGACGATGACTCGCCCGAGGGCAAGCCAGAGGGGAATGGTAAACATCGACGGACGCCCCATCATGGGCAGCAAACTCAGCCGGAGGGGGATCTTTGGGACAACATGGTCCAGTCTTTCTAGATCAAAGACAGGAGTTTGCCTCGACTCAGGCCGCCACGAGGAGGAAAACCATCACCGTGGGCAAGAGACGAAGACCACCGGGACACAAAACAAAGGAATAAATCTCAGGCGCCTGGTCTGCAGCTCTACAAGTGGTTTTATGACGGCCAGTGCAATCTGTACGACAGTGATGGGGTGGGGGCCACGGCAGAGGGGGATGCAGGCCCATCGGCCGCAGATTCGCCAACGGGCGTCCTCAACGCCATGGGGGGCACAGGACGACTGCTGCTCGAGACCTTGTCGACCGGTTCTGCAAAGGAACCGGAGGGACCAACAAGACCCTAATTCGCATTAGCAGCCCAGTAGAAGCCCGAAAGCGACGCCAAAGGCAGGGAAGTCGGAGTGGCAGTCAGAGAGACAATGACACGAGGTGGTTCGCCCCGGCCGTGGCGGCCGAAGGGGCGGGAAGCGTTTAGACGCCGCCCAGGCAAGCCATTTCCCTGCCAGGCGGACCAATTGCGAGGCCGCAAAGGGCCGGGCTGCCGGTCGAGCAAGCGGGATCGCCTCCCTGGGCTGCGGAATGGCCTCACTGTGAGTGGCCTGGCGGACGCGGTCGTGTGCGAAAGAGGGCGAAGAAGGGCGAAGAGGTGGTGGTGGGTGTGGGGTGGCGGCGCAGACGGAGCCGTCAGGTCAGCCATCCATGTCGAAACGACGCGCCAAATGCCTGCCAGTCCGGCCCTGTCCCCAGCCGACAATGCTACCCTCCACTGCATCTGATGCCTCCGTTCTTGCCTGGCTGCGGAAACTCCATGTCACCCTCGCACAAGGTACCTCGTACGACAGACGGATCCGCTCAGATGTGCAGAAACCGTCCCAGCTACCTGACCAGGGCGCTTGTGCGGTGCGTCCTCTTGCTCCCCGATGCCCTTGCTCGAGCGGAGGGCGCGGTACTGAGACCGGCTCGGACAAGGCGCGCCATCACCGTCGAGGTACAAGTACGGGCGCCAGGTTGACTACCTTATCCCCGGCTGCGATTCGCGGCCCTGCACCTTCTTCATTTGCCTGCTCACATGCTCCGAGGAAGGAGGCACGGAGCCGTGTTGAGAAGCCAAGGAAGGGCCGCCTTGGAAAGAGCAAGCAACCGGTGAGCTGCCTTTTGGGTTGCGTGCCAGGCACGCCTTTCGATGTGCACTCTTCTCGACCCAGTCGCTCGCTCGCTCTTGCAGGGAAACACTGTGGGAGACCCCCTGACTCCAGAATCTCGACTCCTCAGGTGCCATGCAGCGGATCTTGGGCACCAGGCTGACCCAGCCACTGAACAAATCCAGCTCCTTCCTGCTCATACACGCCACTGAAGCTGAGAGCCAGGCACTATCATGTCCAGTTTGAGTAGCACGGCAGAGCCGTCTCGTGCTGCCCCAGTATCGCATACGCGTTTGGGGCCCTGTTCTGACGTTCAGCTGTGGAGATGTCGCGGGAACCACGCCATCGTCCCGTGGCTAGCGGCCCACTCACCACCCCACCAGCGCGGCTATCTGCCCCCGGATGTCTCCCCGCGCCAGCCGGGAACGGGCGATGAAGAACGCACGGGGCACGGAGTACGTAGCTGGTCGGGCATCGCTACCCGCTGGTCTGTGCTTGCCGAAACTGTGACGTTGATTCAAACCGAAGAGAAGCCTCCCGTAAGCCTCAGGGAAATGTGAGCTACTGATCCCAGTAATGGCTGTTCGATGTGGTGGACGTGGCGCACGGCGCAGTTCAGCCTGCGTAACAACCTCAGCAGCGAAAACAAGTTCCCAGTATACCATGCGGCTGGGCAGTTCGACCGGGGCAAAACAGAGAGAAGAAACAGTAATTCATGGCCCACGAAGTGCCGATATTGACAGTGGAGTATATAAAAGAGGCCCTCAACGAGGTCTTCAATCGCAACATTAAGGTTTTGCCCAGCAGAGAGAAACCCTCAAGGTGACGCCAAAACCCATCTGACCCGATCAACGAAGGCGACGATGTGGCAGAAGACATCGTATTCTTATTCAAAACAAATACTTATGAGGCTTCCCACATTACCAGTTTGCAATGCTAAAGCCGTATCATCGAAAAGTACCCGAAGGCAACCCGAAGAGGGGGCTTTGAACTCTACCCTTGAAGTCGCACAGAGCTTGACGCATGCAAGGACAGCCTTTTGTAGGCATTCGATGTCAACCCAGGCAGCAATACATTAGAAGAGGGATTGAGGTCAGAAGATTTCATGCTAAATGGGTCCCAAGGGGGCTGCTGATCTTTCTCTTGGTCTTGCGTGGCTGCTGGTCCTTGACCATTGGCGATGCGGGTGTACAGTCACAGAACGATCTGAGGCGGCGGGACGAGATTGTTGCGAACCATGCTCAGCAGTATTCGACACAGGCAGTATTGTAGTGCTCACGTATGAGCAGCAGAGCCGGATATTTCTTCGGTCACTGTTTGTCAAGAGATTGCCCTGAACTGGCTCGAATCACGCCAAGTACGGGGCCAGTTGCGGGAATGCGACGCTTCCGAAGCAGGCAAGGAGACACGCGCAATGACGTCCCGACCTCCTTATCAGTAGAGTTGGTCCGCGGAAGGCGCTTGCTTGCGGAGGAAGTTTCAGGGACGGCCACGCCTGATTGAGAAACATGCCACCGATCTTCCCCGTAAACACGTACTTCGTGTTGAGAGGCGCCCACAAGCGCCCGGCAAGCGCGATGCGGCTTGTAGTCCCAACCACGGTGAGCCAAGATGTCCACGATACACGTGGATGGCATCAGATGCGACCCTCGGCGCTTGTCCTAATCCTTGACGGAAGCCATGGCTGCGAGATGCCGAGGAGTCAAGCTCGTCCTGACCAACATGTCATATCGCCCGAACTTGCTCTAATGAGCCTCCCGCCTGGCGCGCTGTGCGACCGTGTTGGACACACATCTCTGGTGCTTGCTTGGCAAAGATCACCATCGATTGCGGGGTCACCAGATGTGACCTCTCGTATCGCCGTGCTTCCCTCGTTGAGATTCGCGGACGCAATGACCGTTTCCCCCTGACTCCTTGCTTGCCGTTAGCCGACAACTGCAGCGGCGTCCGTGGAGAAACAACTCGCGAGCTCCCGAGTGTCACCGGTCGGGCTGGTGGGAGACGGTGCTTGTGGTCTCTGCAGCCGCCCGAGGCATCCAAGCAAGGCAGAACATGCACGGCTTGTGCGCCCTGAGCGCCGCATGGAAGCTGGCCAGGCGAGTGACAATGTTTCATGGAGCGTACTTGGTGTGGCGGAGACTGGCGTGATTGGAGCCCAGTGCTGTTCGCGCCTGGATGCTGGCGAATGGCTGCTACGGCTACCCGCCGGAACCGCGTGGCTGGGACCAATAACCGCGACGGCTGGTGCGGCCGATGCGGCCTTTGCTGACTGACCGACACATTGGGCTCGTCAGGGGATTAGTTGCAGGCAGTGAGTGATCTGGCTGCTGGTGGACGGTGGTCTTGGTTGCCCTCTCGTCGTCCCCTCTGACCCGCGATGCCGCCCCCTTCTCACTGCTTGGATGTGTTGGTTGAGGAGAAACTGGTGGTGGAAACCAAGCAGGACGTATGAAGTAGGCAGGATTACGCGCCGGGTCTATCAAAGCGGTTCACAGGCATTTTGCTGTGAGGGTGATTGTGAGCTGCAATTGCCTAGCCCCGTTCTCGTTATATATATGTGTAAGTAGGGCTTCGGCCAGGCCGTCTTGGCTCAGGGCACATGGTCTGAAAAGGCCAGCTAGGACGGGTTGCTCTTGGAAAACCCCCCATGCCTTGGGAGGCTGGGGACCCGGGGCAATCGTTCAAAAGCCTCGGACTATACCCGAAGAAGCGGGAGGCGGCTCGGTGGAATCACCACGCCAGCATCTCAGCGTGAGCGTCGAGGCATGCTAGACAGATGCAAGCGAGGCAAGGTGACCACCAGAGATGCACACCTGCAGATGCTGTTGGCCCGTGTCCGGCAAGCTGAGTGGCTGCCGCGTTGTGCGACCTGCAAGGCCAACCGCGGTCAGGATAGTGCGCGCATCGCATCCATGCCCGCGCCTGTCAGTCAGGCCGCTGGGCGACTTCTCGAGTTGGATGCATCGTCCAACCTTGACAGAAAGGAGCGCGAATGTGCTGCGGACCCCAGCTGCGTCAGGGAGACGGGGCACGCCTTCAGGGCACCCGGCGGGCAGGGGAGCCCATCCCGCAGCGCCCGAGCCTGAGCCCGCCCAGACCAGCGCGTAACGCTGATCTGTGGTTGGCTTGGCCCCGCACCTTAGCGACCCCGGCCGTCCCCCACCTCTCAGCCTCCGAGCCGGGGGGGACGTCGTCCAACGCCATCAGATGCTCCCTCATGTCAACCGCCTCTCCTTGCCCTGGGCACCAACTCGGGAGAAGAAGGGCTTGCTTGCTGGACCGCATGCCTTCTCCGGCGGCTGTCTTCCCACGAGGAGCATCTGGCGCAGCCCATCACATCTCGGTCCTAAATTAGGACCAGCCCACTTCAGTGTCGCCTTATCTTCTTGTCGAACGCCACTCCTCCAAGTCCTCGCATTTCCTCTGCTACTCGTGTGTTACCAGTCCTGTCGTGATCGCTTCAGTTCAGCGTTTGGTTTTTATGTCTTGTTCGCTCGCGCGTCGGGTGCTCTTGTGAGACCTTGCGAAGCGCTTCGCTGCCAAGGCGCCCGGTGTAGCGCGCAGCTCCGAGGCCGAGGACGAGGAAAGGCACGCAGTCGCTCGGGTTGTCGCGTGTCGACGCTGGCTCTACGACTGTCACGATGCGGATCGCCTGCCTTCAGTTTGCTCCCCAGGTGGGAGACGTCGACAACAACTTGAATCGCGCCGACTCTGTCTTGTCGAAAGCGAATCCTGACGATTTGGATCTCCTCGTTTTACCCGAGCTGGCTTTCTCTGGTACGTTTTGCCTGGACGGACCCCTAACAAAGACCGCTCCCGAACCTCGTCACGGCCTTCCACTGTGCGGCCGGCACAAGGTACTGGGCTGATGCCTCTTCGCAGGGTACAACTTCAAATCGCTTCAGGATATCACGCCTTTCCTCGAACCCTCCGGCTCGGGCATCACATCTCTTTGGGCTCGGACGATAGCCCTCAAGTACAACTGCTTTGTGACGGTTGGATACCCAGAAAAGGTCGATGTTTCTCCCAAATGGCCCACGGGCCCAGAGTATTACAACTCTGCCATCGTGGTCAATGGCGATGGCGAGACCATTGCGAATTACCGCAAGTCCTTTCTCTACTACACGGACGAGACCTGGGCCTTGGAGGGCAATCGTGGTTTCTACGATGGCTTTCTCCCCGGCCTTGGGAACACATCAATAGGGATATGTAAGTATCTCTGCAGCAGCCTGATCGAAACCTCCGCTGACTTGGATCTTACAGGCATGGACCTCAAGTAGGTGGCTGACGCCGAACTATTGGTTGACAGAGTTGCTAATAATTCCCCAGCCCATACAAATTTGAGGCCCCTTGGCATGCCTTTGAGTTTGCATTTCATGTCTTGGAAGTCGAGTCGAACCTAGTGATTGTTTCCATGGCATGGATGACGAGAGAGGATCGTCGATGGTTTAGCCGCATGCCCAACGAGCCGGATATGGACACCTTGACGTACTGGGTTACCCGGCTCGAACCCCTCATCCGCTCCGAGAATCAGGATGAGATCATCGTGGTATTCTGCAACCGCACGGGCAGTGAAGACGAAGCCACGTACGCCGGAACGAGCGCCGTGATAGGCATTCAGGACGGCGAGGTCAAGGTCTATGGTTTGCTAGGCCGAGGTGAGAAGGAGCTCCTCGTTGTTGACACCAACGAACCTCCTTACGCAAAGCTTGTGTACCGACCCGAGGCCGATGGTGCCAGCAAAAGTGCCGGCTCCCTCGAGAAGGCCACGGACAAGCCGAGCAAATCAGATGCTGGGTCGGCCAAGGGGTCAAGCGAGAGCAAACCCGCTGAAGAAAAGAAAGGATCCAGCGAAGAGCCAAAAACTGGCGAGGGTCCTTCAAAGTCTACCGAAGGGCAGAAGTCCCACCGGACGTCCTCCAAGGAACGGCGCACCAGGGGTCGCTCCCCGGCACACAAGTCGTACCCCATCCCGCCGTTACCCGAACTTCCAGACGACTTGAAACACGAGGCCTCATCGAAGAGGCGGAGAGCCCCGCCAATAACCATACCATCGCCCCCGGATCTGGTTTCCAATGAGGAGTCGACTACATCGCCTGATATTCCCACGCCGTCCGCCCCCAGCCCAACACCTATGGCTATTCGTCCCAAGCTCATCATCCCCGAATCGCCTCAGTCGCTTCCGCCCTTGTATCCCATCAGTGCTGCCTCAGAAAGATCCGAGAAATCTGTACAATCAGTGAGGTCCGACGAGTCTGAGGCGTCCGTGCAAACGGTCAAGTCGAACCCACGCCCACCTGAGGACAGCACGCCATATCCTCACAGCGGCGCACCACTGAGCGGCTATCCGGACAATAGGTATTATCCCAACAAGAAGATTTACGGAGGTCACGTCAGTATTTCCCGGGCACACGAGGGATTCAGCCCTACGACGCCGTTTGAGGACACCTCATCAGCTTCCCCGCGCTGGTTTTGGAGGCCATCTGACACTCTGCTGAGGACTCCTGTTTCCACGGGTGGGTGGCAGCCTGGGACACCCATCGGGAGAAAGGCCGATCCGTTCCCGTGGCCGGCGATTAAGGAGATCACTCGCGATGCGAAGCAGTCTGTTGAGGAGGCTCGGGCGAAAAGCAACCAGACACCGCCGGAGACGAGGCAGCGTAATTCACAGTCGCCCCAATCGAACGCTTCATCGAACAAAACGAAGAACTCCGGGTCTTCAAGAGGGACTGCAAAGGGCGCCTCCAAGAGCGAAACTATGCCTGCTCGACCATCGTCCCCCAAGTCGCGCAACGCGAGCCGCTCTCGTACCCAGGATCGATCTGACTCTGCGATGAGCCAGCACGATGTGACCGCAGCTATAACGCAGCACCTGGAACACATCTCTCAGAGAGCTGAATCAGTGAGTAAGATGAGAGCCGCTTCGACAAACGCGACGCCGATTCCTGAACGGCCTCAGTCGCCAAAGTCGCGAAACTGTAGCCGCAGCCGTCCCAGCGAAGCCGCCGACTTTCAGAACGACAAGCAGACTATTCAAATCGGAGTCAGCCCAAGCATACTAGACGGTGACGACGCAAGCAAGTCTGCTGTTCAGCCTCCGGTATCTGGAACCCAGCAGCGGCCCCTGTCGCGTTTGAGCCAGCATCAGCGCAGCAAATCCTTTTCAGCTGCGAATGATGTTGGTCGTTCTTCAAGCGCTGACCGCTCCTGCACGCCAGGCATGATACCTATTGGAAGACCGGAATCTCGTGCTGCCAGTCGCGGCCGACAACCAGGGCCCAAGCTGCTTCCCACATCCCCTGCTCGGTCGGACCCGACCACGTCGAGTTCGTACCGGACGCCGTCGGTAGACACCGTGGCTGCGAGGGCCTTCTACACCCAGCCTCGCGGTGGTACGGCCAGCACGACGCGGGCTCACCGCGGCCATTCTCATGGATCTGGACACCGGCCGCGTCGCCACCACTCTCACAACAGGGAGATGATCGAGTTTGAGCGATTTGAGGCAATCATATGCCCCAACTGCCCAGTCCACGGACGGCGACGATCAGACTCCAACGTCAATGGCGAGTCGTCTAGTTCTGGGGCTGCACGCGGACAGGCACCCCCGCGCAACAGCCCGCCTGCGGATGCGGCGGCTCCAGTGCAAGAAACGCAGGCTCGGGTCGATAACAGAAACGACGACAGCGCAAGCAGAGGCAGAGCCGAAAGCGCTGTGCAAGCTACAGCTGAAAATGGCCCCAGAGACTCGGACACTACCTCGCGCACGGAGAGCAGCGGCCGAAACTCCTCCCGAACGATTTCTACTTCGGGACGGTCGCCCGCTACGCCCCCATTCTTTAACGCGGCAACTCCGAAAGCGATGAGGTTCGTTCGTGAAGATGACGAGACCAGGTCGCTTCCGGATAGCGAATTGGGAATGGGAGAGCTGTCAACACGATGCTCGGAGAAGGCAAAGCTCCAGAGTATGGAGTTGCGCCACAGCACGCTGGCTTAAGCTTAGTGGCCCCTGGCCGTCTCGCTTTACTGATCTGCACTTCGCAGGTCTAGCCACAGACCTTTTGTATTTGGAGAAGGATGCCAAACACCTTGACTGAAAGAGTAGGATAAAGAGACTGTGTGATGGAAGAGGAGCGAGATGAATGCGACGGATAATGACCTTTTTTCTCTATACCCTTCGGTTGCTCCTACGGACTGATTTGCTTCCCACAAGTTGTTGGCCAGCTTAGTTCTTCTTTCTTGTAGCTAGGCGATCTGCATCGCATACATTTCACGTCGAGGGCGGCCGGAACTGGGAAAAGAGGGTTACTTGGTGTTTTGTGGCAGTAACTTTCTCTCATTGGAGTCTGTGCCTGTACACAGAGTCTCGGGCATATTCGCCTTTTTAGACATTATTTCAAGTCTCAATGACATGACGCAATGAAGTGCTCGGCGATACGTCGTGAAAGCGTCAACCGAAACAATGAGAGAGCATGGCAAGATTTCAAAGTTGTTGATGTCCCGGTGCCCCAAAAAGGGGGATACGAATTATCCCATTGCCGACAGCTACGCACAGACAGACAGCCAGCTCATGGACATCACCAACAGCGATGGAACACTTGAGGCGCTTCACGATGGGCGCTACCGAGTCCATCACAACGAAACAAAGAGTTTGACTTGCTACCAACCGAGAGCCATGTGCTCCCCACGAGACGCCGTGAAACAAATTGCCCCTGAAGAAGCTCATAGGCCCAGAACCGAGCTGTTGGAGGAGTTTATTGACTGGGGCGGCAGCCATGGGCGCGTCCGGAGGCTCAACCGGCCCCAAGATTGCCCTCGACCGTGACGCAACTGGTGGTGACGGGAATTGGATGGAACGAGGTGAAAGGCCAGCCGGGGACGGACGGGGGGTGCGGGGAAGCCCGTTGGGGGCGGATCCGAGCACCCCAGCCAGCGGGCCACAAGGCATGGCCCGGTCGGCAATGGCCCCTGTCGAGTGGCTTGGAGTTAAGCGCCGAGGACGCTGGCGCTCGCCAATGGGACCAGCAGGACGGCCGACCGCTGTGAGATGGGCAGGGGGCCTGTGCATGACGCGCGAAGGGCTGGTGGGCCGCCAGGGGAGTCTCCCGCGTGTTAGTGGCCGTCGAGCACGGTGATGGCCCTCGGCGCTTGCCTCTTTTCGCTTGCCTCGCTTCTTTTGGTTCGGGATGGATGGCCTGGAGGTATGTTGTTGATGGCGGTGGTCGAGAGACGGGATGAAGCGCGACGGGCCTTGGGGGAGGGGGGAAGGGTTTCGGCCCGCGAGTGGCGACGCCGCGGGTTGCGAGAGGAAGAGGCCCGACGTGGTACACGCTGAGGGCAGTGCACCCGAAGCTCGCTGTCCACGGTACAAGTACCAGGATGCCAGGCACGCACTCATGCACTCAAGCAACCCCCGATACGGCACCCCTGCCCATGGGCGGAGGGCTGTGTGCGCGCCTCCGTGTGACTTGTTGAGCCCGTCCAACCCGCGCCATCCCCTCTCTGGCACATCACATCACATCCCGCCCGCCCGCCCGCTCGAGCAAGCACAAGAGAAAGCGGCGCGGAGCATTGGGGGCTTTTTCGGTGGCGGCGAATGCGGACCCAGACTTGGGGGTGGTCGTCTCCTGCAGCTGCCAGCACACTGCAGAGCGCTCCGTGACGCTGGGGATTCACGGAAAACGATGTTTCTCTCCTACTCTCTGCATTGAATCCCCTGGCGGCTGGAGAAACCTCCCAGCGCAGGGCTATAACTATCGCATCGTCGGCAGGCGCACGCAGTCGCGAATCTCGCAGCCGCCTCGACAACACACACAGAGAAGTGGGATGCAAGCTGGCACGCTGGGGGCATCCGTCTCCGGCTCGTGGGCATCACCATCTTGAACGCCACAGCACTCCCCAGAGACATCTTCCAAAACGGAAGAAAACACATATATCATGCGGCGGCTGTCCATCGACATCGTCGCCGCCGCGACCCTCGCGCTGCCGGCGGCGCAGGCCATCCTCGTCGCGCCCGGGTCGCCGTGCTCGACAAACTGCGGCAACGTCCTCGACTCGACGTCGCCGGCCGACCTCGTCTGCTCGGAGAAGAGCTACGCGAGCCCGACGGGCCAGCTCTTCCAGGGCTGCGTCCAGTGCGAGCTGCAGAGCAGCTTCCACTCAAATAACAAGAGCGACGTGCAGTCCATGCTGTGTATGGTGCTCCCCTCTCTTCCCCCGCAGCCCGATGCGGCCCGTTATCGCGACTGCGCGCTGACCGTGCTCGACGCGCGCACAGATAACCTCCGATATGCGGTATCATACTGCCTATTCGGCCGCCCGGAGAATAAGAACATCGTCAACACGCCGTGTGTCACGAGGTATGCCATATACGCCCATCATCTCACAAGCCGCGGTGTAGCGCTAACTTCTCCTCTCAGCAAAGCTTGTGGTGGCTTTCAAGATGCCATCGGATGGAAGAACCTCTCCACAACGTACCAAAGCTATGAGTACTGCGAGAAGTGGCCGCCATCAGATCCTTACGACCTCCAGGGCTGCACAGAATGCCTGCAGGCGGAGGGCAGGTACTACTTGGCAAACTGTATGTGCGATTAAAGCTCACACAAGACCGATCGAAACTGACATCGTCGGCCACAGTTATCACGACTCTTCAGGCAGGATGCCGGCAAAGGCCCCAACCAGGCATCTTGCTCGGCCTGGAGGGCACACTCTTCTCTGACGACATGGTGAACGTGACCGCCCCCTCGCCCACTGCCGTAGTCGACCCGGCCTGGTTCGACCAGGGGCCCCTCAACCTGGGCGCCAAAGTTGGCATCGCCGTTGGCGGCTTCATCCTCCTCATAACGGTGCTTGGATGCGCAGTCATACTCAACGGCAAGAGAAAGAGAAAGGCCTTCCTGCGGAAACTGGAAGCGCAGTTCCCGCAGAAGGGCTGGCCCGCCTCGCCGACCAGTCCGAGACGGGCTGACATGTCGGAGGCGGTCGCCAACCATCAGCAGTTGCATCGTGCGGGCTGGGACGATACGCCGCTCAGCCAACAGCCCCTTCGCAGCTGGGACGAGTCTCCCATGACCGGCAACACGGACAAGTCCTTTCCCAGGTTCTATTCGCCGTACTCGAGCCATTTCAACAGCCCAGTCAGCGCTCACGATAACCTCAACCCGAAGCTGCAGATGCCCCTTGCGGCACTGGGCATCACGGAGGACATTGGCGTTGCCATTGGCGGGAATGAAGCAGAGGCGGAGGGCCCATGGGTAGGCTCGCCCTCAGACCCCAAGGGCAAGGCACCGGAGGAGGCATACGAGTTGAACCATGTTGATGTACAAAACGACGGAGAGTCCAGCAGTGCGGGTCGTATGCCCCAGGCGCAGCCGCCAGTGCTCAGTCATCCCGGATATGGGAGAAGTAGCACAAGCTCGCAGGAGCCGCACATACTAACGGAGCAAGACGCGAGAAGTGGGAATGCGATATAGCGACGATGAACAGATGATTAACTGAAGCATGATTCGGCGGGGTGTTTGGAGTTGCAAGATCGCCAAGAAGGACATCTACACGGGTCCTTGCCTTTTTTGAGCGTATTTCCTTGGCTCATATATAGCAGCCTTGATGGCTGGCACGTTTCGAATAAACACCCACTGTGGGCTTGAGGGCGATGATAAGATACCACAACATGCAATCTTCAATCGCAGCTTCAGAAATGTCAGGCGGCGGTGGGCCTCGCAGAGCGTGGCTGGTGAGTGTGGCTTGAGCGCAGCTACGTCCGCAAAAAGACTAGCGGCATTGGGCGCCACAGGCCGCAAGGCTCGCCGTTCCCCACAGCCCAGCAACTTTGCAAAAAAAATTTGGAAGGCTTTCCGACTCGCATCACCAAAACACACCGGGCAGGAAGAAATCCCACGCCACGCGAAAACCTGCACGATCCGCCCTCGTCGAGTCCCCCACACGAGTGCATCGAATACTTCCTGCAGGGCCCCGGTCAGATCATCAGTCCCAGTCCCAGCCCGCCTCCCGCCGCAATGACGATGGAGGTCGTGAAGAAGACGACGGAGGAGGAGTACACCATCAAGCCGCAGGCCGTCACGCCGGCGCTTGACACGAGCTCGTGGCCCCTCCTCCTCAAGAACTATGACAAGCGTGAGTGGCGGCGTGCCTGGATTGGCCTCGGCGGCTTCAATTGAGCTGCGACTGCGAGGACGGGAATGCTGACGCGCTGTGCAGTGCTCGTGCGAACAGGGCACTTTACGCCCATCCCCAACGGCTGCTCGCCGCTGAAGCGCGACATCAAGTCGTACATTTCGTCTGGTGTCATCAACCTGGACAAGCCCTCGAACCCCTCCAGTCACGAGGTCGTGGCCTGGGTCAAGCGCATCCTTCGGTCAGTCGCGACGCCGTGTCCTCGGACGTGGGATCATGTCCGCTAACCCACCCCACAGATGCGAAAAGACTGGCCACAGCGGCACCCTCGACCCCAAGGTCACGGGATGCCTGATTGTGTGCATCGACCGCGCGACCCGCCTCGTCAAGTCCCAGCAGGGCGCCGGAAAGGAGTACGTCTGCGTCATCCGCATGCACGACAAGGTCCCCGGCGGCCAGGCCGCCTTCGCCCGCGCCCTCGAGACCCTCACCGGCGCCCTGTTCCAGCGCCCGCCCTTGATCTCCGCCGTCAAGCGCCAGCTCCGTATCCGAACCATCCACGAGAGCAAGCTCATCGAGTTCGACAACGACCGCCACCTGGGCGTCTTCTGGGTCAGCTGCGAGGCCGGTACCTACATCCGAACCCTGTGCGTGCACCTGGGTCTGCTGCTGGGTGTGGGTGCCCACATGCAGGAGCTGCGCCGCGTGCGAAGCGGTGCCATGGACGAGACGAAGCAGCTGGTCACCCTGCACGACGTGCTGGACGCGCAGTGGACCATGGACAACACCCGTGACGAGTCATACCTGCGCAAGGTCATTTCTCCGCTCGAGACGCTCCTTACGTCGTACAAGCGCATTGTCGTCAAGGACAGCGCCGTCAACGCCGTGTGCTACGGCGCCAAGCTCATGCTCCCCGGTCTCCTGCGATATGGTTGGTGCCCCTATTGTTCCCTTCAGCCGACTTCATCACTGACACAGAGTCTACAGAGTCCGGCATTGAGCACCACGAGGAGGTTGTCCTGATGACCACCAAGGGCGAGGCCATTGCCCTGGGCATCGCGCAGATGTCTACTGTGGAGATGTCGACGTGCGACCACGGCGTTGTCGCCAAGGTCAAGCGCTGCATCATGGAGCGCGACCTGTACCCGCGCCGCTGGGGCCTCGGCCCCGTGGCGGCGGAGAAGAAGAAGCTCAAGGCCGACGGCAAGCTCGACAAGTTCGGCCGGCCCAACGACGCCACCCCGGCCAAGTGGACCGCTGGCTACCAGGACTACAGCATGACGGACGCGTCGGCGGCTGCCGCGGCGGCGGCTACGACACCGCAGAAGGTGGTGGAGGAGACCAAGATGGAGATTGTGCAGGCCGAGACGCCGGCGACCGAGGACGGCGACAAGAAGAAGCGCAAGAAGCACGAGGGCGAGACGCCCGACGAGAAGGCTGAGCGGAAACGACGGAAGGCGGAGAAGAAGGCGGCCAAGGCGGCCAAGAAGGCCGGCAAGGGTGAGGCGGCCGACGACGACGACAGCGACTAAAGGAGCGGAAGCGGTGGCACTGCATGCATGGGTAGCTGGATACGGGGTCCCCTTCGTCCTGCACTTTGGTTTGTCGATATGGAGACGGTGTTGCTGTATCATACGTTTCTGGCTCTGGCAACTGGCGTTTATTGGTTTGCTCATCAGGAGGAGTCGAATAAAAACACACGTCCTTGAAGCAGGTCGTTTCGAACCGTGACTTCCGGGAGGTTTCGACCGGAAGGGGTGTAGATGGCAGGCAACCTGGAAGGCATGGCGTGTCGATCCGGATACGAGCCGGGGTCTGCAGAACAGGCCGCCTGTCCGCCCGTGTCCGTGACCCGGCCGGCCCATTCCCTGTGCGCTGCTTCTCGCCTCGGGTCTATACCCAAACGCGGTCGCCATTGGCTTTCCTGAACCTCATCACGCACATGCCCGTGACGGCGAATTGGACTAAGCGCCGAACGCTTCCCTCCATCCCAGAGCCATCCATCACTTGCATCGGCCCCCAACGGGACGTCCCGACAGGGGCCAGGCCAACCCCCCTCCCTCCCCCAATCCATATCCCCATATCCCATCCTGATCTGCAGGTGCCATCTGCAGGCCCTACGGTACAGACATGCTTCGTAAATAGGCGCCTGCCAGGCTTTGGAGGGCTTGTACGACGCTGCGTTGGTGATGTTCGAGTTTCCAGTGTGCGTGCCTGGTCGGCCCTAAGAGCCTGTCTGGCCTGCAGCCCGTTGTTTGGGCTGCTGCCGCTGCTGGCTGATTCTCCCTCCCGCATGTCAACCGTGTCTTGCGTTTGGCCCGTCCTCGGTACGGTACTGTACGGTGCTGTACGTACATTGTACGGATGCGGCCTTGCGGCGAGGAGGAGAAACGGTGCCACTTGTCGGGGAGATGGCCAACCCCCCGGGTTTCTATTCCCCGTCCCCTGGCGGCATGGCCCTGCACGGGCGAGGAGGAGGCAGGGAGGCAGGGACCGAGCGGACGGGCGAGCGAGGGTCAGAGTAACTTGTAGATCCTGTCTCTCTCTCCCCTTTTGTTTTGGTTTCTTGTTTTCCCACATCCGCTTGTGCGACGCTGTTGGTCGCGCTGGGACCTTTTTTGCGCCCGTCCAAGGGGGGTCAGCGTTCCGGTCTGGCGGCGTCCCCGTGTCTACTGGTTCGAGGAGGAACCGGAGACGGAGGAGAGGAGGAAAAGGATCGCCTACCGCATACACTCATCTTGTATTGTATTGCGTTGTGGCCGTCTTTGGGGGGGGGGGGGAAGGGATATCAAGTCGCCGACCTGTCCGGTCTCGATACCATGCTCGGGAATGTCGAAAGTCCTGGTTCTTTCTTTTACCGTTCAGTGTCTGGCACACTGAGCAGTGATTCCTTCTTTTGCTATCCCTCCGGTGACTGACTGATTGAGCGGTGGCGTGATATATACAACGACGAGCACCGGGCCGCACATCAAACCGCTCCCTTTGGCCTCAGCGACTTCTCTGCACTAGAAGGTGATATACACGCCGCGGCAAGCCGGTGTTCCACAGACGGCAAAACTGGAGGACAGCAGACATGGCCCGTCTGGCCAGCCTAACAAGAGCGGCGCTCGTCGTCGTCGTACTACCGTCATGGCTGCTCGCCGCCGCCGCCGCCGCCGCCGCCACAGGCTTGCTGGTATCGCCCGGCTCGCCGTGCGTGGAACTCTGCGCCAACGATACCGCGCTGGGGCGGAATGCGTCCACGACGACAGTGCCAAGAAGGCTGGATATTCCTTGCGAGGACCGACAGATGGGAAATGGCGGAGGGGGAAACAAGCAGCTGGAAAGGGAGCAGCAGCAACAGGCCGTGGGAGCGCAGTTCCGGCAGTGCGTGGCGTGCCTCGAGAAGAGCGCGTTCGAGCAGGGCGGCGAGAGCGACCAGCAGTGGTTCGTGTGTAAGTGAGAACCAAACCTCATCTCTGTGCCATATTCAATGGGTCGTTCCTCGACACCTGCCATCATTGAACGGCATCGTCGTCCCTCCCCCTGGCCCCTATTCCCTATCCACAGACAACATATGCCTCCTCCATGCCAACCCCCAACCAGATCTCCAGACAGATGGAGGCGAAAGACGCCATTGAACCAAAGAAGCTGATCCTTGCGACTTCGCTCCCCACAGACAACATGCGCTACGCAATCGACTTCTGCATCTTCGGCTACCCCAACGGCACCGGCGGCGCGGGCTCCAACCCGTGCCTGACGTCCGAGGCGTGCGGGCGGCTGGCGCGCGCGCTCGAGGGCGGCATCCCCGTCGTCGGCGACCGCGCCAGGGCGTCGACGGACACGTACTCGTACTGCGAGGCCGAGAGGGGCGTATGGAAGAGCCGCTACTTTGACGCCTGCGTGCAGTGCGTGAAGGCGGATGGGAGGCATCGCTATCTGACCAACTGTGAGTTTTGGCCCCCGGAGCCCCCTGAACAGAGATACCGTATGCACATATCGTACGACGCACATACGGAAAGAGTGTGTTGAGACATACATGTTGCCATTGGCGAGAGAAACACGGACCCAGCTAATATACTTCCGGCAGTCCTCATCGCCCTCGACGCAGCCTGCAAGCAGAAGCCCTCGCGCGGCCTCGTCCTCGGCCTCAACGACACCGTCTTCGCCAACACCACCGTCTCGCCCGCGCAGCCCTCCCCGCCCACGTCCCCGCGCCGGCCCTCGCCAGCCGCCCCGGACGACAACGACGGCGCGCTCCTCTCCGGGGGCGCCATCGCCGGCATCATCGTCGGCGTGCTCGCCCTCGTCGCCCTCGCCGCAGGCTGCGTCTTTGTGTGCTGCCGCCGCAGACGCAAGAACCGCAGGATCAAGAAGCTGGCCACGCCATCCCCACCGCCATCTTCATCGTCGCCGCTCCCGTTGCAGTGGCATTCGCCGGCGCCGGCGGCTGGGCCGTCGGGGCGTGAGGAGGGCGTGATGGCGGGGACGGCTGCTCAGGGGTCAGGGGCGGTAGGAGGGGAGCATGGAGAGGAGGTGGACTATGATGGCCGCTTCTTCGGCAATGACAAGACAAAAAGGGTGGCGCAGGCGACGTTTTCGCCCGTCGCCAACTCCAAGCCCATCGCGATATGGCCTGCGCGCCCCGCGCCGGAGCCTCCTCAGGGACACAGCAAAGGCACCCCCTTACCCTCCATCGAGACTGAGTCTCTCCCCGTCGACGCCTCGCCAGACGGCGCCGTCTCCGCGGTCTCGACCTTCTCCAACGTACCCCTGCTGAGCAACCCGCCGTATAAGCCCACGGGTTCCCCGGCTGTCGGCTCGAGCCCCATCTTCGCCACGGGGCGCAAGTCGCCCGTGCCGAAGGGCCAGTCGGGCCTCCCGCGGAGCGTTCAACAACATCACGACCATCAACAGCTGCAGCAACAGTGGCAGCAGCAGCAAGGGCAAGGGAAACGCAAGAAGAAGAAGCGCAGGGGCAGCAGCGTGAGCTCACCTTACGAGACGACCAAGATCCAGACCGAGTTTGCGCCGCCGCCCAAAGGGTGAATAGACGGCTTTGTTCTTTTCTTTCGGAGTTCGAACTTGTTAATTTCATGGGAGGAATACGCAGTTGTATTTGAGCGAGGCCAAGCCCGCGCGTTCGTCAAATTCATATCCGTCAACGTCAAGCTGTCGTCACACGTCACATTACCCAAGTCCTCGTATACCAGAAAAGCAGAGCGCGCCACACCCGTGACAAAGTCGTTCCATTTCCGATCGCTGTGCCCCTTGCCAGCGAGCCACCAGGCATCGCGTTGTCCTGACGCCACCCCCTTTATGATACAATGTCAACCTGGACCCTCTCCGGATATACAAATCCCAACTGGGCAAAAGACCGGGCCCCGAACCGTTCAGTCCAGGGGCCAACAAAAAGCACTGCCCGCTTCCTTCCAACATGTCAAACCAAACTGCAGTGGCACGTCCATCCAACTCTATGGGTATTTGACGAGCCCGCAAGCCACCAACCAAAGACAGTAGGGGGCAGAACAGAAAGCTCATGGGGAAACCGAAATGCATTGCTGCGCAAAATGCGACCCGCCATTCCTCCATAACGCCGGCTATATGCTTTCGTCAAACCAGGACGTCCCCCCGGCTTCAGATTCGCTTCGAAATCGTTCGATCTGGCTCTTGTACCACTCCGTCCCTTCTTCCATCTCTGCCCGTAGGGCCTGGAGCTCCATTGTGACCCTTTCTGCGTCGCTGATGATTCGTTTCTGCGCGCCGCCATCGGCCACAGGGCTGTGTACATCATCGTCCACTGCTCGCTTCCGCTTGTTTGCCGGTGATGTCTCGACCGCCGATTCCAGTCCCGGCCTGTCCGAATCGCTCATGACGCGCTTGTTGGAGCTGCCGTCGATAAGATCTAGCTCCGATGTGTTTGCGTCGTCTCGTTTCCTCTTACTGTTCAGCGTGAGATTGTTGACCGGGCTGCTGCCATCGCCCCCGTGCGACGTGGGTGGGAGGCGCTGCATCTCCGCTTGGATCGCGTCCGTGGCGGACAGTCGCCGCCGTCGCCATGGAGACACCGATCTCGAGTAGCGAAGCGAGCCAGATGCTGCCATTTCTCTCGCAAGAGACTCCGGAACGGCCGTGCCGTCATCCAGCGGGACGATGCCCATGGCCTTGAGCCTCCAGCGCGAAGACGCGTTGCTGCTGCGCTTCGTGACTCCAGGGCTGCCACGGTCCTCCGACGACAATGAGGGCAACGACCTCCTGAACTTGTCGGGTTGATCAAAGTACTTGCGTCGCAGTGCTTGCGTCTTGGACCCTTCCTTTCTGGAGGGACCGACCGACGAGCTGAATGACGGCCGCCTCGACGACTGCGAGCCGTTCGACGATCTTAGCTCATCGTTGACGATGGCTCGTGCCATTTGTCGTTCCTGGCCAAGGCCAGACAGTATTCCGCTGGCCAGGAGCGACTCCGTAGCATCCCGTTGGGCCGCTCGCCTGCTCTTCATCAAACTGAGAAACTCCTTGGAATGTCCTGCGGCCTCTTGTTCCGCATCACGTCGTTCCGACGCGCGCCGAGAATCCTCTCGCTCCTTTCGCTCAGCCTCTTGGCGAGCCGCATAGAAGGTTCGCTGTTCGTCTCTCGCCTTTCGACGCAGCGCGCGCAACCGTTTCTCGCGAGCTGCCCGCTTCCAGCGATAGAAGAATTTCAGGGACAAGTTGTATACCCGGAACCTTTCGACTTCAGCATTAGTGCGCTCCTCCTCCTCGCGCCGCTTCCTCTCCTCAGATTCTTGCGTGAACTGCTTGAAAGCTTCGCTAGTGATCCATCTCACTGACTCAACCAGAAAGTCAGACAGAAGTCCATTATCACCATTGACAAACCAGTTGCTGAAGTCGCCAAGCAGATCCCGTGGAGGACCAGGCGGCTCCATTGGTGGTTCCGCGGCTTTAGTACTAAGCGAGGGCGACGCGGTGGATGCTTCTTCCGCCGCAGGCTTGGGCAGCGGCGACTGTCCGATGGTTGTGAAAGTGCTGGCCGACTTTGGCAAGCCAACGCTGGGGGTGTCCGTAGATACGGGCTGCTTTGGCTGCCCGAGCATCCCCAGAACGCTGGTAGAAGACGGCTGATCTTGACTGGTTGCTGTCGATTGCGAGATTGCGCTTAGCAACGAACCTTTAGACGAGGAGCTGATCTGCGGGGGAAGCGAAGTCGGGGTTCCGGTCTGGCCGCTGAGCTGTGGCTTGCCCGCATCTAGAAGCCCAGATGATGAAGGAGATGATGCGATGCCCAACGTCACTGGTGTGGAAGTGGCATTCGGCGCTGGGGATGATGAAGGAGGAGGTCCAAAAAGGCTGCCGCTTGCTGCTGCACCCCCCTGAGGGGCCTTGCCAGTTGTTCCGCCAAGGATCGAGGTTGTGGCCACTGGAGCGGTGAATGGCGAGGGAGTTTTATTCGTTGTTGCTGATGGAGCGAATAGGGCTGGACTAGTAGAGGTAGTTTGCCGCGCTGCGCCGGGTGTCGTTGAGCCTCCGAATGTTGGCGAAGCTGCTGCAAAAGGGCTTGGCTTTGTCGAGGCCAGGGGGTTCGATATGGCACCACCAGTGCTGGCCGGTCCATTGCTGGCATTGGACGGCGGCGGTTGTCCAAACGATGGCTGCGAAGCGCCAAATGGGCTTGCGACAGGAGCCGACGCGTTATTGCCAGGCTGGAAGGCTCCAGCAAATGGATTTAGCTTCGCCGGCGCCGGGCTCTCCGTTTTGTTGCCAAAGACGGAAGCAGAAGCAAAGGGATTCGGCTTGGCCTCTGCCTTGTTCTCCACAACTGCGCTAGAGGGAGCAAAGGGATTCGGCTTGACCTGCGCTGCATTCTCTCCCTGACTGGCAGCAGCGGTGGTGGCCGAGTCAAAAAGATTGGCTTTTCCATTCGTTGGCGCCCCGAACTGTCCTTTGGCGTTAAACAGTGACCCAGGCTTCGTGGCCATGCCCGCAGCTCCTTGAAAAGCGTTTCGTGGCGCCTCAGTATCCGACTCCGAGTCTATAGACGGTCAGCACGTCTAGCAACAAAGAATAATGACGTTTCCAACAACTTCCATACCTGGCTCTACAACGAATCCGCCCTGTGTTTTTGGTGTTTTCGGTTGAGGTGTGCCGCCGAATGCCCCAAACGACGCCTGCTTCGTCGCTGTCCCTGAGTCTGCCGCAACGACGCTTGGAGACGCAAGGTCCTGCTGAGGCTCATCTTGCACAAAGAGGCTTTCCTCTCGGCCTCCGTTGGGCAAGTACGCCGAGGAACTAACTCGGTCGTATATTGTTCGGCGGAGGATCTGCGGCAGCGTGGCGTTTCCCCTCTTCTTCTCAACCAGCCTGCGAGAGAACTGGTGATCGACCTTGGGATAAGGGACCAAGGACCTGTCCCTGAGCACGAGCCCGTACCTGCTGACGTTGGCCGGATCCTCGCGGTTAGGTGTGAAGGAGAAGCCATGAAGCTCGGCAAACTCAATCGCTTGCTCAACGGTATCGTAGCGAAGGAATTCGTTGAGCGCTTCGGCGGTAACGTCCTCGACCGGATTTTTGGGCCTCGTCAGTGCCCGCTTGACGGCCTGCAGTATGGCTCGACGGACGTAGGGGAAATGGCACTCGGCGAAGCAAGCCATGGTGTAAGAGGTCGAGACGGCCTCGACAATGTCGAAGAATGTCGTGTACGCACTCGTGCATGCCAGGAGCGGGCCGTCTTCCTTGTGCTTGGCAGAGCCGACAAAGTCCTGGTTATTGTGCATCGCTTCCACGAGAGACAGGGCGATTCTAACTTCCTCTGAATCGTTCCAGAAGCGAGGATCCCATTGCATTTGCAATGCTTCGACTATTCCAGGGTCGCGGCCGTGGAAGAGCAGGTAGTAGGCGCGGAACTCGGCCTCGTTCTCGCATACAATGTCTTGTGTCCTGCAGTCGTCGTATATGTCTCTCAGAGACAAGAGCGTCTTGCCGAGCTGCTCGAGCTCCTGGTGTTCGGAAAAGAGGTCTTCAATCCTGTCGCCAGGCGAGACGAATTGCGGGAGAAGATGCAGTGATGTGACGTGGAATCGAGCAATGTTCTCGAGCACATAGATCTGGGTCTTGAGCTCGGATTCATTCATGGTCGAGAAAAACGCAAAGTCTCGTCTGATAGCGCGAGTGCGGTCCCAGACGAATCCATGCAGGTGTCGAAGGTTTTCGTCCTCGCGAAGCAAGGTGCCGAACATGTAGTCGAGCGACAAGCCGAGAGCCCGCGTCGAGCGCACGTCCATGGGCAACGGCGCCTCCTGTCCAGCGGCAGAGCGAGCGAGCTTCTTGACCATGTGCGAAAGATCTGCAACGCCGCCAGTCTTCTCCGCCTTGACCACGTCGGATTCTGTGATGCGCTGAATCTTTTCGTACTCGGGGCACATGTCTTCGCAGATGCCCTTGAAGCTGATGGCTTCGCTCAGTTTCTTGCGCTTGTTGGGATCGTCGATCAAGCCGGCCTTGGTCAGCGAACGGCGGACTCGCTGGCGGTAGTCCTCGTGCTGCTCTCGGAACCTTGCCATTGCGGGTTTGCTGGTGTCGCTACCGGGGTTTGACGGCCATGGCGGCGGGCTGATGCCGTCCTTGTGCAGCTGTCGGTATATCCGCTTCGCAAACGGGTCGTTGGATTCGGGTTCGGAGCCCGGCGCGCTCGACAGGCCATCCGATACGGAGGATCGTGTGAGCTCATTGCCGTCGTTCATGTCGTCTGTCGTTCGCCCGTTGCGCCGCGTTGTCTGCTTGCCACCCCTCTTCTCCCCCCTGCCGTGCTTCGCGTTGCCGGCATTCTGGCTGAAGGGGTTGAAGGCGCGCTTGCCGTCGTTTTGGTTCTTCCGCTTGTCCTTCTTCGAGGAGCTATCGCTCGCGCCATCGCCGCCGAGCGCGTTGGCCTGGCCGAATGCCCGACTGCCGAAGCCACCTGCGGCCGACGCGGAGCGTGTCGAAAACATTTAGCTCGATGATGCAACGGGCGTCGCACTCATCCGGATCGTTTGCAAGACCATGGAGGATGAGTGCTGACGGGTTTGCGGGAGAGCAGGTGGTGAATGTGCGAAGCGGCGCGCAGAGCAGCTATTGTTCGATGCAAGAGGAGCTTCGTCGACCGTTTGGCGGCCGCGAGGCAGCTCTGAGCTACCGTTTGGCGGTCACGTGATGGCTCGCTGCTTCACTCGACTTACACCCTTCCACCGGGCATGCGAAAAGTCATCGCACGAGCGTCAAGCACCCAGAACAAGGCTTATTTTGTGTCGTGCTTGTATTGTTTCAATCAAAATCATGGTTTCTAGCATCTGCGACTCTATGCATCGCGGCTGGTATGGCGGTCGCGCTGCCCGCCTGGGCCAACATAATTTATTATGTACAGCCACCCGATTTATCTCGCAATTGAAGCTATAAACGCCGAGGCGGCAAGCCGTACTCCATTTGTTCTAGTCTTGTCATAGAGCCATGATAATAATCGAAATCAACGCTTTATTTGGTCATTAATGCCATCACCGTCCTCGAATACGGGCTGGTCCCAAGCCCTGCCTGATCTCGTCCAGCTGTTCCAGCCCAGTCTGCGCCTTGGTCTTCTTCGAGGTTCGCTTGCCTGGCTTGGTGTAGTTACCCAGGAAGTCATCCAGGATGTTGTCGAAGTCTCCTCTCGTCGCTCCCGTGACGCTCGATACAGCCGACACGGCAGACACTGACGCCATGTCATCCTCCTCATCCTCGTTGTAAGCCTCCTCGATCTTGTCAAACCGCGCATCCAGAAGAGTCATCTGCTCCGTGCGGACGAGCGACGACGAAGTCATGGAAAAGCTCGACGCCTCGGTCAGGGCGCCCTTGCGCTTCTTCCGCCTGCCGCCATTGGTTGTTGTCGTCCAGGTCGACTGCAACTCTGACTGCGAAGGCGCAATAGGTGCTCGTCCAGACTTTTGCTCCTTCTTGAACTTCTTGAAGTCCTCCAGCCAGTCCTGAGATGGGCCCTCTTCAGGTTGCTCTGTCGGGGCCTTGACCAGCTCGGGTACTTCATCCTTGAATTCCTTGATGGGTTTCGCCGTGTCGTCTGACTCCCAGCCCTCGTCATCATCTTCGTCGTACTGTTCACCTTCGAACTCGTAGTCGTCCAACTCTCGGCCGTCCTTGGCGAGCTGCTGGAACAGGTCGTCATCCCCCGCCTCGTCCACGAACGCGTCGTCTTCAAGCGCCTCCAACACTTCTCTTAATCTAGGGTCCATGTCGGGCTGGAAACCGCGAATCGCGTCTGGCACGTCTTGCTGGGCCTCGTACGTGATCCTCGTCAGGTTCTTGGACGGAAGAATCTCGTCATCAAGCACGTCGCCAGACTTCTGTTCCAAGTCCATTTGCCTCAACGCATCCTCGAGCGACTGCTTTTGCTTTCCCTTGTTCTTGTTTCCCGTCTCCGCTTCGACGAAAACGACATCTCCGCCTCCTGTGTTGAGGTCCCGCAGATGCTGCATGTAGTCATACTCGGTGTCGTCGAAGTAGACGCCGTATGAGGCAGCCTCGCCTTCGTTGGCACGAATGTTGGCGGCATCGGAGCCGAGCTCGGAAGCGAGATCGTCGAGGCGCTTTGCCTTGGAGCCGCCCGGGACTTGCGTCGGGTTCAGCACCATGGCCGGCGCACTCTCGTCGTGGATGAGGGGGTCATTTTGCGGGCGATGCACCAGCGTGAAGTGCTGGGCCGTCTTCTTGTCGCTGTTTCGAGTCTGTGGTTAGCAAACCGGCCAGGAAGGTGGCCTGAGGCGGTGCAGACTTACATCCACTTTCCCTTGGGCATCTTGGCGGCGTTGCGACTGTGCGGGCAACTGCGATGAGGACTTGGAGGATGGGCGATTGAGGGCGACGACGAAATTGGGCTGCGGTCGCAAAATTTAGGACCCTGCGGGATACAGTACCGATCTCGATAGCACTGTGCCCACACCAGGGTGGCACCGATTCCAAGACAGTGTGGATTAGCCTACTCCGCCAGGACCGAAAATTTGCCCCTCCATCCTGACGCATTATTCATCACCAGTGGTCGACTCATCTCACATTCTGCATCATTCTCAGGGACCTTGATCCGTATTCCCAGAGTCTCAGTCGCCATCTTCACATATCCTGGTAGCATTTGTTCTCTAATCTGCTGGGTACTCTTGGAAAACCGGACTCCCAGCGCAGCAACGGACGAACCGCCGCCATGGTTCTGGCAAAGTCCAAGAAGAGCGTCGGGCTCGGCAATGCCTTGATGAACGATCGCTTTGGCAAGCACAAGGGCTCTGACAGAAAGAAGACATCCGCCATCACGAGGACGAATCATGCTACCGGCGAGCAGTACCTCGTCAACGAAAAGCAGGATGCGGCTTGGGTGAAGATGCGCTCTGTCACGGAGCAGGGCGCCCTGGATGAGTTCCTGGCCACTGCCGAGCTGGCGGGCACAGACTTCACCGCCGAGAAGATGAACAACGTCAAGATCATCCACACCGACCAGCGGAACCCCTACCTTCTCTCGGCGCATGAGGAGCGCGCCGTGCTGGGCAAGCATCGCATGCACAAGGCGCGCTTGACCGTCCCGAGGAGGCCGAAGTGGGATGCCTCCACGACCCCGCAGGAGCTCGACGTTCGCGAGCGCGAAGCCTTCCTGAACTGGAGGAGAGGCCTCGCCGAACTCCAGGAGAACAACGACCTTCTCATGACCCCGTTTGAGCGCAACATTGAGGTCTGGAGACAGCTCTGGCGTGTCATTGAACGGTCCGACCTTGTTGTCCAGATCGTCGACGCGAGAAACCCGCTTCTGTTCCGCTCAGACGACCTCGAGGTCTACGTCAAGGCAGTGGACCCGAAGAAGGAAAACCTGCTGCTCATCAACAAGGCCGACATGATGACGCTGCGGCAAAGAAGGGCCTGGGCAAAGTACCTGACAAAGGCCGGCATCGCGTATAGGTTCTTCTCGGCCCAACTGGCTAAGGAGCTGAACGAGGCGAGAGAAAGGGACAGTGACTCCGACGAGGAACCGACGCCGGCGCCGCAACCGTCCAAGAAGGCAGGTAAACAGCCTGCGAGGGATGAGGATACCGATGAGTCCGACGAGGAAGAGGAGAGCGAGGAAGAAGGCGGGGTTGACACCGACGGTGATGTCGACACTCAAATTCTGACGGTTGAGGAGTTGGAAGACATTTTCCTCCAACATGCCCCCGCGGATGCAGGTATGTTTGTCAACGGTTCTCATCTTACAAACTCGAAATAAGAATCTGACATTATCAGGCGCGGACCACAAATTGCAAGTCGGCCTGGTCGGCTACCCTAACGTCGGCAAGTCCTCGACAATCAACGCCCTCATCGGCGCCAAGAAGGTGTCCGTCTCGTCCACACCGGGTAAGACGAAGCACTTCCAGACCATCCACCTCAGCGAGCGCGTCATTCTGTGCGACTGCCCCGGTCTCGTTTTCCCCAACTTCGCCTTCACGAAAGCCGACCTGGTCTGCAACGGCGTCCTGCCTATCGACCAGATGCGCGAGTACACGGGCCCCGTCGGGCTCGTCACGCTGCGGATCCCGCAGCGTTTCCTCGAGGCCGTGTACGGCATCCACATCAAGACGCGACCGCTCGAGGAGGGAGGCACCGGCATTCCCACAGCCTCGGAGCTCTTGCGCGCGTACGCCATGGCACGTGGATTCCACACCCAGGGTCTCGGTCAACCGGACGAGTCCCGCGCGGCACGTTACGTCCTCAAGGACTACGTGAACGGCAAGCTGCTTTTCGTGCGCCCGCCGCCCGGCATCGAAGACGCCAAGGCCTTCAACAGCGAGCTCTACGATGAATTCCACCTGCCGGAGAAGCGGCGCGCCGCTCTCGTCACTGCTGCGCACTCTCTCTCCCTGGAGGATGACGACACCGTGGCGCCCTCCGTCACGGAGTCGGACATGATCGCCATGCCCGCAGGCCCCAAGACGGAGAAGCTCGACGCGGGTTTCTTCAAGCCCAAGAACGTGCAGGGCCACCTCGCCATGCCCTTCAGCTACAAGTACTCGGAGCAGGGGAGCGCGTCGGGCAACAGCGCGGCGAGCAAGCAGCTGAGCGGGCGCAAGGCGCGCTCCATGATCGCGCTGGAGAACGGCATCGACCCCAAGGACGTGCAGGTCGTGGCGGGCAAGAAGCACTACAAGGGCAGGGCGAAGAGCGAGCGGAAGAAGAACCGCGGCATCAACATCGTAGATGACTGAAGCGGTAAAGGATAGACAAAGTTGAATGAAGTCATGACGAATAATACACTGCGTCTGGATGCTTGTATAGCAAAGGTTGTAAATCGTGATATCTATGTGCAAGACTTGAACGGCAACCGTACAGTGATGAGAGCATCCACAACTTTCGATCCATCCTGCATCACTTCCCAACAGCTTGTGCTCATTTAAAGTCATCTTGCTTTTCTTCTGCCGGGATTCAGACGTCGCCTCGTATCCCTAACCCAAAGAAAGACATGAGGGAAGGAAAATTGTATTTGCCACTAGTAGTTGAACACCATCAAGCTCGGGTTCAGCACAAGCGGAACCAGGGCATGGAAGCCCAGGTTCAGTGCGAGCGGCACAATGACGGAAAAGTCGGTAATGGCCCAGTCTGGCGGCGCAAAGGCGCCGAGGTAGACCATGGCGCCGACGAGCAGCGCGATGATGAGGTACATCCACTTGAACGTCTTGAAGATGCGGGGCATCTCTTGGAAGAAGTTGCTGTCCTCCTTCTCCTTGGACGTGGAGCCCCACTGCATGTCGACGTGGAAGAGGTGCGCGAGCAGGGCCGTGGTGATGTGGAACGAGATGCCGCCGAAGAAAACGGTCATCATAGGCATCCACTTGAAGTTTTCGACCAGGGAGCCTAGGAGCGAGCGCTCTCCTGTGCGGTAGCGGAAGATGGCGAGGGAGATGGGGCCCGATGCGTTGAAGACGACGACCAGCGAGAGGAAGACGTTCCAGGACGTGAGGTAGCAGCTTGCCAGATCGTCGCGGAACCAGCCCACGATGAAGTAGTTGATGACGGTGAGCAAGAGAGCCGATCCGAGGGCGAAGTAGGAGCACATGTACGCCATGATGGATATCTTGGATGAAAGCATGATGTTGGACCCGAGGTAGGTGTAGAAGAGCGGCGTGAAGGGTCCTTTGAAGATCCAGCGGTGGAACGGATGGAATATCATCTCGCTCACGCCGTACGCGTACTTTTGCCAGCGAGCAACCTCGTCGTATATGGTCAGAGAGACGCCCTCCTTGAACTGGTCGTTGTGATAGCTGGCAATCCGAATGGTATTGCCCCGCATTTGCAGGCGAAGCGCCATGTCGAAGTCCTCAGAAACGTGACTCTCTGACCAGTAAGGGACATAGCCGGAGTCGTCTTCAACTCCCACATCTTGAACGGCTACAGACCGTTAGCAGGGCCTTGGAGATTCGTCACGAGAGTCGCTTACCCTGCCACCGGAGAAAGGCATTGTGACCGACAAAAGGGGCCACCTCGCCAGAGCCAATAGAGAAACGAATGGAAGTGTAGACGAGGTTCGTGAAGAAGGTGATACCGTTCTCAAAGTAGTCATGTGCAACCTGCATGACGCCGGTGGAGTGCTGGACAATAGCCGTCTCGGGAGACAGAAACATCTCCGCAGCTCCGTAGAGAAGGCAGTCGACGGGCTGGATGCGTCAGCTTCGGTTCCTGGTTGAGCGAAGGGGTGTGCAGCTTACCACTTGAGTGTCCGAATCGACAATCAGAATGAGCTCACCAACGCGTATGTCGCCATCAGCCCAAGCAAGAGGGTTCTCCTCCAGTACACGAGCCAAAGCCTCCGAGTACATTCTGGCCTCCTCGGCCTCATCAACCATGTCTGACCCAGCCGAGGCAAGCCGGGCGTCAACCATTTCTTGAATGTAAGCCTCCGCCTTTTGGGAGATGTTAAGTGCAAAGTTCATGTTGGATGCCTTCTTGAACTTGCCCTCGCGCACGAAGCCCTCGTCGCCGTTGTGCTTCGGCCGCGCGACCCACCCGATGTTATTGTCGTGGTAAAAGTCTCGTCGCTGCTTCACGATTTCCTCGTTCATCCCCGCTCGGAGGCCGTCGTCATTGACGAAGATGTTGGCAGAACCACCATGAGACTCGTAGAAAGAGATGGCAGCCTGAAGACTGCGAATGGTTGGCATGATGACGGACTCCATGCCCTCCTTGTAGACTGGCATCTGAATGGTAATTTTGGGCGGCAGGAACCCATCTGCAAAAGCCCGTTTCAGGCATGGCTTATGACACGAGTAGTATCTCGAATTGGTGCTGACACCGCCAATGGGCCCGATCATCTGGAACAGGTTGTTGAAAATGACCTGGAAGAAGAACAGACTGACACACATCAGCAGCGGGATTGGAGCCACGAGCGCCAGGCGAGTCCATGAACCGTCCAGAATGCACTCGGTGACTAGTTTGCCGATGTATACGCCGAACAACAGGCAGATGGACAGGCACATTGCCATTCCAACGAAGAAGGCCGAAGCACGAGCTACAGGTCTGGCGACAGACTCGGGGCGGTCCATCCCGGGGTCTCTGTCGAGCTCCTCCGCGCTCTCGTTGACGTATGACATGGGTGCTGCCTTTTCCAGTGCCGGGGTTGAATAGCCATTCGGACTGGACATGCCCGATGACATGATGGAGGGCGTTCTGCTGGGCATCTGAAGAATGTTGAACGGCAGCCTACTTTCGCCCCAGACCTGGTTCGAGTATTAGCTTGTGAAGAATAGCGACCGCCTAGCGTGAGTCCTACTAGTGACAGGAGCTTCTCTTCCATCTGTGTAGCGACCGGGACGATGTTCTGCAAATCATCGTGCCAGACTAGGACAAGCCGCTCTTGCCGGCAAATGCAAGCATACTGAAACTTCTTGACAGTCGCCGAGTGTGCAAACGTCAGAGAATCAATGATCTGGACCTGCGAGCCGTCCTTGAACTTGAGCTCTGTCTGTCCTGGCGTCAGGGATCTCAGAACGCCATCGAGCAGCTGTGGCCGCAGCGTAATCGCCACGCTCAAGTTCAATCGCATGACAGCTCCTAATAGGACATGGTGGACTGTATCCGGCGCGGTGACATAGTTGCCTCTGGAGCGCCGCAGCAGAACTCCAAGACAGTCGTCGTGACTACGAGCGGATTCCGGGGGCGTCCAGCCACTAGCCACTACTCTGTTGTGGAGGTATCTGACCATCTATGTGCAAGTCAGTCTCGTCACATTGCGGAGGGACACGATGCGCTGCCTACCGTCTTGTAACGAAACTCATCGTCATATCTCCCATTCTGCGGTGTAGTCGGTCCCGCGTGGCTCCCACTGGACTCTGACGACGCCAATGATGGGGCCGCAAAGGACCTGTTCCTCGGGAGAGGTGTGAGCCCATGGACGGAGGGCGTTGGTGAGGGATCCATGGCGGATTGTGGTCCAGGAGCCGATGCTGCCGGATACAAGTTGCAGTTGCTCTATGCCTCAAGGTGTGTCTGACTCTGACAACAACGATCGACTTGCGTGACGACGCCGGGCGAGCACCTTAAGAATATTAACAGCCGACACACCACGTCTCAAAACTACAAATCAAGACGATCTGCTGGCTCAAGTCACAGCGATTATCATCGGGATCCCGTCTGAGTGGCACCGTGGTTAGGTTGCAAGCGCAGACCAGCCGGATGGGGTGGCCGAGATGGATAGTCGAGGATACTAGTTCTTGGTTTTCGAGTAGTGCGAGCAGACTCGAAGGGTATCCGCTGAAAATGTTTTATGAATGGCAAGCAGCAGGTCAATCGAAGTGTTTGGGGGCTGACGACCGGGAACGTAACCCTCCATCAACACGGCGCCACCTCGTCGCGAGCTCGTCCCAACTTCCTAGCTCGCCTCGCAGGTTCGAGACCCGCAGCAGCGAGTCGAGGACTTCGAGGACTCCAGGCCACGTTGGCCACCGGTCAAGGACCGTGGTGGCCCTGCCAAGAGGTGCCATGTCTTCACGGGACCGTCCATAACGGCATTCGGATGTTACCCGTGTCGCGGACGCCCTAGCTCTACCCATGGCGATGCCGGAGGCGGGAGTGGGCCGAGCTGGACTTGAACACCAATATCAAAGCCATCAAGTACCGAACCCGCTTGTGTCTCTGCGGCATCCTCGACACGACTTCTGCATGAGAGTTGTACCCTGGTTAGTTGCGCCCGCCGGAGCCCAGGCCGGCTGAGCGGACCGCAGCATTGCATCCGCTAATGCTCTGTTCCTGGACCGTGGGTGGACCAAGCGCCGCGTGTGGATCGCTCGTCTCGCTTGCAGGAGTAAACGCCGCAAGACCAGAGTCGTATTGTGGCCACGGCTCTACCGGTGATGATAGACGCTACCACGGCCATTGGTGACCGCGTCCGTTAGCATCGAAGCGGCCCAGAACCGCCTAGCCAGGCTTGTCAAGACCCATCATGACGCGATTCAGCAGATAAAGGACGGTGTCGAGGATGCATCACGACAGATGTCTGGTCGATATCGCCGTGTCGAGGTTACGACCGAGACGGCCGATGCAACAGGGTGGACCAAAGGGCTCACATAGCTTCATATCTCAACGAACTGCAAGTTAATCATGATGATATGGCGTTGATACGGTCCAGAAGCGCGAGTGAAGACTGGCTCGCTGCGTGCGTTCAGGAACCCTTGTAGAACTTCAGTGCATCCGCAACAAGCGACCCAGCATGGGCAAACGGTGAGTACCAAACTCCGCTTGGCCGAGGATCCCGGTCTGAGGATGGGTCCGGGGACTTCTGCCGTACCATACCAGGCGGTATGGGTTGCTAACTTCAAAGCAGTAGGCTGAACGCAAAGAACAAGCGATGGCCGAGCCGGGCCGGTCTGTTGGCTGGCGAGATGAGATACGGACAGGCAGACAGACCTGGCAAACAGGGAATCCCCTGTGATCGGCCCCGTCAACGACGGCGCAGGAGCGAACATGGTATGGCATCACGCCAACGCAAGAGGTCATTCTTGGCACCACAGTGATGTTGCAAAGGTCACCGAGGCAGACGCAGCAGATTGGAGATGGCGCAACTAGCTTCCTCATCGAGCGTCTTGACTCGGAGCGCATGCCACTCGCTGGTGGCACAACTGACAATCTCTGAGGCTGCCGGTATCTCAGCGGGTGTCGTCCAGTTCGTAACTTCGTAGCACGGAACGAGCTGGTGCCGGCGGATGTGTCGATTAGTCGTGCTTTGCACTGGCGTTCCTTGCCCGAGCTGAACCGTGGTCGAGGTTAACGTCGGCCCGTCGCAATCACCGAGTGAGGCTACGGCAATGACTGAATGGTTGACGCTGGAGAGGCCGAGATGGAACGGTGTTGTTGAGGCGGACGGTCGCTTTCTTAGTTCCAACTCTGTCGCCAAGAAAACGGACACCTTAGGCGCATCCGTCGAATCTGTGGATACCTGAGTCCTGAGGCGTGTGCGAAACCACGCCCTCTCGTGCCTTCCTCATGGGCATGTCGCAGTGCCGCAGGACCGCCATGTTTCACGTTCAGCGAGGAAGTTACGCTGCCCCATTGTGGCTTCCTTGGTTGACAAGACGGCAAGATGTGAAGGCGGCACAACGGCCGCACCTTCCTATTAGCGTGGGCGAAGAATAGGTAGTCGCGCGCTAATCTCAGTCGGCTGCAGTGCCGTCCCCAACGTCGTCGGAGGAATTCGTCCTTCTGCATCATCTATCTGCTCGGCCGGTTGGCTTCCCGAGAGGTGCAGATATGCGCATCCTCGTACATGCACGACTCGCGGCGGCGAACCCAGGCTCCGCTCGGTCTGCTTCGCCAAGTCCGCCAATTGTTTCCTGCGCTGCTTTCGTGCGGCCCATCATCGAAGTGTCCGCACCGCCAATGCCAGGGGAAGCATCCGCTGCCGGGGGTGATGACCACCACCCATCTCAGCCACCAGATCGTGGCGTCCGGCTCGTCTATTGTTAGTGCCGGCCCGGCTCAGCGCCGTTCAGGACGGATGGAAAACCGGGGCCCAGGAATTTGGAATGAGGTTTGGGTGAGTTGGTGGAGGCGCCACACCGACGACATCTGTCCTGCCTTGCCTGGCTCTTTTGTCCCGTCCTCGCCGCCGATGCCACCACGCGCCTGTACGCATGTTGGCCAGCGCAACCTCGCTCAGCGGCGACGAGCCAGAACTTCAGGGGCATGGGTCGTTCAGCAGCGGTCGTGACTCGTGAGCCTAGCAGCGGTCGTGACTCGCGAGCCTCGCAGCTGTTTAGGCGATCGACCATCCTCTTCAGCTAGCCTTCTATTCTCGCCAGCGGCGCCCCATGGATGCAGCCGTGAGAGATATATCTTGCCGGATGCAAAGGAGCGTCGACCGGGGTAGGGCGGGCCGCGGCGAGCAGCTCGTCCCATGTCTCTAGGCCCTGGCTTGCCGCCACGGCTTGGCTGCACCCAGATGACGGCATTCATGCTGGAGCTTGCTGAAAAAAGCAGCGTGCAAGGATCAGCGTTGCAATATTGGCTCTTTGGCCCCCGTGCGGGTAGAAAGGTCAGGTACGAGTGCTGTACACATGAAATCTGAGCAGACTGGATTACTTATCGCCACGCGCTGGGCGATTCTGGACTCGATGTTGATGCCGCCAAGGGGTGAAGCTCTTCGGCCGGAGCCTTCCCGCGAGATCGGCTGAGGAAATGATCACCGGTGTGTGGAGAGAAACCGCAGCCGTAGCACGATCTCACAAACGCGGCCCTGCAGAGTTACATCCAGGCAAAAATTCTAGAGCGTAGCATCCGAGCCATGCCGTTGTTGTGAGTCCGCGGCGTTGGAACGCAGCTGCTTCTAGCCTTTGTCTGCGGATGCGGCTGGCGCCCTCCGAACCATCTACGATTGTCCAGTGAGGCAAGTTCCGCGGTCGCAGCACTCCGGCATGCCGTTCTCGGTGCGGCCAGTCAAGCACAGAACTCGTATCGGCGGCCGGCCATGCAGCGCATCGGACATGCCGTGTTGCTGCTGTCGTTTCCGTCCATTGTGCGCCGACTATATCCCTTCGACGCCTCTCGTTTCCCCCTTGTCTCCCTGTCGGTACTTGAGATTCTCTCCTTGTCTATCCGTCGGCAATCAGCTTGAAGTAAGCAGCCCGTCATGGTCGACATGCAGGAGAAATCCGAGGGCGGCTCACCCGTCCAGCGGAGGGCCCGAGCCATCCTGCCTCCCGCGACCACAGAGGCAACTGCCACTCACAGCACGTTCGGGCCGTCATCGCACGCTACGCCCCGGGCATCATCGGTGGATGATGGCTTCAGGCACAGGTTCAAGAGTTACCGCCTGCGCGGCGAATATGAGAAGCCCTGGCTGGCGGACCCAGCCATGAAGAAGACGCGTTGGAACAACTACATCGTCTGGGCGTGGCTGGCGCTGGGCGTCATCGGCGCTGGAGTCATCTGCTTCTTCCTGGTCTGGCCGTACCGAAACCTTGATGTAAGTGCACCTATCTCATCACCCTCATTTCCCATCAAAGGCAGAAACAGGACTGAACTAACCGTTGATATGGCGGGAACCTACAGTATTGTCTCGTATATGAAGACCACTTTGACAGGCTCGACACGGACATCTGGACACACGAAGTGCAGCTGGACGGGTTCGGTACAGGCGCCTTCGACTGGACAACGGCAGACGCCAAGAACTCGTACATTGATACCTCGGGACTGCACATTGTGCCGACACTTACCAACGAGACAACGGGCATCACAAGCGACCAGCTCTACGCAAACTACACGCTTGACCTGCTCAAAGATGGCACCTGCACGAGCCAGCAGAACTCGTCGTGCGTGACGCGATCTGACCCCAAGAAGGGCGTCATGATTCCTCCTGTGCGCTCCGCACGCCTGTCCACGAAGGGCAAGAAGAGCATCCGCTATGGCAAGGTCGAGGTCGTGGCCAAGATGCCCAAGGGGGACTGGATCTGGCCCGCCATCTGTGAGTCGTCTCTTTCCCGTCACCTCAAATTCTACCAAAAGTGTTCTTTTCATTCTTCAGTCCCCCCGAGACTAACAATGCGGCCCTCCAGGGATGATGCCTGAAGACTCTGTATACGGCGAGTGGCCCCGCAGCGGCGAAATCGACATCATGGAGTCCCGCGGCAACGGGCGAGACTATTCTGAAGGCGGCCGCAACTACTACTACGGCACGCTGCACTGGGGTAATCCATTCATTCCACTCCCATCTATGTGATGTGACGCATGCAAGTGCCATCTCTGACAAGACGTCAATGCAGGCCCCACGAGCGAGACCGATTCGTACTGGAAGACGACCAACGCGAAGCGCATCCGCCGCGGCGACTACTCGTCGTCGTTCCACACGTTCGGCGTGCAGTGGACGCCCAACTACATCTACTTTTACATCGACTCGCGCGTCCACCAGATCCTCTTCATCGGCTTCGAGCGCGACCGCCCGCTCTACGACGTGGGCCGCTTCGCCAGCATGGCCGAGAACCAGACCCTGCTCGCCAACCCCTGGGCGCGCAGCAACTCGTCCACCGGCAACGCGCCCTTTGACCAGCGCTTCTACCTCGTCCTCAACGTGGCTGTCGGGTCCCGCAACGGCTGGTTCTTGTAAGTCGGCAATTCCCCCCCTTCTCTCCTGTTACCATCTATATTCCCCCCGCCCTTCCCGTTCCGACGGCTGCGGAGCGCATCAAAACACAACTGCTCGATATTGCAAGATGGAGGATGCTGACGCGATCTTCCGTCTAGGGACCACGTCGGCGGCAAGCCCTGGATCGACGAGGCCAAGAACGCGCAGTGGACGTTCTGGGACGCGGCCGACGAGTGGCTGCCCACGTGGGCCGAGGGCGACGAGCGCGGCATGACGGTCCGCTCCGTGCGCATGTGGCAGCAGGGCGCGTGCGGCCAGATGGAGGAGCTGTAGTCTGGGTTTTGCAGGGTATCTCGTTTTCGATTCGTTTCATGTACATGGTACGTTTGTGGGCATCTATCTTTGTGCGGCAGCACACACATCATTGCGGGTCGTGGGATACACTACGGAATGTAGGAGGAGGCGTGGGGGGTGGCAATGGCATGGTACGTAATGACGGAGTTTGGTGGATAGTTACTTGAATGGGCATCTAATTCACATGTACTCAAGAGTCCGAGGACGTCTGGACGGACAATAGTTACCACGTCTCCCTCGGCAGTGTTGGTTCCGTGACCGAAGTCGCTCGGGAGAACTCGACGAGCAGCAGCTTCAGACATCACATTCACCCGTACAGCACCAGCACCAGCACCAGTGTCGCCAGCAAACAAAGAGGTAGAAAGGGACATAAGTCTTTTTCGGTGGTGCTAGCTAAAATGAAATGGGTATTCCCGTCCGTCCTGCCTCGCGCGTCTACTACTATGCAAAGTGTCCGCTCGCTCCAGCCCTGAAAGCACGCCGCCATTGTTTTGACAGAATGACCGCAAAACAGCGTCTAGAAAAAAAGACATGCCATGCCGTGCCGTGCCCGTGCCGTGCCGTGCTCGTGATGCATCGTTTTCTTTCGCCCGAATCAAAACTCCGCAATGCCCCATCAAAGAATATCTTTCCCGGTCGCCTATGTTTCCCCCCCACCCCATCGTGTAATGTATGTGAGCGTGCGCCCCCGACTTGTTTAGTATCCCGCGTGTGTAAAGACCCATGTATAAAGACGCTCATCTCCAGTTCCGTTCCTCCGTCTTGCGGAACAGTCTCTTTGTTCCGCCGACCTTGCCCAGTTCGCCAAACCGACCCCTGTCATCCGCACCTGAGGAGCGCCTCTCGCCGCTGGCAAGTCGCACCTTTTCCGTGATGCTCTCTACCCACGCCCGCCTCTCGTCGCTCATCTCAACCTTCTTGCCCGTCGGGCCGGCCAGGCCGAGGAACGAGCTGTCGTCGTCTTCCCAGCTGAACCGTGAACTCGTCCGTGACCGCACCGACTCCTCTGACGACGGGGCGTTGTCGGTAGAGCGGCTGGCGTCGGCCGGTGTCTTGGGCCTCAGGCGCTGTGTCTCGTTGTTGGTAGTCCCGGCGGCCCTGCGCGTCTTGTGTATGGTGAGAGGCGTCACGGGCGAGCTGTCCGGCGCGGCAGGCCTGGCCCTGGGCGGGCTGGATCCCAAGCTGGTCATGAGTCCGCTAGAAGTCCTCGGCACGCCTCGGACCTCTATCTTCGTCTTGTCCGGCCCGGTTGAGCGCCGCCCATGATGGGTAGCATAGGCCTTCAGGTACTCGCTCAAATCAGCCCAGCCACCTCCGACTCGTACCATGACACGCTCGCCATGTTCACCGACGCAGCGAATAAACAGCTTGATTGGGGGTTCGCCAGTCGACCTTGACAGGTGGTAGACTTTGATCTCCTGCTGGCCACGGCTTCGCGCCCGAGGGTTCTTTGCAGGGGACAGCGTGAACGATGGTGTCGCGGCCCGCGAGGACAAGACGGACAGTGCCGATGGGCTCCTTCTGTACGGCTCCTTGGATGGCTTCTTGCGGAGTCGAGGGAGCTGTAGATCGGGCGGGTTCAGGTTGACTGCCGGAGGCTCCGCTGACAGCTTGATCTTGGCTGGGATCGATTCAATGATGTCACTGATCTGCTGCCGCAGCTGCTGGTCTCCAGAGCTCTCTCTGCGAAGCATGGAGCTCGTCAGCTCCGACATGGAAAGAGTGTCGTCAAAATCATCGATGAATGATTGATCAGCAGGGCCTTTGAGGAAGATCGACTCCCCATCGATGGGTGCGATGAAAGGGCTGTCCAGAAGTGTTGCAGGAGGTGCGGACGGCCCGTCTGTAGGATCATTTGCGGGAAGCGGGGGCGAGCTGGGCGGGCTAGGCGGGCTGCCGTTGTATGTGGCCTCACGGATCCGTCTCTTAGGCAAAGCGGGAGAGCGAGATACCTCGGGAGGGTCGCTCGAAAGGGCGTCAAACTGACTGGAGACCCCTTGCAGAGTGATGGATGGTTGGGATGCAAGGCTGGCGTCGCTGGGTTGGGTCCTTAGTGGCGGGAGCTCCTGCTCGTCTTCCTCCTCAACCGGCAGCACATGGTGATCAAAGGACGGTAGCTGGTCCTTGGCCGTGTCAGAAACGAGGTCTCTGCTCGCGTCCGAAGTTGCTCCAGCTTCATCTTCCACGGTGACACGGGGTGGTCCGAGCTGTGTGGACGATGTGGCCTCATCGTTGGTCGGGTGTTGATCGACGTCCGGTTCGTCAGCCGTGGAGCCAGCATCAGCAACGAGCAGTCCCTTGACAGGATCTTGGCCGCTGGTCGCACCAGAAGAAGGGAGCGATGCAGCGGAATGCTCGCGGGCGCTGGCAGAAGCAGTCCAGTCTGCCTCGCGGATCTTCCTCTCGCAGGTTGCCACCCATTCGCTGAAGCTAACCTCGACAGTTTCCATGCGGTCTAGCCAGGATTCAGGCAGCGTGTCTTGCGTGCCCTCGAGGCAGTCCAACATGTAATCCAGCATGCTTCCGGGCTTGGTGATCCTTTGCGTGAGCACCTTTTTCATGACCTCAAAGTCTTCGCGCTTCAGCCCGGGCGGAGATATTGTCTCGTCGCCACCGGTTATTTGCGATGATCTCCTGGATGGCTGAGTGATGGCGGCCCAGCCTGATTTGAGTGCGACTTCGGCGTCTTCGATGGCAAGCGAGAGGGGCGGAACGCGGTGAAGCACACGCAACCGTACGGTCCAGGTCTGCAGCAGCCGCGACAGTTTCGCGAGATTGGGAAGCGTCTGAACCACGAGAGCGGTAATAACGGCCGTCATGTCCTCCATCTTGTTGTAGCTTGCCATCGTCGCCTGCGGGGACAGCGGCTTTATGGGCGAGTTGGGCCGGGAAAGCGGCATGATGTGGTTGTGCAGGACATGGCTCTTGATGTCCTCGAGCTCGAGGTCCTCCATGGCGATATGTATGTCCTCTATCCTCCTCTCGTAGGCTGCCACGTTCTTAGCAGACAAGCTCCCCAAGTAGTGGACATGGGCCGGCTCCGTTGGCGTCGGGCTGGTGGGAAGCTCTTCTTGTTTCCCATTTACACCCTCGAAGCCCGCGAACCCGCCCGCAGCCGGCCAGTCCCATTCCGACAGCTCGTCCACCCACTCCCATATCCTTTGGGAGGCGATGGCGGTGCGCATGGCAAAGTCCCGTTCGGCTGCAGATGCCGCGTCGAGGCAGTCCTTTAGTGCGCCCAGGGGCGACGCGAGGGCCTCAACCGCGTTGGCGGGCGCGATGTGCACGAGGATGTCATCTGCGGCGCGTTGTCTCGTGGGCGAGTGGTTGAACATGGCAGAGTGCCGCTTGTTGGGCTTGAAAAGGGGATGCGGTTCGGTCATTGCCGTAGAAATGTGTTGTCAACGATGGCCGTCGTGGCCTGTTCGGGTGGTGGTGTCGCCTCGCGTCGCGGCTAGTGCAAGCGTATCGTCGTCGTCGTTGTCGTCGGTAGTGGTGATCGGTGCAGCGGCTCGTGGAGGAGCAGCAGCAGCAGCGGTCGCAGCAAAAAACGGATTCGTTCGGGAGCTGGCGAAGCGACATGATCTGCTCACGGCCCGGGCGAAAATGTGGTAACAATGAGGCGGCTGGCGACGACGATGATGCCCATAATGCAGTTTGATGGAGGAGTGCAGGAAACGTGTGCGCGACGGACTGGCGGCGCGCTTTGGGCAAGGCACCACTTTCTGGCTTTTAGTGGAGGAGCAAGTGCCGCGACAGGGACCTGCGACGGGGAGCTGGGGGGCACGGCACACGACTCGTCGCCTGCTCCTTTGCCTCTGTCTCTCTCTGTGTCTCTGTGGCGGAAGCGGCCAACGAATAAATGACTGGCCGAGCGAGCCCCCGGGTGACGCGAAGGGGACGGCGGGGAGAAGGAGCGACGAGAAAGCGCGGCGGCCCAACAGGAGGGAAACAGCGGAAAGAGGTGTCTCTTAATGGTGCCTCAATCCAGAAGCAAAAAAGTCGGCGTACGGTGGTGCCACCGCGAGACGCATGCGCGTACGACTAAGGCAAGGTAAGGTTGGGTCTGTACTCGGACACGTCGACGTATGTACGGGCAGAGTTTGGTGCGGAGCACAGCACTGGGCACCTTTCGGCAACCCCTTCGTACAGGCAAGCGAAGCGAGTGAGTGAGGCGTGTAAACGGGCCTCCCGTCTGTGATACGACCGACCGACAGGACGGGCGGACGGACGAGGCTGGCAGCGAATGGCGAGACGCGTCGGTGGGGATGTTCGCACCCAGGCCGCCGTGGTTGGTCAGCAGAGCTCGGGAAAAAAGAAGCTGCGAGCTGCCTGTCTCGTTCGTTCTTCGGCCGGGCCGCGGTAAGGGAAGCAAGCAAGGGGCCGGGCGGGAGCGCGCGCGTGCGTGTCTGCGATGGACTTTATTCGGGGGGGCTGGCTGGCTGGCTGGGCAGATGGCGAGTCGACCCGTGGTTTAAGGTTGCACGCGTAGCTGCCGGTTCTCTGTAATATGTGTGGCGGCGAAAATAAAAAGGGGGCAGGCCACCTAGGCCATGCAGCGAGCGAGCGAGCGAGCGACAGAAGGGGTGCGCAGACGATGCAAGGAGCAAAAAGCAGAACCGCTGCGAGCGAGAGCGAGAGAAGGAGAGGGGAAAAGGTTGGCAAAACGAGTGAGCCACCGCGCAATGGACGAAACGAACAAATGAATCAACGAACGACCAAAGGGCAAATGCAAAGGGAATCCGAAAAAGACTGGCCTGGCGGCGCGGGGGACCATCGAGAGAGCACCTGGAAAAGCAAAAGTCTCGTCCAATCTCGCGTGGGCCTCTGCTTTAATGAGGCCCCCATCCCCTCCCCCCCAGTTCTCACCTCACCACGCCTCGCAAACACCATCGCCTACTCCGTCCCACCGCCCGCTGCCCGACCAACCGTCCCGGTCCGGCAAGGCCAACCTGCGGTGCCCAGCCAGAAGCCCAGCACCGGGCCAGGGGCAATCTGCCCATCTCGAGATTGGCGTGATCCGCCACCGCCGTCGCTGCCGCCGCCGCCTCTCCCAGATCTGGCGGATGCCGCCAAGCTGCACGTCAGGGGCCCTCCAGATGCACCTCATCCCTCCCGCCCGACGTCTCCAGCGGGCCCCCCTCCTTTGCCTAGGGTCTGAAACCGCCATCCCGCCGGATCGTCGACGTTCATGCGTCTTTATATAGATGCTGGAATGCACCTGACTCTGCTATCCGCATTCCTTCCCCAGATGCCTAGGCATTGACGACGGGTACGCACAAGACCTCGCTGCATCGCTGGCAACGCCGCGACACCAATGTGGCGATGCAAGCCGTATCAAATGTACTTGCATTTAAATTAAATGAGGCCCGTCGATCCAACCGTTGGCCGGCCATTGCCGCCGTTTGTCGCGGCACAGCTTCACACGTCCTCACTTGTCACCATGGATTGTCGCGCTCATCAGACAATGCCGATGCTCGCTCCCGCCGCCAAGCATGACAGTCGCCAATCTCTCTCAACTCGCTCCATTCTTGTTCATCTAAGCCAAGTACCACTCTTGAGAGAGCGTCTGATACAATTCGTTCATAAGATTCATGTCGTTGCCTTTCCGACGACTTGTTTTGGTCTCCCAACGCACCCAAACGCCAATGTCCTTATAGATGCCCCGTGATCTGAACCAACCAGGCACATGCAACGCCAAACACCGCCTTGTCTACCACCCAAAAACACGATTGGTAACCCCATACGTAACCATTATTTGCCCGTCCAAGGCATACACGCCCGTGTCCCTGGTGGACACCAGCTAATCAAGATTGCTGCCACGAAGGGACAGGTGGCGATTGCGATGCGTGATTCTGGCCGACGACGGAGAGTCGCCGTAGTAACCGTCATGCCTGCGCAGATACCTCCATGTTGGCGCTAGGCTCGGTGGCCTGCATCGTCGTGTCGCCATCGTTGTCCAGGGCCGCCAAGCTGAGCACCTGCTCCATCGTCTTGCTTTCGTCGTCTCCGTTGGCGCCGAATACCCCGCCAGTGATGCCATCGTCCTGCCCGTTGACCCCCTCGGGCGGAAATTGCAGCCACTGGTCCACGTCGAAGTCGGTACCCGCCACCGCGTTCCAATCAAACTCGTCATGGCCCTGCATAAAGTCAAGGTCGACCGCGTCCAGGTCGATCTGGGCCGCGTCCGATCCCCCACTGGCGCTTGGCGTCATGCCCGCCGAATCAAAGTCGGTTTGGGGCGGCGAGGTCGCCGACAGCTCAAGCGCCGCAGCGTTGACAGTGTTGGGCGGCAGCATCGTCTGCCTCTGTGCCTGCTTCGGCTTCTCGTGGAAGAGCGACTCCGCGGCCGTCATATACGGCACATTCTCCGGAGGCGGCGTCTGGGCGCTGAACTCCACAGGCACCTGCTTCATCAGGGAGAGAGTGGACTGAGAGACGCTCGTGGAAACATCGATTGCGGCTTTGCGTAGTGCAGCATCCAAGAATCCCGTGGCATAGTCGGCCGCGGCATAGATCTCTCTCAGCTTCTCCATGACACGCATGCACTGGCGGAAGCCCTTGGTCGCGCGATCGCGAGCTTGTGGCGTCGGATTCTTCATCTCGAGGAGGTGGATGATCATCGCCGGCAGAATCACCGTTACGCCGGTCGTCGGCAGGTATCGCTCGAGGCGGAGATGATGCAGCTCCGTTGCCATGCGTGTAATCTGTGAGGCCGCATCCCGGACTCGCAGGCGTGAAATCTCCTGTGTCTGTCGGGACGTCGTCGGTGCCTGTGACGGGGACGAGGGGAGGAATTGAGGCCGGTGGAGAGCCGAGATGGTCGTATGGTAGACCATGTGGAGCAGCGTCCGCTGCACCGCAATAGTCGACTTGCCATCCTTGACATCGAGAGGGTTGAGGGGACGATAGTTGCAACACTCCGGCAGCGACTCGGCCCAAGCGCTGAGCTCGATGTCTACGGCGTTGATGCTTTCGACGTTGTCCAGCTGCTTATTCGGGAACAGCATCATGGTGCTGTTGGTGGTGTTCTCGGGCTTCATCTTGTCACGGATGAGCACCGAGTATTGGGCCTTGAGCATGTGGCTGATGCACACACACAGCTTGGCCTTTGCGATGCACATGGTCGCCAGCTCGCGCTGCATGGCGACATCGCGCATGAGCCTGCATTCTTTGGGGATGACGGTGTTGCTCTCGGGCAGCGCTTGGATCTCAAAGTCGGCCTCGACAAGCATGGGCACATCAAAGTCCTCGTCCTTGATGCGTGTGGGGCGGCGCATGCCCAGCGCGATGAGACGGTCGCGCATGAAGCACGACCACCAGATGCGCTTCCACAGCCGCTGCTTGGGGACAGACATGCTCGTCGCCTCCGGGTTGCGGTGGAGGCCGATGGTGTGGGCCAGGGAGATGGCCACGCCCATCCAATGCCATGTGTCCTTCTGATCATCAGGGGTCTCATACCAGTAAGTCATGAGCATGAGGGCCTGGACGAGGACGAGGCGGTCTGATTCGTAGTCGAAATCGTAGAGGAGCTATGCGTTTTCACATGTAAGCGTTGGCATCTCCTATGACGGGATGAACCCCACACCCGTTCCAGGCACTTGGGGACACCCCACCGCCACCACATGCCCCGAAATGACGGGGCGCAACGGCGAGCTGGTGCATGTGCGGGGAGCGGACACGGAGCACATGCATGGAAACGGGTATGCCGCGTTGACGGGCGCAGGGGGGTGTGAGGACATCAACTTACCCTGGTCTTCTGGAAAAAGGCTTTTCGGGCGGCCTTGCGAGTCGCGTAGCCTGCCTCCCGCAGGTACTTCATGTCGACAAAGGCGGTCGCGGAGAACATCATGGCCTGGTAGAGGAGCAGGCTCGTCTGGCCATTGAGCCCGTCGCGGCGGTTGACAATGTTGAGGAAGCCATGGAGATCCATGAGCGGCATGTACGGGTGCACATACTCGACGTAAGACTGCAGCAGCCCGTTCTGCAGAGGTGTCGAGGGCAACGTCAGGGCGCCCTTTGCGTGGAGGTACTGGACATCCTCAGGCGCGATTTTGGACGGCAGGGGCCGGACAAAGGGCGGGAGGTGAGTGCCAGCATCGGGAGGCTCGAGCGAGTTGAGGAATTGGGCAGTCCGGCCGTTGCCAAAGAGGTCGGCGTGACCAGCAAGACTGGGGTTCCAGGGCAGCTGAGGCGACGGAAGCGTGGGCGTGTTGTCAGACTGGATGCGGCTCAGGAGGGAGCTAGCGTCGCTATGACTGCGGTATCCGGCAGAGCGCTGGTCTGGTCTCGTGGTCAGCAGGGTGCGTCGTACATCGTCATCATGCTTGACAGTGCTGCATCGGTGAGGGAGAGGCGCGAGGTGAGAGTGCGGCAGGCTTCCGCGATTTGCACGTGAAAGTGGGAGTGCGGCCCCAGGCCATGGGGAGGCCGGTGAGACACAAGCCAGGTGAGACTCGTGATGCCCCAGCCCAGCCCAGCCCGTGCAGGAACGCTCGGCGGGGCCCCACCTTCCTAGCACGAACTCAAACTCCGGAAAAGGGGGCTTTGGGGCTCTTGGGGCCTGGCCTGGGGCGTCGGGGGGAAGGTGGGTCGCCGAAAGCTGGAGAAGGAGCGAGTCGCGGGAGATGCGGAGAAGACACGGAGTCGGAGGCCGTCTCCAAAACGCCGGTCATGCAGATCGCCGGTAGAGGGGCAGGCAAGGGCCAGAAAAAAACCGAGAGAGAGCGCGTGTCATGGACGTGTCGAAGAAACACGACCAGCAAGAGAAAAAAACAGACACTCACAAATCATGTGCGGGACGTGCCCGTCCACGCTGCTGAAGCTGCTCTTGGCCTCGCTCGCCCGCCTGGCAGCGGCGGCCGCGGCGGCAGGGCCGTTGATGGCGGCCAGCGGGTTGCCCGTCGGGACCCCTGAGCCGGTGGCTTTGCTTCGCAATTGCTGCTGCTGTTGCTGCTGGTGCTGGTGGCTCTGATGGTGCTGCAGCTGAGCCTCGGCTGACCCGCCATTGGCACCGGCGGCGCCAGCAGGCCCCACGGCATTTGCCGCCGTGACGAGGTTCTTTCTAATGAAACAGAAAAATCTGGGTCAGCCATCGACTCGCCAAAAACGGTGCATGACAGCGGGATTTGTGGGTAGTGCAGCTTGCAGGTCTTCGTGGCAGTCTTGCATGCGCGTGCGCTTGTGACGCACACACACACATTGCGGTGCAGCGCATGGCCACGCACGCCAGAGGCGCGACCGGGCGGGCGGACGGAAGGGCGGGCGGACATGGTCCGCCACTTCTTCCGCCGCCCCCGGACCCCCGGCGGACAAGACGCGATGCCTTAAGCTGGGCATGACGCGGGAACGGAATGAATTGTCACTTACTTCCGCCGACGGCTTTCTTGCACGATGCACTGCGGGGGGGTTCGCGGTCAGCTAAATCCGTTCGACTCGAAAAATTTCCCGTAACGGCAACGTCCCGGACACACGCCCGGGATTGGTTGCACGTGGTTTTCGAGCACAATCAAGCTCTCAAAGACCACGATGGCATAACAGTGACAATGGCCAAACTCACCTCAACGTTGTCCCATCGACAGTTCCCGCAGGGCGCTCCCTCAACGACGTCGCAGCGCACCTTGCGGGCGCGGCATGAGACGCAGGCGCGCGCAGCACGGCGCTTGGTCACCTTTTGCGGGGCCTCCGAACTGTTGTCGCCGCCGGGGGCGGCTCTCTTCTTGGATTTGTCTGTGGGCTCGGCGACAGACGGTGACGGCGATAATGAGCCACTAGCGGACGAGTCGTTGGACGTGTCGAGCGCCATTGTCGCAATTTCTGAACGTTTGGGGCTGAAACTGGTTCAAGCTGTTTCTCGCTCGTGACAGTGAATGCGAGTCGGCGACTGTCAAGAATTGGTGGATGAGCAGGGTGCCGGGCAGCGAAACTCGTTCCAGCAGGAATGTGGCGTTTTTCTTGGTCAGACGCTCGCAAGCATCAAGGCCCTTGCTGTATTTCGTAGGCGGCGTCTCGCTACCAGGAATGTCCAGCAGGTATACCGGGCGTTGAGATTGTCTTGTCTCCGCGATTTCTCATTGAATGAAGCTCGGTTTAGGCGCGGGTCACCGTTTTTGTAGTGCCGTGAGTGTCGAGCCGCTGAAGGCGTTGTTCGTCCGGTGGTAGCCGCTCGTGAGTGGAAGAGGCCGATGGGGTCGAGCAGTGTGCAAGTTCGGCAGGCGGTCGCGCAGCAGCAATGACAGCAGCAAACAAAAGCGGTAGAGGGGAGATTGGTCCTGGTCAACAACACCGAAGCGGTGAGGGCAAACTGTCAAGGAGTAAAACACGTCCAGCGGCAGACAAACAAGCACTGTAGCTTCGAGAAAAATCCGGGGGTGGGTTTCCTGGAGCTGGGGCGGCGGATGACTATTATATCCAGGCTAACTGGCATGGCCCAGAGTCGCCAGGACCACGACCAGGCACACGAAACCCTCTGCTCGAGTACGTACCGCAGCGATGTGGCCCAAAAGGTAGATGGTCCGTTTTCTGGGCCCTTCACGAGGACCGTTCGTGGTGGGGAATATCCCGGAGTCAAGTGGAGCCCAAGAACGGCGGCGGGACGAGGACGAGCGCAGGATTGTGCGTGCGGCAGGACGGACTGGACGGCGGGCAGTGCCACTGTCCTGCAATCCACCAGGGTGGCCCGGAGGTGTCATGGTGTGTGTGTCGTGGCCCATCCAGGTAGGCAACGTAAACCGGAGGGAGCAGCGGGCACGGAGGTGGCTGCGCCGTCGCGTCGGCAGTGTTGCCACGGCTTGCACGGCCTGGCTGGCTGGCTGACTGAGCGCCCATCATCCATCGTCCATGATCCATCATCCATCATCACGGAAGAGGCGAGGCCAGCCTTGTTGACCTGCATGGACTGCATCGGGGACGAATTGGACAAAACTGCGACAGCACCCATCCATCCATCCACCCATTGCCAGCCAGGGGGTGCGCCTTGCCTTGGGACGAGGACGGTGAGAGAGGGGGGGCGTGTGTATACTTTGAACAATTTTGGGTGGTGGTGGTGGATAATCGATATTGGGAACGGCCTGGCCTGCGTCTGGGCCACCCTCCCCACGCCCACGGTGAGGGAGGCGGGCGACGTAATATCACGCTAAGCGCGGTCTGGCGAGGAATCGATTCCGTCCCTCACCGTGCGGCCACCCCATCGTGCCCTACCCTCCCCCAGGCCTCAAACTTCGGACCTGCGGGCGGTGGCGGGGATTGGCATCATCGTGATTGCTGGCCTGGCCAAGAATATTGACTGCCGAAGCTCGACAATGCATTCCCCCTGGGAGAATGGAGTTGAAGGTTGGATGGGGTTCCCGGCAGCGTGGCAGGCTGCAAGGCGCGTGTGACTTGTCGGCTCTCCTGGGCGAGCGGGAGTGCCTGGAGAATACAACTTCTCCATGGAAAGACTGGAGCATCTGGCGCGGGCCTGTTGCCCGTGCAGCACTGCGCAGCACAGCACAGAGCCCGCTGAACCTGCTGAGAACCTCCTGGGGCAGTTGCAACAGGTCATCAAGTGGAGGAGCAGCGGGCGCTGGCCTTCGTTCCATCCTTCCTTCCAGGTTCCAACTTCCAACGGCACGCCCCCTGGCCCCGTAGCCCCATTCTGTGGGAAGGCACGACTCCAGTACTGCACTCGACACGGAAGCCACGATACAGTGTGCCCTGTGCGTGTCGACCGTCCCACGGGCTTCCCACAAACCTGGAAGCCATCCGTCCATTGCAACCTGGCTAGATCTGTCCTTTTCTCGTCCTGACCACCGGCCGTCAGTGCTCAATGGCAGTCCATCGTCGTCGTCATGTCATGTTCCATCGCCAGCACGGCCGCGAGGGAATTTTCTTCAGCCTTCCCCTCCCCCTTCAGCCGTCCATTCCCTGACCAGTGCTGCCGCTGCAACCATGCCGTCCTGTCGTCACAATATGCGCGGCTGCGCGGAAAAGGATACACCCATGGCACGGCCAAAAAGACGCACGCCTTGCCAGCTGGCGAAATCTCTCCCATCCCCGTGACAAAAATGTGGACCCGCCGCGGCAGAGCGAACCTTGAACATTGCTGGCTCTCCCTTTTTGCAGCTGTGGGGAGCGCCGCACGATGTGGTGAAGGTACCTGGGCATTTCTGGGCAAGCTGGGGCCCCTCAAACGCGCAACGACCGTGAGTAATTGGCTTCTTCAGACTCGTCCCAGCGGAGGGCGCCCGCCACTGCCCCAATGCCCCAGTCCCCGGTCCCCCGATCGCCAACGAAGAACTGACTGAGGTGCCCGTTTTTTTGTGGATGGCGCAAAGGGCGTGGAGCGGCCAATCACTGTAGCAAGGATCGAGTCAGACAAGTCGCTTTTGGCTTCATCATCGAGAGGCAGGGATGTCTTGGCCGGACCACCTCGCGTCACGGGATGCGCCTTCGCTTTTCCATGCCCAGACAAATCGCGATCTCGAGGTCGGTTAGCTACAGAACATGAGTACCTACTACACCTGCCCCTCGCGGCATCCTACAATGGAAGCACAGCACGTCACCGAGCGACGAGGGGGCAGGACAGCACGGCCGCTCGGCCTGCCCCCACTGGCAAGGCCTCGATATTTCCCACACGTCAATCTTCACCGACGTCGATCAACCGGCTCCCAGCGAAACAGCGGATGCCTTTCCGCCGCAACTACCGCCCGCTAGCAAAAAAAGAATCGCACACCATGACATCCGTTCGCGCGCACGACCCGATGCCCCAACGAGCCGGAGTCCACGGGCGACAGGAGGCGCCTCCACTGGCCCGCCAATCAGGCCGCGGACTCGTGCTCAGCAACGGAGGCCGGAGTCCGCCTCGGTAAGTCTCGGACCCGCATGCCTGCACCGTTGGGAAAGGGAGGGAGGGAGGGAGGGAGGGGTGTTGGGCTATTACTTCAGGTGATGTGCTGTGCTGCACTGTATTGTTTGGCGGCTCATATCGAGGCATCCTCCTCCTCTTGTGCCGCAGGGGCTCATAACAACGCCCGCGTGGCTGCCTCGGCCGCTCAGCTGCATAATCGCAAATGACACCAAGGTGCGGCATCGGACCCGGCTCGCATTTTTGGATGCCGGGAGCGCCTGCTTTGGCGCCGCCGCTTCCGGAGCGGTGATCAAGTTGGAATCGTCAAGTCCGGTTTGTTGCCGCTGGCGGGCGCAGCGCCACGAGGCGTGCCGCCAATCGTCATGGGCGCCCGCTCCGATCCAGCAGACGCCCGTCGCCTGTTCAGGTACCCCTACGCTTCTTGGCTCCGGGATGGCCTCTGCGCATGAAGAAAAGCCACATTTCTCGCAGGAGGTGTCAAGTGTGGGAACCCCTTGGCGCAACAAGCATCACCGGCATCCCGCGAGCGACGCAACTTTGACAGGCCCCATGCATGCATACATTGAAATTCGGCGTTGCACTTCATCGCAACAGCTGTGCTTCCCCAAACTTGTAGCAAGCCCACAGTGTGCACTCACCCCGCTCGCCCATCGTGCGCGTGCGGCAGTGTAAGAGAGCGCCAGGCCCGGCCCCATCCCCGACTCCGGGGCCTTCAAGAAGGCAGCCGGTGGGGATCGGGGCCCCGAGTCCGCACTCCGGACCTCCCCACAGGTTCCCCGCAGCCGCGAGCCGCGCTGGGGTGGTAGTGGTGGTGCTCCTCGGTTGCCGCTGTTTGTTTCACCGCGAGACCTCTCCCTCTCGCGCAGTCCATACCCCTGACCCCGGCCAGGCTACCCTATACCATATCTGTCTCTTATACACATCTAGATGTGTATAAGAGACCCCCAACGCGCATCGCCGCTCGGTCTGCGAGCCGCGCCGTCGGAAGACCGACGCTCGGAGGGAGATAACGGCGCTGCGAGCCTACCGCCGAGCTTCCCTCCGCACCGCCGACGACAGCTCAACAAGACAGTCCCAGTCCTGGTGTAACACGGGCTCCAGGGGGGGGATCGCTTTGGCTCGGTATAATGCATGCTTGTTGAGTGTGAACCTCCTCACTTCAAACCCCCCGTTTCATTCCTTTGCATCTCACCTTACCCTCCGACCTCCATCATCGCCATCATCAGCATCACGAGAAGCTGCTGGAGGCCCAAGTCCGAGAAAAAAACCGCGCAGGCCAGCCAGCCTGCTGCTGTCGACGGAAAGCTCGTGATCGACGGAACTCGCGACGCCTGCACGGAACTGGAATTGGAACTGGAGGTAAGGTAATATGCACCGGAGCCCAACAACGACACCAGCCAGCGAGCCAGTCTGTCTGTCAGTCAGTCAGCCAAGTTCTAAAGCCAGCATCGGATCCGACGACAAAAAGGTCGCCAAGGCCACCGCACCTTCGCTTCCGTCCGCTACGCTACAAACTCATACTATCCGCAAGGAGCGGATCCGATCATCCCCGTCCATCACGACATCTGCCCTGGTCCTGTCCTGTCCTGCCCTGCCATCACCACCACCACTCCACCCCCATCTTTTCTTTCCTCCCCCCCGGCATCCCAAAGGGGCGGGCGGGCCTATACCCTCCGGTCCACCCAATCCTCGCCGTCGGGGGTGTTCCCACACCACACACTCTCTCTCATCGTCGGCGACTTGCCGAGGCCACAGCAGCTGGAGGTGGAGGTGGAGGACGACGACGAAATGGAGGGTGCCATCAAGGGAGTTCCCGCCCCCGTACTCTCGGCATCCCATCTTTTTTCTCTTCACGTTCTACTAGCTCCCCCCGCTGCCGGACTTCATCGGCACCGAGCTTCGATGGATATGCGCCCCGCCGAACCGACCGAACTCCGGCCCATCGGAGCTCCCCCCATCTCATCTCACGCCCCTCCATCTGCTTCGCCGCATACGAGCTTCGACGACCCCATCTATTCATCGACGACCAAAGGCTCGAGCTTCACTGGCTGTCACCACCCCGCAAAGCTTACTTCCACTTCGGACAGACGGCATATTCCCGCTCATGCAGCCCGGGAACAGCTCACGGTAGCCAGGTCCGAGTGGACTCATACCAACTCACTGGACCTACTCATCATCTCACTCATACCAACTCACTGGACCTACTCATCATCTCACTCATGCTCACCTTGGTGAGATATACACCAATCGGCATCATCTCACTCCACACGCCACAGGCTCACTCAGTCTCATGTGTGTACCAGTCGGCATCGTCGCAAAAGCACTCATCCTTGTTGCATTCTGTCTGTCTCCGGCGTATGCCGCGACTTGCTGAATTATACCAGTCGCTGAGTGCAAGCTGCACATCGTGTGGCCGTGGCTAACGAGTGTATCTAGCGCAACTTTGCTCAAAACGAAACCGCTGCTTGTCGGTGACCGACTCTTGCCGGAGCAAGGCAGCTTTCAACCATGAAACGCCATCCCTTTCATATGATCATCCCAATTATCCCTCTTCACAGGCTCGTCAACGTGGGCGTGGATAGTCGTCCTAGCTTCATGCACCTCACAGATGAGACTCCTTCTCCTTTCTCAGCATCGAAGGGCCCTTGTGCTCCTGCGAGCACGTGACGCACAGGTGACGCCCAGGGTCGGAGAAGCAAGCAGGGTCATAGATGCGCTGCTTGATAAACGTCGTAAGCGCGACGTCACCCCACTCCTCCCACTCTGCCCACAGGGAATCAGGCAGCTCCGAGACGCCATCGCGACGAGCTGCCTTCATCACCTCGCGCGCCACGACCACGCTGGCCTCACGCACACGCTCGATTCTCGGGTAGATGAGACCCTTGTGGATCTCATCCGCGTTGAGGGTGCCCGAAAGGGCCTCGGCGGATGTGTAGACCATGTCGTCGGTGACCCGCGAGGCCTTGGCAAGGATGGCACCGAGACCCAGACCAGGGAACACATAGACGTTGTTGCCTTGGTTAGGGTGATAGGTGACCGATCCAGCCTCTCCGCTGACCTTCATGCTGAAGGACTGGAAGGGGGAGCCCGAGGCGAAGATGACAGAACCATCGGTCCATTGCACGGCCTGCTCAAACGTGCACTCGGCCTTGGTCAAGGGATTGCTGAGCGGGAACAGGATAGGACGGCGACCCATGCCGCCGGCGTCGACGGAAGCCTTCAGAGCGCGCACCACTGATTCGGTGAAGACGCCAAACGTGGCGGTCAAGCCAACCAGAGCGCTGGGCTTGACGTACTCGATGACCTCTTCCAGGGTGCGGAACTGGTGGCCGTTGTTGTCATGGCGAGCAAAGTACTTCTTGTGTTCAGCAAGCTTGTCACCACGGTCCTTGGTGACAAGGCCCTTGGTGTCGACAAGCCAGAACTTGTCGCGAGCCTCAGCTTCTGAGAGACCCCTACGAGTGTAGTATTCAACGAGCTGCTTGGCCACGCCAACTCCAGCGGAGCCGGCACCCATGAAGACCAGGCGCTGCTCCTCAAGGGGAACACCAGACAGGTTCACAGCCCCAATGTACCTATGGCATGTCAGTAAGGGGGGACCCTGGAGCCCGTGGCTGGATTGGTTCAAGTGAACTTACCCGCCGAGGACGACAGCGCCAGTACCTTGGATATCGTCATTGAAGCACTTGTGGGTGTTCCTGTAACGATCCAGGTAGTTGAAGGCCTTCTCGCTCTCAAAGTCCTCGAACTGGACAACCATTTCGGGGTAGACCTCCTTGACTGCCTCCATGAACTCATCCATGAAGGCCTGCTGCTCAGCCTTGGAGACTCGCTTCTGGCGGAGACCGAGATACAGAGGGTCTTGCAGATTCGTCTCGTTGTCCGTGCCGCAGTCCAGAACGATGGGCAGCGTCTTCTCCGGATGGATACCAGCAGCGGCGGTATACAGGGCCAGCTTGCCAATCTACACGGCATTGTTAGCCACAACATTCGTCGACGTCTCGTCCCCTTATGCCACGACTGGGAATGGAAACAGGGCATGCAAACGAGGCGCCATCAACGTACCGAGATACCGACGCCGTTGACGCCCAAGTCTCCCAGACCCAGGATACGGGAACCATCCGTGACTACGCAGATCTCGGGGTTGGGGCAAGGCCAATTCCGGAGCATCGTGCGGATCGACTTTCGCTGCTTGATGGAAATATACAGGGCCTCGGGGCGTGTATACAAGGTCGAGTATTGCAGGCAGACGTCGCCAATCGTCGGGGTATAGACCAGGGGCATGAGGTCGCGAATGTTGTCCATGAGCAGACGATAGAAGAGATCGGTGTTTTGGGCCTTGACCGATGACAGGTAGAGATACTTGTCAATGTTGGTCTGGCGCGTCTCGATCATCTTCATCGCCCGTGCGCATTGCGTGGTGAGGCTCTCCATGGCGTGCGGCAACAGACCAGTGAGGTTCTTGGAGATACGTTCGTCGGGGCTGAAGGACAGGCCTAGACATGGCACGAGCGAAGTGACGAGTCAGCTTGAGGCACGAACGACACTTGGTGGGGGATCCGGCCGACAGCGCGACAAGACGTACCCTTATTCCACAGGGGCTCACGGATGACCTGGTAGCCGGCGGCCTGCGTGTGCGAGAGATACTCGGTATCGCGGTGCTGCTTGACCTCTTGGAAGTGGTCCTGGGCGTACCCACGGTGCTGGTCGAGGGCGGTGAGTCTCATTGCTTCTTGAATTGCGACGACGTCAACAGATGCCATGGGGTTAAAGTCTGTGAGTCTGCGACGGCCAGAAAGAGACAAGCGCTTATTAGACAGGGACGTGCGAGAGGAGCGACCAGAGTATACGGACGATGAAGGGGAAGAGGACCGAGGGGTTGAAGAGTTGTCGGAACTATCAACGGTGTACGAGTACGAGGCCATGGACATGGCTGTGTTGGGGAGAAACGAGCCGGGCACCGGAGCGGGGAGTGCCGGTCTCGTTGCGGAAGAGGTAAAGGGCAGAGCGGACTGATGCTGGTGCTGGTGCTGATGCAGGGCAGAACCACGAGCGGCAGACAGACGGGACGCGGACGGGCAGAAGGGGCCTTGATGTTGTTGTTCACCACCAGAGGCGGCGAGCAGACGACGGCGGGACCGACCGTTTATTAAGAAGCTGGGGGACGGTCCGCGGCGGAGGGGAGGCCCGGTCCACATCGCGAGAGCGTGCCGCTGCATGGGGGTGCAGGGGCGAGGCAACGGCTGGGGCAACAAGGGGAGCGGGAAGGGGAAGGGGATGACGGGTCAGGGGACGGAGGGACGGGGAGGCAACCAGGGCGTGTCGGAGGATAGACTGACAGGTTTGCTTGGTGCGCGCCTGGTGTGGGCGTGCTGGTTTCAGATGCCGGGAGCAAGAGACGATGCTAGCCCGCGAGTGCGATGGAGGAGGGCGAGAGGGTGAGGGCGACAAGGAGGAGGAGTAGGAGTAGAAGGAGGAGTGGAGAGAGTTTGTTTGGAGGAAGAGGAGGAAGAGGAGGAGGGTGAAGAGGAAGAGGAAGCGGAAGCGCAAGAGGCGGACGGAGAGACGAGATGAGCGATGATGGGATGGGGGTGAGACGAAGCGAAGCGATCCCGAGCCAAGGTAGTCGGGAGGTACGAACACAGTCGAGTCTGTAGCAGGTACCGGGTACTTGAGTCGGAACAAAGCGCAGTGCAGGCCAGTCCAGGTGCAAGTGCAAGTGCAAGTGCAAGCCAATACGAGCGCCGACCAAGAGCCAGGCTGGCAGGGCGCGTCCAATGGAGTGGTGCTGTGGTCGAGGGCCGGACAAGGCGGAGGGCCAACTGCGGTGGAAGGGGCCGTTTTGAGAGGGACGCGTTGCCGATGCAGGGGCGGCGGCGGCGGCGTGGTGCGCCCGGCGGACGACGACGGAGGCGGACGGGTGATGTTGGAGGGCCAGGCAGGGCCAGTGCCGGGAGCACCAACGGCGGGAAAAGGGTCTGCGTGTGGAGTTGGCGTGGTGTGAGTGCGATTGCTGTGGTGTGAGCGGTGGTGTGTGCGCGCGGCTGTGCGTGTGGCGGCCAGCTCAGGCTTCTCCAACAGTTGGAGAAGAAGCGTTTCCAATTTGCCTGGTGGCCGAAGCTCGGCAGCCGTGGGTAACGGGAGGGACGATGGGATGGAGCCTGGAGTTGCAAGCTCGGCTGGGCCCCATCAGTCAAGGGGCGCGGCCGGGTGGGTGGTGGTAGATCGTGGGCGGCCGACGGAGGCGAACGGCCGGTCCCAAGTCGGCGCCACTGAGGAGGATTGAACCGACACCGGGGGGGCAGGCGCGCCAGACTCCGTTGAACAAAGTGTCTGTTTGCCTGCACCTGGGCAGCACGATGCTGGGGCACAGCACACTCTTGTCGGTGCAGCACGGAGAAGAGCAACGCGCTAGCTCTCTTTTCTTCGTCCCTCCCTGCTCGTTCCGGCGGCAAAATTGCAGGCCGGATGGGGGATGGACGATGGGGTTGAGGATGGGGACAGGACAGTGGCCGGTGCACGCGGCGGAGCGGGTTCAACGCCGCAAAAAAAACTGCTGGACGTGCTGCGCTGCGCTGCGCTGCAGGTGCGCAAAAGGGAGTCGACTCCTTTTTTGTTTGGTTCACTTCATTTTAATCAGAGAACTCGGACGCAGCGCGTATGGATGCAAAATTTTTGTTGGGAGCCACCCAGAAGCCAGGTCAAGTCGGTCAGTCCTTCGCATTTTGCTTTGGGAAGCAACAGGCGGGCTGAACCCGCGACGAATGGACTCCCTGATGAAGACATCCACATCGGGTACGGAATACGCGGTTGGCCGCTGACACGCGCGGTGGTGGGCGGGTAGCGTGGGCACGGGGCACAGGTAGAACAGGTGTGTTCGCCAGGTACCGACTAACTCTGTGCCTGCCTTGCGTGCCTGGGTAGGTACTACCTGAGGTACGGTATTGTATTGTACTCCGTACCAAGGTTGGCAATTCCTGTCCAAGGGGAAGGCGGCTAAGGAGTACGCCCTGCTGTCCTGTACATGCTTGTACAGTATGGCACCTGTGCTCCTTCCTTCCTCCCTTCGTTCCCTCGAGCTGGTCCTGCCCTGACTTCCATGCCAACAGCGACGTGCCTGCCTGCTACCTGCACCGCCTGCGGCTGCTTCCAATCCAGGCGCGGGCTGCCCTGCCGCGCTTCCTGACCGAGGCAAGCGCAGCCCGGCCCCAGCGGCGCCACTAATCCTGCAGGTGGCCCCGGGGTGCTTGCCTCGGCGGGTCTGCAATTCGCTGAGCCGTCTGAAGGTTTACCCTGCCTGAGGTGCTGAGGTGGCTCAACCGGAAACGCCTCGAGTGAGTGTCTGGAGCCCACGGCATCCATCCGAGCGGCCAGGCCAGCCAGGCCAGCCATGCACGCTTCTGCCCTGCTGTGGCTGTCGACCCTCCTTTCCAGGGCTGATGCATGCCCGCTCCTTGCCGCCGTCGTCGCCGCCGCCGCCGCGCGCGTCCTCCACCGCCGGAGCCGCCCCAGATGACTCCAGCGTCCGACGGGCGCCGGACAGCAAGCACCCTGCTCTGACGGACCTCTCCAATTTTGCCAGCCATTCTTCCATTATTGCCAATTCCTTCGTTGATGGATCCTCAACAAGAACATCATTTCTCTTACTAAATCGTTGCATCGGACCTCCCGTCGGAGCGGAGACGAACGGGCGCCTTCGGTATTCTAGAAGCTCGAGTGCAATAGCAGGCAAAAGCGACCGCAGACAAACAATGCACCGAGCGGCCCACGCGAGACGATCGGATTCCACTGGTTGGTTGCCCCCAGCGCCTCCGATTCGTGGCCGGGCGGGACCTCGGACGACGACGACGACCACGATGATGATGGCACAAAGAGCGATGGTGATCCCTTGACGCTGAGACAAGTTCTCGGGAGTCTGCTGCCGTGGAGTCGCATCACGGGCCAAGGAGCGAGTCATCTCTGCGTACTCCGTACCGACCTTCATTGTCGTCGACCGACCGGCCGGCCCGCTCATTCGATCGGTCAGTCTGTCAGTCTCCTGTCCGACTGTCAGACAGACTTGTCAGTCAAAGTCAGTCATCAGTCCGCTCGGGGCGGTGGAGACGTCGCATCGTCGTCCCGCCTGCACGATGAACCCTGGCTGCTCCACTGCCACAAGGGACAAGGGCCCCTTGGCCCCAGATCCCAGACAGGGTCGGAACGCTTCGGAGCATTGGGCAGCTGCAGCGCCATCCTGGCAAGCATGGCTGGCTTGGGTTGGTTTTGTGTGCTGCAGTCTCAGTGTCGCGTGGGGTGCAAATCGTTGTTCGCATCCAACTCTTGGCCTGCCGATGCTTCCATCACCCCGTCCCCCCAACGACTGCTGGCTGACTTGCTGAGCTGGCCGAGCCCTTGCGCTCCGTACGAGCATAGTGCTACGTACAGTCAGTCGAAATTTCGTTTCTTCGCGTCGACAGGCTCATCTCCAGCGGCACCCGCCGTCGATGCCCAAGCACCCAAGCTGGGCTGGCTGGCTTCCGGTTTTCTCCGACTTACAGGGCCTCGCATCTCCACCCCAGCCCTCACACCCACCGCAAGTACCGGCACCGGCACCGTTGGCCAAACCCTAGCAGCCCCCAGCGACAGTCAACAGCGCCTCTGGCGCCCGGCAACGGACTGCCTGTCCTGCCCATGGATTTGTTGGTTCGGTGTGCGCGGGCGCGGGACTCCACGCCTGGACCCCGCTTCGCAACATGGCGTCCTCCGCCTTCCGACTTACACGCATGGGCACATCAGAAATCAGAGTCAAATCAAACCAAGGGCTCGAGACGAACCAACAAATGCTTGCACGACGGGGGGCGCAGGATTTGCTGTACCGTCGAATCCGTACCGCGTTCGTACTCTGTACGACGAACAGACGGGCCGCATGAAGCCCAGAGAACGGATTACCCATGCTGCAATTTGTCTGATCGCTGTGCCTCCACTGTCGCAAACCGCAGAAGCAGGGCCTGTTAGTCAACGCCCGCCCGCACCGACTTGTTGGCGTCGATCCCGCGGCGTCTCAACCGCGTCTCATCCCAATATCCACCGCCACTTGCCGGGCTGGCCGTGTCAAGCCTTTACCAACTTGCCTCCAACTCCCAGCAATGCGTACGGAGACGTATTAGTGTAAGTCTCGGCAGCATAATCGACAGCCAAATGCTCGCGCAATGTCGTCTCAACCTGGCAAGTTCACGGGCGGGTCTGTCAGCGTCGTGGCGTTACCCGTACGTGGCACAATTGAGGCTACGTGCTAGCTCGCGTCATGCCTCCATGTGGATATTCGTGCCGCCTCGCGCGTGAGACATGCCGCAAAGACGTTGTCGAGACGTCGAGTGGATCACGCCCGCCAGGGGCATCACCCGACGCCTCACCTCTTTGTGTCCAGCCCTCTTGGCGCTCACTGGACACGACCTTGGCTCGATGGAGACGGCAACGATTGCACCATCCTATGCTACGTCTTCACGTGTTGGGTCCAGTACTGTTCTGTACTGTACTATATCGTCCCGATTGCGTTATCGATTGTACTGTTCTTTCTCGGTCCGGGCTGTTGGATGGTTGGATCGGGGCCGTGCATGGATTCATCGAGCCGCCCAGGCAATGCCACAACGCTGTCTTTGACGGCATAGGCTCCGTGGCTGCGTAAGAAAAGGCCCTTGCTGGGCGCCGGGGCGTCGAGGATAACCACGAACTGTTGAGAAAGCTCAACAACATGGCGCGTGGCGTCCAGCCGTGACGGATCCGACAGTGGTGAGCTCCAGGGTAGCGCACGCCCGCCAGCAGCTGTTTTCTCACCAAGCTGGAAACTGGAAACCTGGACCAAGCTCGCTCTGTCGGCTCTCGCAGCTCAACCAGCGCCAACCTCGGGTCCCCACAATCTACACCACCGCGAGCCTCTGTGCGCCAACGGCAACAGCCATGAGGCACATGCTATTATTATTCCACCCGTCCACTGTGCCTGAGGCATAGCACAGCTCTTGGAGCTCCTCGTTCCGACATCTCCCTTGCCAAGTCTGCGTCATTCACCTCTCCGGAAACCGGAGCACATGCCGCCAGCCTCCCCCCGGTCCCAATCCCCCGCCCTCCCTCTCTCCCCATCATCCCCCGAAGACCCCAGACTTTCTCTCTCCCCACGTGAAGTCCCAAGCACCTGTTGACGCTAGGCAGAGCCCGGGCCCTCCTCGTTGGGGGAGGCTGGCTTGGCTGGACTGGACTGGCGCCCCTCCCCCCTCCCCTTCTCCCGAGGGGACGAGATTATCTCGGGAGGCAGATCTGCCATGTGGAACTCGCTTCCCCCGCAATGGCCTTATTGCCCACTTCGCATCATCGTCGTTCGCAGACGTGGCTGCCCCCCTCCTCCTCAGCTCTCCTCTCCAACTGGTGGTGGTGGTGACTCAGGGGGAGGAGCATCCCATGGCTTGGAGTCAGTCGGCTTGCTTGCTTGCTTGCTCGGGGCAGATGCTTCGTTTGTACCTGGTACATGGACGCCAGATGCTCGACTTTGTCGTCCCCGTCACTCCCTATCCATCCGTCCATCCACACGTGTTACCGTATGCCCATCGTGAGGTGTCATTGCTTGTGACAGACAATAGGCAGACAGTAAGCTCCGCCTGTCACATGCTATCGCGTGAGAGCTGGGCTTTACCTCTCCCTCTCCGTCTCTGGTAGAGTCAAGGCCCCGTACAGCACATAACATATGAAGCACACAGACAGAAATGGGTCAAAAAACTTGAAGATTGCATCATGTACGCCGATACGTGCTGCTGCCCATCGCAGGCCCCGCGTATGATGCTCTACATATACATTGAATAAAGTGCATCCATCGCTCCCGTATCGTAGGCTGTGTGGGCCATCGCCAGACTGCGATGGCGGGTATATCTTTCCCCCCCGTGCACCTGCCAACACCCTCGGGTCCATAAAAGACGAATGGGCAAAAAAATAATAATAACTGTCCCTCCCCTCTTCAAGGCTGCGATGCCTTTTGAGTCGCCCTGCTAATCTTGGCCTGCGTCTTCTCGTCCAGCGTCGCCCACCAGCGCCGCAGGCCCTTTGCGTACTCGACCTCGCCGTCCGTCACCTCGACGGGGGGTCCCTTGATCTGCGGCAGCAGCTCCTCGTCGCCCTTCTCGAACACCGCCCAAGCCGAGGCATCTCCCACCCGAACCCCGAACCCACGGCCCTTAACCGACACGACCTGCATGCGCCGCAGGAGCACCACGTCGCCCGCGTGCACCACCGGCAGGTACTCGAGATGCGGTCGAAACACGTGCGCCACGCTGACGCTCGTCGGTGCCGTCGACGGGTCCGTCACGATGAGCTCCAGCATGTAGTCGCGAGGCCCGTGCTTGGGTCGATGAGGCTGCGGTGGAGCCGTCGTAGAGACCGCCATGATGTCCACCGTCTTGTTCAGAGACGTGCGCAGGGACCGGAGCGGCAATGCGTCTGGCAGGCCCGTACGAAGCATCTTTGAAAGTTCCTTCTTCAGCGCCGATACATCCTCGGTTTCAGTCACTACCGATTCGGCGACAGATGGCGACTGAATGGCGGCTTGTGAGACGGTCTCGGGGGTGACGCCCCGACCTTCGCCGTGGGACCTGCTGCGTAGCTCCCTCGTCGTCTCCGGCGTGTCGTGCCTCCGGGCGCTCCGGATGGACGATGGCGACGCCTTTGCCGGCTGCACATCCGGCTCTGTTTGCTCGCCCACGCCACGAGCCGAGCGTGTGGCAGGCGAGCGATCAGCCTCAGCGTGGCGAGCGTTATCGTCGGCCAAGGCTTTGGATAGCTGCAGACTAGGGTCGGACCGAGCGCTTTTGCTGCGTGATGCGCGCAGGGTGAGGTGTGACGGGAGCTTCTTGTCTTCACCGGGCGCCAAAGCGTCAACGGTGCCCTGCGTCATCGGCTGGTCGCCCTTGTTGCGTGCTGCGCGCCTCGCAGCTAGAGTCTTGGTCTCTTTCTGTTTCTTGCCTTGCGGGACGGTCTCCGCCTCAACCTCCCTGCCCGACTGCTCCGCCTCTTCGCGGCTGAGATGCGCTTCTGTTGTCGATAACTGGGTGAGCGCCTCTTCTGCTGGCGATTGCGACCGTCCGGACCGAGCTGTCGCTAGGCGGAGACTGGGATCGTCGTGCACCTCGCTTGTCGTGTCCGCTGACAATGTCTTGCGATGCGAGTGACTCCGAAGAGACCTGACCGTGATGAGTGGCTCATCGTCGTGGATCTGGCTGGCACCATGGGTGCCAACTTTGTCGTAGTCGACTCGACTGGAAGACTGAGAGCTGTAGTATTCGTTCATGATCTGCGCCTCGGCAGTCACGTCGTCCTCGTCGTGGGGTTGGTTCTCCAGCTCCGGCTTCGGCTTTGGCTCATCTGCGTGCCGTGCCTCTGCGTGCTGTGCCTCTGCGTGCTGTGCCTCTGCGTGCTGTGCCTCTGCGTGCTGTACCTCTGCGTGTTGTGCCTCTGCTTGCTGGACCACACTCGGACTTGGGAGCTGCTCAGATGCCTTCTCAGTTGTAGTGACTTCGTTTGCCGGCACCTCGCTAGCAAGTGCCTGCGCACCGTCTTTGTGGCTCGGTGCCAAAGGCTCCCCCGCCTCCTCTGCAGCTGCATCTACAGCTGTTTCTTGTGTCACCCTCTCGGTCTGGGCTTCGGTAGGCTCGCCCTGAGGTGCGTCCCGCATATCCTCATGCCGTGGTACTGTCGCCACGTAGCCAGACTCTGTCGCTGTGGCGTCTGCGGGCTCCTTGTCGTCCATGGGGTTTGCCTGAATGGCCTCAATGTCTTCGCTCACCCGTCTGCCGCCAGAGGTCTGGGTGTGGTCCAACTCCAGGGCTGCGACTGGCTGGATTTCTTCCGCAACTTCAGCAACGTCGTCGACCTCCATAACATCTGCTGGCTGTGGTTCGGGTTGTGACTCGGCCTTTGAATCAACGATAGCGGAAAAGGTGCCTCCCATGGCCACGGCCAAGGGCACGTCTTCGTGTGCGCCATCCAGTTGTGAACCAACAAGCGTTTGCTGTGACTCTTTAATATGAGCGTCCTTGAAGAACCCTGCATCTCTTCTGTCGTCAACAGATGACACTCGTCCTGACGGCTGGGTTGCGAAGTCGTTGTCAGCTTCGTCGACACTTTCATCGTCCTCGTCGATGCTTTCAACAGCTTCGTCCACGTCTTCGTCACCTTCGTCCGCGTTATCATCGTCCTCGCCTGCATCTTTGTCGCTCACGTATTCATGCTCGGAGCTCGGTTGAGCATTGAAACTGCGTTCCTCCTCCGTAGATGCTCCACGGCCACTGTCGCCCGCCAGCGGCATGGAGGACTCTTTCGTAGCGCGCTCGTCTTGTTTCGTTGGTGGTGGCCCAGGAGGAACGCTCGGTGCAGGGATTCTCGGCGGTGCCTCATCCTCATCTTCTGAATCAGAGAGTAGACTGATGAAGACTGGTTCTGCCGGAGCGGCGGGTGCACGAGGCGGCGGAGCCTCCTCTTCTTCATCATAGTACGACTCAGCCTCGTCCTCGTCGTCCTCTTCGTCGTCATAGTATTCCCCTTCATATTCACCTTCGTACTCGCCCCCCGCGTTGTGCTCCTGCCCGGCGTCGCTGTCGGATTCCTCGTCGAGGTCTTCGTCCGCCTCGTCCCCTGACACTGTTGTGGCAACTGGCTGACGGCCATGGCCCCATGATGCTCTCTCAGCTGCGCTTGGATGTTGGTCGGGAATTTCTTCTTCCTCTTCCTCATCTTCTTCAGCCTCTTCTTCCTCCTCGTCTTCCTCATCCTCCTCGCTAAAGTCGATCGCCGCCTTGTCCGGATCGTCTTGATCAGACTCTGAAGCCTCTTCAGACTCAGACACCGACTCATCGTCATCTTTTGCCCGATCGTAGTTCCTCAGGTCGTAGTCTTCACCCGGCAAATCGCCACCGTCCTGGTATTCTGGAGCCGCGCCGTCTCGGCTTGCCCTGTCAGATGTGGCAGCTCCGGGCATTGACTGCTCACGCGATTTGTTCTGATCTTGACTGACAGACAGCTGCCGGTCGGGTATCGAATCACCGGCAGAAGAACCATGCTCTCCACGGAAAGGCTCTTGTGCCACTGGAGGAGAGCTGTCCAAAGTGGCTACCCCGTAGTGTGTGGCATCTGAGATAGGCTGAGAGGGGAAGTGTGTGCCTACGGAATTGTTCTGCCAGGTCATGTCGTCTTGTTGAACCGCGTCGTGTTGCGCATGGTCCTGAGAAGTGTCGTGAACATGCAGGTTAGGATCAATACCATGCATGGGAGCGTAACTGTCAACCCCGTAGGAAGGGACAGGGTAGCTTGGGGCGGAGACGCTTCCACCAAAACCGGAAGTGCTCGGCACGTGGTGCCCGGTCGAGTGTTCCCCGAATAAGCCATCCGCGAGGGTGCCGTGGTGAGGCACCCCAGTGTCTAGACCATAGTCATGGTGGTGAGGGTCCGACCCGTGAAAGTCCATCAAGGGCTCAGGCATGACCTGCGATATATCGTGACCATGGCTTGGGCCTCGACCAAAGAGGGTTCGTGACGGGGTGTATGGGGCGGAATGAACCCCGTCGTGTCGGGCTGCTGGATACGCCAGTGTGGCCGCGCCGTGTGCATTACGAGGCTCAGCCGAGACCTGGACATGCATTGAAGGGCTGAAATAGAGATCCTGCGTTTGGCATCCCTCGTCAACCATTGACGGTCGGGGTGGCGCGGCCGGTTGTGAAGTTTCTAATGCCCTTTGCGCTTGCTCTTGCTCGTCCGTTGATCGGCCGTCGGGATGGGTGGCAGGTTCCTCTGACTCTGATCCTGGCTCTGGGCTCGGCGACCGGCTACTGTATTTCCAAGCAGTATGGCCCATGCTGAACCGAGACTTGCGCTTGGCCTTTGATTTGTTGGCCTTGTCCTCTGCGAACACGTCGAAGCCGTCTTCGAAGAGTGACCCGTAAGATACTCTCGCACGTTTGAGGAAAGCCGGAGAAGTGAACTCATCCGGACCGAGCATAGAGGAGGCCAGTCGCTTGGCAGGGACGGTCGCTGGTCGGGGGATTGGCGTCGCGACTAGGTCATGCGGTTGAGGCTCAGGCGGAGGTGGTGTAGTCTCGCGCGGTGGGCCATCATTTGGTTGTGGTTCGGATTCCACTGCGTCCGGCGCATCAATATCGATCTCGACTGTCTCTTGCGACTCGGTCTTGCGCGCGCGCAACAGGATACGCTTGGTGAACTTGAGCTGCCAGTCGTGAGAGCCCGCTGGCAGACTCGTCTTGGCATGTGCGACATCCCATTCGGCACCAACCAAGCTGAGCAGTATAGCGTCGCCACCGCCAATTCCCGAGTCGGCAAGGGCTTTGCTCGCAGGTCCGTGGCATTCGACGCGCAACTGGCCCTTGTCGCGCCGGCGCAAGGGGTCTTGCTCGGCGATGATGAAGGCAATAGACTTGGTTACCACGCTGTAGGGCCATGTGATGGTGACGACGCCGTCGACGGCGCGCGATTCGGCGTCTTGAAGATCAGGGCTGAGCTGCGCGATGGGCGTGGCCACTGCACTTTGCAGCGCCTCGGCCGCAGACCGGGTCGCCCCCATGGTTGCGTCGCGCCGCGAGGGAGAGTATACGCGCTCGCGCGGGATCGGCCTCAGTACGTCGGAAACGTGAGGAGAGTTGTCGCGAATGCCCTCAGAGTCATTGTAGAGGTTAGTCGACGAAGAGGGCCCTTGGCTGGTGGTGGGAGAAGGGCCTGTCGATGTGGTTGAACAAGAACAGGTTTGCCCCAAGCTCGTTCGAGCTCCCCGTTGGCAGGTGCTCCCCGGCGCGAACGGCAGGAGGGAGCTCCCGGCGGGGCGCCACATGCGGCAGGCGGTGTGGACCGGTGCTGTGGCTTGACGGAGCTGTGGCTGAGGCGCGTGGCATCAGATGGCGGCGGTGCTCCGTACTCTGTCGTTTCCAGCACGGAGTAAGCAAGAGCCGGCGGGCCGGAGCCGAAGCAGGCAAGGAAGGCGCGGGTGATGCGTGACGGGCGACTGAGCACGCAAAACCCGCGCATCGACTCATCGCCAGCTGCATCCTCCCCTCTTGTCCGCCCCTTCCGAAGCCGGAGCCTGACCATGACCACGCGGCGTTCTAGTCTTTCTTTGGCTTTATAAAGTCCTCTCATCTAGATTGCTTTGCGACTGCCCTTCAACCAACATGGGCTCCCTCTACCCTCCCAAGTTCCAGGTGAACAAGATCGCCATCATCGGCGCCGGCCCCTGCGGGCTCGCGGCGGCCAAGTATCTGCGGGCGCAGGGCACTTTCGGCTCCATTACCATATTTGAGCAGCAGGACGAGGTTGGCGGCGTATGGAACTACAGCAAGGCCCCCGGCGGGCCTTATCCTGCGCCGCAGAGAGACCCCTTCTTTCCACCCGACGAGCCGCTTCGGACCCCGTCTCATGCGGCGCCCGTCTTTCCTTCTCCCATGTACGACAAGCTCCACGCCAACATCCCCGGGGCGTTGATGAACTTTTCCGACCAAAGCTTCCGCAAGGACTCTTGGGTGTTTCCCAGCCGCGAGGATATCCAGGAGTACCTGGTCAAGTACGCCGAGAGTGTCCGCGACCTGATACGGTTCTGTATCCAGGTGACCAAGCTGTCGCGCAGATGCATTGATGGGCACGATAAGTGGAGGATAGAGGCTCGTTCGACGGTGAGCCAGGAGACGATAGATGATGTTTTTGATGCCGTGGTCGTGGCAAATGGCCACTACTCCATCCCCTTCATCCCCCCGATGGCCAACATGGCGACGTTTCAGGAGACATACCCGTCCATCATCACACACTCCAAGCAGTACCGAACGGCAAGCGAGTTCGAGGGCAAGAAAGTCATCATCGTCGGCAACGGGCCCTCTGGCACCGACATCGCCCTGCAGATCAATCAAGTGTCTCGAGGCAAGGCTCTCCTGTCTGTCCGAACGCCCACGCCGCCGGCAAAACTGGAGCACACAGGCTGCGAGGAAGTGCAAGAGATTGTCGAGTTTCTCGTTGATCAGCGAGGGGTCCGCTTCAAGGACGGGCGGACCGAAACGGACATCGACGCCATCGTCTTTTGCACGGGATTCCTCTTCAGCTACCCCTTCTTGCCGGACATGCAGCACAAGCTCATCACCAACGGACAAGGCGTCCACGGGCTCTACAAGCACGTTTTCCACATTCACCACCCCACCCTCGTCTTCCCTACTCTGAACATGAAGTCAGTGCCGTGGCCACTGTCGGAGGCGCAGGCGGCCGTCGTCTCGGCTGTGTGGTCCAACAGCCTGCCGCTGCCTTCCGTCGAGGTGATGGAGCAGTGGAGCAGAGAATTGGAAGAACGGGAGGGTGAGGCATTGCACGTATTTCCGCACCTCGGCGACGGATTCTACATAAATGAGTTGCACGACTGGGTCATGCAGGCCGGCCGGGTGGGTAAGGAGCCTCCGCGATGGGATGACCGAATGTTCTGGCAGAGGAATGTTTTCGTCGAGGCGAAGCTGCGGTTCGAGAAGCAGGGCTGCAAAGCGACGACTCTTGAGGAGCTCGGCCTCTGTTACGACCCTGATTGGAACAAGCAAGCCATTGAAGACCCGCAAGAGCCATAAAGAGCCGATAGAGGTGGATTGCGGGGGACGCCGCAGCGGGGCGTCGGTTTGGCAGAGGGATCAATACGCACTCACACTCATGACTGAGATGCATCATCACGCGGCGTCTGGGATCAGGGTGCGCCCGTCAGCCTCGCGCCAATGGGCCTAATGCGGCACGCACCGGGCGGCCCCATGGTGTGGTACTGTTTCGTGTGGTGTGGTGTGGTGCGCTGTGATATGGTGTGTAAGTGCTCACCGGCCTCGTCACGTTTCGGAACGAGTTTAAGAAGGGCAGTATCCGACAGCGCCTGGCCGAACCGATACAGTACAGTAGGACGAGGCGCAGAAGCTTGGTATCCAGGAATCGTGAGCATCTCTGGCCCCCATTTCGCGAACGCCGAGCCGCAGTCGGTCCGTCGTGGACGGCTTGCTGATCACCACTGAGGCACGGGCGGACAACAATCGTAGGATCTGGAGCTGCGGCGGCATCGAATCGCGACGTGGCGACCAGGTCGTCGGACCTCGGCACTACGGCACAAGAGCCTCTGACCGTTGTTGGTGATGGCGACGGTGATGATGATGCGCAGAGCTGCAGAAGCAGCAGAGCAACACCCAGCCCTGCCACTAGTGGACCATTGACTCTGAGGCCACCGTGCCGTTGGTCGTTGCATCATGTCGATGTTGGTCTGCGCGCCCCAATGGTAGCATGCCTGGTGCCCAGTCGGGCCAGTCCAGGCCTGCCGTGCCTCCGGCCCCACTTTCGGCGTCCTCGTCGGGGCCGTCCCCCGGCCGTGCGGCGCAGGCGCACGTCGCATAGGCGTCTCGACCAGGCGTCAACGCCCGTCGATCCCTCGGGCGCCCTCAGCTGGCAAAGCGCAATCCAGGCCGCGACGCGCCAGCTTGTCCCGATGCGGTAATTGTTGGTTGGGCGCAGCGTCTCACTCTATCGCCTGGCGGGCCGGGAACAATAGCGTGAATAGGTTGGTCCGTGCCGCGCCACCCGGCGATGGCCTCACGCCCGAGCCTCGCACCTATTATTGATGCGCCTCCTTCTGGAAGGTGCCGGTTGAGTCTAATGGAATCTCCGAAGGAAGGATCGCTTGGGGGTCGGATTAACCTGATCTCAAGGTCCACGGGACCCCTTCGGGTGCTGGCTGCGCCTGCGAGGACTGGCAGAACTGCACTTCGTGCTCTCGGTGCTGACGGACGGATGCCGATGGGGGCGATCGCTAGAGGCCGGACGGCCGCAACTATACGGCCATGCCTGTGGCAGACCAGTCTAGGCACATAAGCAAGAAGGGGTCCTGAATGGCCTGCAGGGTGCTGAGTGTACAATAGACGACGTTCATATTGGAGCCACCATCCTGCTCTCCTGTTGCCATTGCTGCTGCACGTCTGAATAGCGGCATCCTTGGATTAGCTCACACAGTCCTGCTGCTACAGTACATACTACTGCACGATACTGCACGGAAGGAGCCAAACATGGTGTACTTCCAGGAAGAAGCGGCACCGCTCGACCTGAGTCACCATCTCTCCCGGGTGACCAAGAACCGGACGCCAAGCTCCATCAAGAACTACTACCGGTTCTTCAAGATCTCCGGCATTGGGAACCTTGCCAGCGGTGCGTTCAAACCCCCCCGGGCGAGGAATGGAACCAGGGGAGGGGGGGCAATTTGAGAACCGCCTCTCCTAGATTATCACCCCTTTCCACTTAATTCAGACGTCACCATCTGCCCCGGGCGCGCGTATGGCGTTTTTTCCCACCCGTAATTTGACCAGTCCGCTCACAATGTGGATTCCTTGACAGGTCTCCCCAACGCGTCATACTTTCCCTTCGACACGCTCGAGGCCGAGGTCGCCCGGCCATCACGATGGGACGCTTCGCCCGACGAGTACCACCCCGACGCGGAGGAGTCGTCGCTCGTCGTGGTGCCCAAGGCGACGACGAACAGCGGAGGCGACCCCGCCAAGCGGGTGGACATCGCGACCGCGCTGCAGTACGGCACCGCGGGGGGCTACCCGCCGCTGCTGTCGTGGGTACGGCGCTTCATGCTCGACGTGCTGGCCCCGAACGTGCCGTACGAGCCCGGGCCCGACGTCATCCTCTCGTGCGGCTCGACCGACGGCGTGTTCAAGCTCGTGGACCTGCTGTACGACTCGTGGCTGCCCGAGAGGGGGGACGCCGTGAGCGAGCGGCCGGGCCTGCTCACCGAGCTGTTTGTGTTTAACAACGTGCTGCCCGTCGTGGAGCCGCATGGCATCCAGATCGTGACCGTGGAGATTGACGGCGAGGGCATACTGGCCAAGGGGCCGGGCTCGCTGGAGGACGTGCTGAGGAATTGGGACCCCGCGAGGGGAAAGCGCCCGCATGTGCTGTATACCGTGACGTGAGTCGCACTCGTGCATCAATCACCTCAAGAGGAGAAACGTGCGGTGCTAACAACTCTGCTGCAATAGCGTGGGACACAACCCAACGGGCGGCGTCCAGTCGCTGCAGCGCAAGAGGGAGATTTACTCCGTGTGCCGCGCGTTCGACATCATCATCATCGAGGATGAGCCGTACTGGTACCTGCAGTTCCCGTCGGCCGCCGCCGCGGAAGCGCAATCACGGCACACGGCCGAGTCGCTGGCCGTCAAGCGGGAGTCTGACGAGGAGCTGCTCGGGTACGCGGGCACGCGGCGCCAGCGGAGCGGCCACAGCTTCATCGACTCGCTCGTGCCGTCGTTCCTCAGCCTCGACATCGACGGCCGCGTCATCCGCCTCGACACCCTGTCCAAGACGATGGCGCCGGGGTGTCGCATCGGCTGGATCACGGCGCAGCCCAAGTTTATCGAGCGTCTCGAGCGGTACGTGTCTTACTCGCGCCCTCATCTGCATCCCCCCTATTTCGTGCTGCCCCTTACTCTCCCAACATGGACGAACTCCCCTATGTGGTTTGTTCAAGACGGCTGACTCCCGGAACACAGAATCACTGAAATCTCAACACAGCAGCCGTCGGGTTTCGCCCAGGCCATGGTCGTCCAGCTGCTCGCCGGGCAGAACCCGGACGCGCTGCACGCCTTCGCCGACCTGCCGGCGCATAAGCGCAGCGCCTTCTCCGGGTGGAAGATGGACGGCTGGGTGCACTGGCTGGCGGGCCTGCGCAGCGTGTACGAGCGGCGCGCAGCACGCATGTGCTCCATCCTCGACCAGGGCACGCACATGGTGGTGAAGAAGCCCTCATCCTCCTCGTCGTCGCGGTCCTCTCCGGGCAAGAGAACGCAGCTACTGTCCTTCGACTGGCCCCGCGGTGGCATGTTCGTGTGGCTGCGCGTCCACTTCGAGGAGCACCCGCTGTGGATGGCCAGGGGCCCTACCATGGAGGCGCTCGACGGGCCGGCCATGGCGGCCGCGATGCTGGCCTTCATGGCGCGCAAGCCGCACCTCGTCCTGCCGTCGCCGGGCACCATGTTCGGCGCGACGCCCACCGTGGTGAAGGAGCGCGCGTGGCAGAACCTGCGCCTGTGCTTCACGGCCGAGAGCGAAGAAAACATTGATGCCTGCTCCAGGAGGTTCACGAATGCGGTGCACAAGTTTTGGCTCATTGACGAGGTAGAAGTGATGGAGGACTTGGTCAGGGAGCAAAGGGCTTCATGAGCATACGATGTATATGAGTAGTTTGCGGTCAGTCGGGTTCAGGATGAGACAGATGTTGTCTTGTAACGCGGGCCGGGGCAGACTGCATGAGAACATGTCTTAGGAGGCGGGGGCATTGGCGGGCTTTCCATCGCTTCTTCAACATCAAGCGCATTGCATGTAGCGACCTGAGGTGTACTTTTTTTCCGTTCACGATTCAATGTACTTGTCAAGAGGTTCACGCACGGACGCACATACACAAAAGTGATCGTCAAATCTCTTTTTCCATTCAGAGCTCGACCGTCAAGAAGCCGTTACGCCTCGAAACTAAACCGTTAAAGTACCATGCCCTCCCCGAAACACTCCTCTCAACCGCGCTGCACACCCAGCGGGGCCAATTTACTGCTGCTTCTTCTGCGACTCCTTGGCGAACACGGAGGCGTAGGGGTTCAGGCGCAGCATGACCTGCTTGTTGCGCAGCGGGTTCTTCTTCTGGACGGCGCCGCGGCGGGTGATGGCCTCGCCCTTGGGGGCGTTGAGGGAGCTCTGGATTTCGGAGCTGTTGATCAGGCGGGTCAGGTCGGCCTGCGAGACGACGTTGGACGGCAGCAGGAAGTCGCGCTTGTGGGCCGAGGCCTCGGTGGTGGAGCCGTAGATGTCGTCGAGGGCCTTGAAGGCGGCCGAGGTCCAGACGATGAAGCGGCCCAGGTGGCCACCGGGGGCAAGCTGGAGCAGGTTCAGGGCCGTGACGGGGCAGGTCTCGACACCGGGGATGTTGCGGAAGCCCTTGACGAGCTCCTTGCCGTCGGCCTCGGGGGCGTAGACGACCAGGGGGCCGCGGCGCTGGCGGTGGCGGCGGCCACGGAGCTTGCCCTTGCCGGCGCGGAGCTTCTTGGAGCCCTTGACCTTGGCGAGGTCGTCACCGGCACCGACGGCCTTGAGGAGGCCGAGGGAAGCAGCGGTGCGGCCCATGGCGCCGGCCTCGAAGAGAGCGGAGTCGACGACCAGGGGAACCTCGGGGATGTTGGAGACCTGGTGGCCGCGGGCCATCAGGAGAGGGGCGGCAGCGGAGGCAGCCAGGGCGGAGCAGGTAGCGTAGCGCCTGGAAAGATATCGTTAGCATTTCTGCTCTGTGGCTGTGAGCCGGTCTTTGGGTTGCCGCTTACTTCTGGCCCTGGTTGACCTTGACGTGCCACTTGCGCCAGATCTTGGTAGGGGCGAACATGCGGCCGGAACGGCACATGTTACCGAAGGCAGCCTGACCGGCACGGTGAGTACCACCACCAGAGACACGGGGGATACGGGCGACAGCGCGACCTGTGTTTCCAAATGTCAGCCCCAAGCCCAATCGACTTATACCCAGAGGCGGCGGTGCAGAGAGAAATGCTTGAAAATGCTCTTCGAGGCAGTCGCCCGAGTAGCATTTTTGCAATCCTCCCTGCCCGCCCCTCCTTCTCAGATCCGGGTTTCACTAACCAGTTCCCCAGGACTCAGCAGAGGTCTGGTGACCGGCCTTCTCGCTCACGGAGTACGGCTGGCGCTTGTTCTTGGCCATGCCCTTGTGAACCTCCTGGACGATGTCCGGTCGGATAGGGCTGGTGAAGACGGCGGGGATGGCGTGGGTAGCCCCCGTGGGAGCACCATCTTTGCCGATGATGGAGACGGTAGGTCGCGAAGCCATTGTGAAGATGAGACTTGGACCTGCAAGTGGGAAGAGATGTTAGTATCGGTTCGAATTGGGTCGGGCAGTCTGCGCTGCGGCGGGCGTGGGATGCTCACCTCGGTCGTCGGGCGGCGTCGAAATTTGGTGATGCAGATGGAGGTTGCAATCCGCGCGGCGATAAATTTCACCTGGGAATTTTTCCTTGCGAAAGGATTTGGTGGGCGGAGACCCTAAGCCTGAGGTACGTACCTTAAGCGAGGTGGGTCATGCACACGTGATTGAAGATGGGATCTTGGGGGCTGTTCGAACGGTGCGCCGACACAGTGCTCACGAAGCGTGACTGTGCTCAAGCAAGTTAGGAAAAGACCCCACCTTGCCAAACGGCTCACTCCACAACGAACCGCCCTACCATTTGAGGATGCGCTCTCGCCATGATACTGAGACGACCAGTGGTTTCGTAAGGTCAACAGGCGGCAGCTTGATTGTGCATAGAAACGATATCAAGATGGACTCTATCAATTCGTTTATCCCGTCATGTCGTTACGTCATTATGTAATATGCTACATGTCATCTCATGTCATGTCCGCAGCGTGGATGCGACTCGGCCGTTGAGGCCTGTCTCTACTCCCATCGCCGCCATTCCTTCACCAACTTTTCCACCTGCTCTTCCGTCCAGGCGTCGTTCCTCCTGGACCTATCAAGCTTGAGAAGCTTCTCATATATCTCCGTCTCGATGTCCCGCCTTTCTAGAACTCGATCTTTCAGGTATGCCGGGTCCTTTCGTCGACAAGCTTTAAAAAAGACTTCCCTCATCCGCGTCGAGTACAGCTGGCAGGTCGCAGAAGGCAGTTTCTGCGGCTTCATGTAAAAGTTTTGCGCGAGGCTGCTCCCTTCCTCGATCTTGGGCTGGACTGTATCGTTGAAGCAAGCGGTGCAGACTGTGAATTGCGGCAGGAACTGCATGATGTGCCAGTATCCGTCAACCACGGGGCTGTCTTCGCGGCAGTCTCCGCCAATGCTCAGCTGCTGCAGCTCCTTGGCCAGTCTGGCAACATCTGGAGCCTTGTCGTCCACGAATGCCTTGTCAGACGTTGTTTCGAGTGCGTCAAAATACAGCACAAATTGCTCCCTCTTTGGCATGAAGTGCAATGCGCAAAGGTCTCTCGAGGGCTCCGATCTGGGTTCCAAGGGAACAAACAAGCCAGTGAGGTTCGGTAAAAGGACCTCGACCGTTCTCGCGCACTCGTAACAGACTGCAAATTCAGGCACCGGATGCTTTGTGCTTGGGTCTATGACAGTGAGCCAGGTACGCGTCGCCTTGCGGTTGCCGGGGCAGGTCTCGTTGCGAATTGAAGTCGCGACATTTGCCACTTGATGCAGGAGTCGCAAGTCCGCAGTCTTGTGCTTCAAAGTCAGAAGCCAGGCGATTCTATACCAAGCAGACGACCCGAAATCGCAGGCGATCGCTTCGCTTGTAGGTCGGAGCATAGGCTGGAACTGAGTTCGGAACTCAGACCTGGCAAATACCGTCTCGTAGCATGTCGGACAAATGTTGAAGTTGGTCCGCGGTAAGGTGAGCCAATCCACTAGCCCAGCTATAGGCTTTGTCCGTGGGCACTCTGGCAGCCCTCCCGACTCAGCATGCTCCTTGCTCTCGGAAAACCTGCGATACGAACCCATTCGTCTGCCATTATCGACACGCAGGCCATCTTTGGCGGGGTCGAACGCGGGCGGCTGCCACGTCGGCTCCTTGGGGGTCGCCGCAGGTCCTACCGTCTTCGAAGGATCCATGGGTCGATCTGAAATGACTGAAGACGGCTCGGGCATCGATACAACGGGTATTGAGACCGGTGCAGCCATATGGTCCGGCGCGATCTCCCCGTCGTCAATGCCAAGGCCGTGATACGCTATATCATCGTCGGGATAGGGCAATGGCATCTTTGCCTCGGATGGGCGACTTCTCTCAGCTCCTGGCAGCGGAAAAGTGGCAGAACCGCGCGGTGTCATTGCGGCAGCGGTCGCGCCGGCGGCTGCTGTGGCGATTGCTGCTTGGCTCGGCGATGGGAGCGGAAAAGTACCAGTCCGAGACGGTGGTCTGGCCCTGTCGCCCTCATCACCATTCCTTTCTGGTCGAGTGCCGACGGGCGGACGATCCTGCTGGACAATGACGGGCTTCTTTGGCGTGTACGGTGCCTGCGCATCTTTGCCGTTTACATCACTAGAACGGCTCTGTTCCCGTGACAGGATTGGCGACTTTGGTGGTCTGTCAATATCACCGCGGCTGTAAGACTGTGAGGTTTCCCTCCTGTCACCGCGGCTGGACGAGGTCTCCTTGCGATATCGCGAGTCGCTCACCCAGTCGTTCGATTGCCTCCTCGATGGCTTCCTATTCTCGAAGCTCGTCTCCGACCGCCTCGCCGATGGCGCGTCGCGACCGTTGTAGTAATAATACTTGTCGTCTCTCCTTCGCGCACTGCCCTCGTGGTAGCTTTGGCGACTGGTCGATCTGCCACCAGAGTTCGATGACTGCCCTAATCCTCGGTAGGTCTTTTCTCGCCCACCGGCCCCGCTTGATATGATATCCGGAGACAGCAGTTGGTCGCCGTATGGACGGGTCTGGCGGGGGAAAAAGTAGTCGGGACGACTGGCACTTGCAGAGGACTTGCTCCGATGATGCTCTGGTGCTCGGTCCGCACGAAGTTCCGTCTCGATGGGCGGCAGGTCCTGCCTGCTTCGGCGCCGCTCAAAGCCGGGTCTCTCACTGTTGGTGCGAAGGTGCTCCTTGGGGGCACCGGAGCCGTGCTGTCGATCAGGCTGCGGTTTGGTGGAACCATTCACCTCGGGGCTAGGTGACTTGGGGGCTCGGCCTTGGGGGGTCTTGGCTTCGGGGCTCGCCTCCGAAGCTTTGGGAGGATCGTTGAGAATCACAAAGCGCCGTTCAGGGTTGTACTCGTGCACTTCCATGATGATGGGGTTTTGGTCAATGTCACCCCGTGACTGGGGCTCCTCATCGGAGGACTCTCTGGCACCCGAGACGCCATACTCTCGGGCCAATGAGTCGGCCTCATCTTCTACGCTCGGGGCCGGTGGGTAGGAATGTCTCGAGCGAGGAGCAGAGCTGATTGACCGAGGAATGCGGTCCTCTCTGGCCGGGCCAGGTGAGGGGAAACGTACTGCCTCTGGTCTTGGCGAGGACCTGTCGGGCTGTCAGCAAGGGGCGCCGGATCCACGTTGAGGAGAGGAGCGCGGAGGGGTGACTGACGGGGCTGTGTTCTTGGCCCGCGAAGAGGTGAAGTACCCCGTCTGCAAGAGGTTTTGAATGTCGAGCGAGTCGCTCATACTGCTGTCTGCTTGTCTGCCCGGGTGCTATGCATCGCAGTATCGGAGAGGAGAAGGCAAGACGGGCGACGATGTTCGTGCGGTGGAGACCGAACGCTGGCGCTGCGGCGTATCTCGCTGTATGGCAGCTGGGCCAAGTCGTGGATGAAGTCGAAGACGTGTCGGCAACAGACCGGCAGGAGCTAGTGCGAGTGCAAGTCCAGGTGAGCCAGCGCCGTGAGACAGGTGACGATGTGGCGTCAAACGAGCTATGACTGGCGGTGGCCGCGAACAGGTTGCTGCTGATCGACGACGAGTCCCGGCAGACAAGAGGGAAAGCAAAGGTAAAAGGATAAAAGGACGGCCGGCGCGACGGAATGGACGAAACTCCGCGGGAGCAAGACGGGGCCAGACGGGAGACGGGACGAAGCGAGATGGTTGTTCAGTCGAAGATGCAGCCAACCGTGGGAGGCAATGACGATGCGGGTGGGCCGTGGCCCAGTTAAAGGGCCGCAAGCCACTCAAGCATAGGCTGACTGCACGGGCGGACATGCGATTCCTCACGGCGACCCCTCCATAGCCTCCAGGGCTCTGACGCTGAGCGGTGCCCGCTGCGGGCGGACGGCTGTCCCCGCTCCTGGGCGTTGACAGCGCCACGTTGGCCGGAGCTAGGCGGTGGTGCAGTGCCATCCTCTTGCCAGGTGGTCCACAATCTGGGCATTACCCTGCACAGTAGCTGAAGTGAATCAAGTGATGGCCTCTGTCAACCCTGCCGAGCATACCTATGTACATGATGGATGCCCACCGGCAACAACACCTGCAGTCGCCATGCGGCCAGCTTGCAGTCGGGACGGTTGGTTACACTGCATGCAGTCATCAGTCTGCGCAGAGAGGCGACGCGGCACGTGGCATCTTGGCTCCATAAGCTCTCAGGCGCGGCTCTTCGAACTGTTCTCGCACGACAGGTCTGTCTGAACTGGACATGTCAGGCAGAGAGGCTGGGCATGCGTTGTGGATGGTGATTGCTCGACCGTAGCCACGCGACATCACGCAACACCATGCAATTGAGCCTCAAGAGCCGGCACAAAATATTGATCGCGTTCCATCACGCGCTGGTGACGCTGTCGTCACACCGAGCCTTCACCCAAACACCTCGGGGAATAAATGCGCAGTGAGACGGCGCACTCGGGCAAAACCTTCTCTTACTCACCGTAGGCACCAGGTTGCTGACCAAGACGCATATTGCCTGTCAAGAAGCCGATAAAGGCGTCCATGTAGTGACGATTAAAACTGCTGCACGTATCCAAATCGCATGACACAAAGTCATGGCTCTCCCTGATGCCCAACATGGTTAATCGACTCCTCCAACCGATGTAAGCCTTGTCCTATCTCACATCACAGCGCAACCTTGCCTTAGCAGTACACGGATGATACACAAGTGAAGCCCTCAGAAAGCAAGGCGCCTCAGTCCTCCAAAAACTCCTGAATGTCGGCGTCCTCGTTCTCCGCAGCCCGCCGCCTCTCCTCCTCCTCGAGCAGGTCCTTGAGCATCTGCCTTTGCCTCACGCGCGCCTTCTGGCCCCAGTCGGCGCCGGTGCCGTCTCCCTCGTCCTCCTCGGCGTGGACCATGAGCTTCTCCTTGATGCCGCGGAATTCGTTGGGCGAAATCTCTGCCTGGGCAGCGTCCTGCTCACGCGACTTGGCGTCCTCCTCCTCCATCTTCTTGACGGCGCCCTTGGTGGCGAACTTCATGAGGTGCGGCCGCAGGAGCATGTACCCGCCGACGATGACGATGAGCCGGATCCATCCTTGCGTCGTCATGCTGGAGAAGCTGCTGGAGAGGTTGTTGGTGGCATTGTGTCCGTACTCGGCGAAGCGGGCCACGAGCTTGCCAAGAGCGTTGAGCTCCGGCTTGCCTGCGTCTGTTTGCTGGGACATGGCGGCAGTCTGTGGTAGGGAGGTATCGAGACAGTAGAGAGGTGACGATCTGGCGACCGAGGGTCCGACTGCAACTCTCAGGCGCCTATCGCGGTGACGCAAAAATGTTCGCGTCGAGTGGATCCCAGCCAGTGCCCTTGGGCGGCAGCAAGGGAGAGAGTAAGGGATTGAACTGTACAGCGCAACGGAGGAAGGCAGATAGGGCGGTGGCACAAGGAATGCGAGGCGCGAGGTGGACCGACTTTGTCGTGCCGTCAGTTGAGGTGCAAGATGAAGAGCGGTTGTGTCTCACAGAAAGCCTGTCCATGAGCGACGCCACGAGGACGGTTATATGTCGCAGGCGGACCCTTGAGGCGACTGTGGTGCCAGCTGGTTGTGCCCGCTAAAGCGCCACTCTGGCAATCTCTGAGCGGCTGCGCAGAACGCTCCCGACTGTCCCGGCAGTGCGCTAAACGCCCCGTCCAGCAGAGCCGTGGCAGCCGACGCAGCACAGGGGAGGACCACCCAGATTTCTAGAACGCTGCAGGGGTCCGCAGGCGCTCAATCGGTCCATGGACAGACAGCCTGCAATTGCAGGCGCTCTGAGTGGCCCGGCCGGTGCGCGCTGGCCGCCTCGCGCTCCCAATCGTCTGGATGCCCGCATGCACTCGTGCGCCGTTTCCGTCGCTGGACTGTCGGACAGATAAAATAACGACGAGTATATACATTGAAAGCGAAAACCACACGAATCCCTTCTCGTTACTGAAAATGCAGTGCATGACGCGCAGAGTGGCTGCTGGCGCATCAACGGCTTACACCAAAGGCTTGCCCACGCGCGCTCACGTGACGACCCTGCCAATTGAGTCGCCCCCCTGGCCTACCGTCGGCGCCGCCAGGCACGGGCAGCTCAAAAATTTTGGAGTTGGTGATTTCGCTCGGCCATCTCCAAGCTCAACCTCCCCAATACCTCCAACGTCTCCTCTCCGCTCCGTCCCGTTCTCTTCTTCCCGGTTTACTTCGTTTAATACCCTCGGCTCAAAATGTCGGCCGCTTTCAGATCCGTCGCGCCGTTCCTGCGGACCGCGCGACACGGCCTCGGCCGGGTCAACCCCCTTCAGTCTGCCATCAAGAAGCAGAACGCCTCGGGCATCCTCAACATCTACCGCACATACGCCGTTTTCGAGCGATCAAAACCCCATGTCAACATTGGTACGGAGGCGCTGCGATTTGACCGTCATTTGACTGTGCGCTGACGATTTTGATAGGCACAATTGGCCATGTCGACCACGGCAAGGTGAGCTCGCGCGAATTGCCTCGCGACGGTGCGCCTCGGGCTAACTCAGTATATTCAGACCACTCTCTCCGCTGCCATCACCAAGCGCCAGGCCGAGAAGGGCTTCGCCAACTTCCTCGAGTATGGTGCCATCGACAAGGCCCCCGAGGAGCGCAAGCGTGGTATCACCATCTCGACCGCTCACATCGAGTACTCGACCGAGAACCGCCACTACTCCCACGTCGACTGCCCTGGCCACGCCGATTACATCAAGAACATGATTACCGGTGCCGCCAACATGGACGGCGCCATCATCGTGGTCGCCGCTTCCGATGGCCAGATGCCCCAGACCCGTGAGCACTTGCTGCTCGCCCGCCAGGTCGGCGTCCAGAAGATTGTTGTCTTCGTCAATAAGGTCGACGCCATTGATGACCCGGAAATGCTTGAGCTCGTCGAGATGGAGATGCGCGAGCTCCTCACCACCTACGGCTTTGAGGGCGACGAGACCCCCGTCATTATGGGCTCTGCCCTCATGGCTCTGAACAACCAGAAGCCCGAGATTGGCCAGCAGAAGATTGACGAGCTGCTCGAGGCTGTCGACTCTTGGATCCCTACCCCCGAGCGTGACCTCGACAAGCCCTTCCTCATGTCCGTCGAGGATGTCTTCTCCATCTCTGGTCGTGGCACCGTCGTCTCTGGCCGTGTCGAGCGTGGTGTGCTTAAGCGCGACGAGGAAGTTGAGCTGGTCGGCAAGGGCAAGGAGGTCATCAAGACCAAGGTTACCGACATTGAGACCTTCAAGAAGTCGTGCGAGCAGTCCCAGGCTGGTGACAACTCTGGTCTCCTCATCCGTGGTATTCGCCGCGAGGACGTCCGCCGCGGCATGGTCGTCTGCAAGCCCAACACCGTCAAGTCCCACACTCAGTTCATGGCCTCGCTCTACGTCCTCACCAAGGAGGAGGGTGGCCGCCACACCGGTTTCCACGAGCACTACCGCCCCCAGCTCTACCTCCGCACCTCGGATGAGTCGGTTGACCTGACCTTCCCTGAGGGCACTGAGCCCGGCAAGATGGTCATGCCCGGCGACAACGTCGAGATGATTGTCAGCATGACGCACCCCAACGCCATCGAGACCGGCCAGCGCTTCAACATCCGCGAGGGTGGCAAGACTGTGGCCACTGGCCTGGTCACTCGCATCCTGAAGTAAGAGGACAGGCGAGTTGACGTGCAGGAGGGGGGACCTTTAGGAAGTGTAAGAGGGCGGAAAACGAGAACCCATCGCGTGTTGACCTCGGATGGTCCGCGGCGCAACGGACGTCTACGACGGACCGAGTCCCATGTTTCGAGTCAGGCTTGGCTCTTGTATATCACCCCGAGATGGGACCTGAGGATCTCCACTCTGCTTCTTCCCATTGTCTTGATATGTGTACTTTAGACGGACAGGGGGGAAGGCAGTAATAGATGATGCAAAACTACACGCTCAACAATATTTCATCATGGGGGTGACTGGAAGTTCACGATCCAAGTGTCTGAGACTGCAATCATTAGGTCATAGCGAAGAGCCCGGTTGAAGGTGGTGCGACATGGTCGTCAGCCTCGCATCGGCTGCAACGCAACTCTCAGACCTTGCGCGATCAATAGGGCGCATCGTCACCGCTTCGCATCAAAATGTCCGACAGGTGGTAGGTCCAATGTAATTGGTATTCGTCTATCCTCGGAGGACGTTCGTCAGACGCACGATCTTCCTCGAAAACCAAGCAAGCCATTAAACTCCGGTTCCAAGCGGCCGCCGCTCTCTGAGAGATGTTCGCGAGGCCATCATGACTGCTGTGCCGTCAAGCATGCATCATCCTCCACCCGTTCAATGCTTTCGATTCGCCCCTCCCCAAGCCGTTTTCGTTCCTCTCGGAATCGGGATGCGCTTATCGGTACTGCAAAAGGAGACGGACGCGGGTCAGTCCAGCCATTCTCATTAGAAGATTCAAGGGGCTCGTAGATCGTTCGGCGTGTCGCGGCGTTGTCGTCGACGTTGGGTGCGTGATATCCAGAGGCGGGCATCTTCTTGCTCACCTTGTTGAAGCCAATGTCCTTGGACTTCTCGCGGAAGCACTGACGGCACAGGTTGAGGTCGTACTTTCGGATCAGACCAGCCTTGTGCTTGCAGACGCGGCTGTAGAAAAAACAGCATGTTAGCACTTTATTCTTTCGACGCATGGTTCGTTTCTCGTGGTCGGCGCGCCGTGTCACCCATGCCGTCGGTGCGGCGACGGGCAACGGGCCAGCGTGGGGGATTGACGATGATGTTCGCTCGATGCGGGAGGGACGGGACGGATGTCAAATTTCGTACCAGCTGCGAGAGCCCTTGCCGTAGGTTCGCGGGCGCGAGTTCCAGACGCTTTCGTGAGACATGATTGTGGTGCTTTGGGTTGTGAGTTGGCCGAAAGCTGGGTGTCGTCGTGCTGGAGGGTTGGGAGGATTTCGCGGAGGGATGCGAGAATTGGCGGGCGGTAAATTTTGTGTGAATTTCTCGCGCCGCCCGGCCAGGCGATTGGAGGGTTGGCAGCCCCAGCCCGTGTGCCCGGCCAGGGCTCCACCGTGCTGGTGGTCTCGGGTCACGTGCGAGGACAATCCCTGGCCTAGCGTCTGGCCAGGGCAGGGCGGCTGTTTGAGCGGCATGCGGCTGTGTCGGTGGCGCTTATCGTCACGTGCGGCACGCTTTGTTCTCGCCTTATCATGCAGGAGTCGAGACGGCAGGGCGAAGCTTGCGTGGGGCTGGTTTGGTCCCTGACAGCTAGTAACTCCGCTGAGCTCATCATTGCCAACTGGCATCTTGACGTCTATTTCAAAGCACCAGCGGGAGCCTGTACCTTCCGCACATTGCTTCTTTGAAAGACGCCGCCCAGGTACAACATTGCATCTGTATTTGTTCTCGAAAATCACCTCTGACATTGCCATCTCCAGCCAATTCATTACTGAACCTCGCCGTCATGGTTCTCATCAAGAGCTTCGTGCTCGCCGCCGTGGCCGGCCTGGCGGCCGCCAAGTCCGCCGTCATTGACCTGACGCCCTCCAACTTTGACAAGGTTGTCCTTAAGTCGGGCAAGCCCACTCTTGTCGAGTTCTTCGCGCCCTGGTGTGGCCATTGCAAGAAGCTCGCTCCCGTCTACGAGGAGCTCGCCCTCGCCTTTGAGCACGCAAAGGACAAGGTGCAGATCGCCAAGGTCGACGCCGACGCCGAGAGGTCTCTGGGCAAGCGGTTCAACATCCAGGGCTTCCCCACCCTGAAGTGGTTCGACGGAAAGTCGGACAAGCCCGAGGAGTACAACGAGGGCCGTGACCTGGAGAGCCTGTCGGCCTTCATCAGCGGCAAGGTCGGCGTCAAGAACAAGAAGAAGCTCGAGTTGCCCAGCAGCGTCGAGATGCTCACGGATGAGTCGTTTGCCAAGACGATTGGCGGGGACAAGAACGTGCTGGTCGCTTTCACTGCCCCGTGGTGCGGACGTGAGTAATTGTGATGTTTAATGCCCCAGAAAGCACGCTAACTGTGAGATCAAGACTGCAAGAACCTCGCCCCCACGTGGGAGACTCTTGCTCACGACTTTGACAACGATGAGAATGTCGTCATCGCCAAGGTTGATGCCGAGGCGCCCAACAGCAAGGCCGTCACCGAGAAGCAGGGCGTCAGCTCGTACCCGACCATCAAGTTCTTCGCGGCCGGCAGCAAGGACGGCGTTGCGTACGAGGGTGGCCGTTCCGAGGACGCCTTCATCGAGTACATCAACGAGAAGGCCGGCACCCACCGTGTCCCTGGCGGCGAGCTCGACACCGTCGCCGGCACGGTTGCTTCCCTCGACACTCTTGTCGCCAAGGTGCTCGGCGGTGATAAGATCGCCGACGTCGCTGCCGAGGTCAAGAAGGAGGCCGAGAAGCTCAAGAAGGATGCTCAGTACAAGTACGCCGAGTACTACGTGCGCGTCTTCGACAAGCTCAACAAGAGCGAGGGCTATGCCGCCAAGGAGCTTGCGCGCCTGGACGGCATCCTCTCCAAGGGCGGCCTTGCTCCCACTAAGCGTGACGAGATCAAGCGCAAGACCAATGTCCTGCGCAAGTTTGTCGAGAAGGTCGCTGAGAAGGCTGAGGATGCCAAGGAGGAGCTCTAAGCTTTCATAAAACTTTTCCGACAACTGTAACAGTACCTTGGCAATAGGGAGCTCAAGGATAGACACCTGTCTACGAGTATGCTGTGAAAACGATGAATGAGAATTCAAGCCTTGCAACAATATGGTTATGCTGGCTGTGCCAAATGGATCGTCTCCCTTGCGCTTCCGCCGTGACATTTCTACATGACAACACCTTACTGGGGCTTTGACGTGCCTCCTTCCTGGTTCTTGCTTTCTAATAATGCCGACTCAAGGTTGTCCAATCTGCGCGACATTTCGTCCACTTGTGGCGGTCGCACCGCTGTTAGCAAGGACTTCTTGGAGCGGTAGCCGGACGTGGCGATTCCTACTCTTGGCAAAGATCTCTGAGGAGACGCTGGCAAACTTGTTCGACAACGTGTTGAGCAGGTCCTCGACGGCAGCGGAAACATCTGCGTTGGCACCCTCGGGCGACTGGGGTTCCGTCGTCAGGGCTGTCTGCATCAAGGGTGAGACGCTTCAGCGCGATGGGACACGTACAGTGGCCTTGTCGGCTGTCTTGGACTCGGTGTCGCTGGAGGACATGCTGGCGGCGCAGTGAGGAGATCTGGCCGTTGAGAAAGGTCGCTGATGAGTGGGAGCAGCTGTGACTCAGAAAATGAAGCCTGGCTGAACGCGATGCGGATGCAAACGAGAGAGAATGCTGAGCAGATTGAGGGTGATGGCACTATGTGTTGATGATAGTGAGGCATGAGTTGAGGTGGTGACGGGCGTTTGCTACAGGGCCTATAGCGCACTCCACCGACACACCAGGCCCCCTGTGTCTCAGTGGCAGCTGAGTGACATTGGCACTGGTGAGGGGCTCGTTCAAGGTCCCGTCCCGTCTGGTGGGGGAAGACACGGACGCTACTCCAACTCCGTCTCGTGGAGCTCCAGCCACTGCACTGGCCTTCGTCATCGTACCAGCCCGAGACACACCACCACCACCTCACACGAGCATCTCTACATCCATCTATCAACCCGGACACGTGCGACGCGAACCACGATCGGATGCCACAAATGGCGTCGTAGCAGCCGAAAGCCCCGACAGACAAGACATGACGCGATAAAGTCGCCGCGGTCCAGCCATATCGAATTGTATACGAGGAAGAACAGCGACGCCAACGGCGACATGCCGCAACAGCAGCCGCAGCACCAGGCTGCGGGACTGCTCCTGCTGCTCTTCCTCCTCTGGAACCTCTTCCCGGAGGGCGAGTACCAGAACCAGTCGCTGGCGCTCTCCGAGCTCGCATCGAAGCGTCTCGAGCGGTACCAGGATGCGCTCGAGGTGCTCAACCAGACTCGCTGGGGCGACTTCCGCCCGCGCCCCGACGGCGTCGAGGCCAACGCCGCTGCCGACGACGGCTCCTCCTACAGCTATGTCAATCTGACGGGCTTCCGCGAGCAAGACGGCTTCGCGTGGGATGACCTCGAGCTGTTCCGCGAAAAGGGCCTGCGGCTGAGCCGCCACGCGATCCCGCCCGTCGGCGGCAAGCAGCTCTGGGACGCGGCGCAGGGAGAGCCCGTATGGGCCAACGCCTCGGGCACGCTGCACGGCGACTGGGTGCGCCGTCCGGGCTCCTCGCCGCGCACCTACGACAGCTACAACCTCAGCCGGAGCGTTCCCGGTATGGACTGGGTCGGCGACAGGGCCGACTGGGCGCGCAACATCACAGGCGAGAGCGGGCGCATGATGCTCCGCCTCGAGGGCAACAGGACGGTGCAAAAGTACGACGAGGTCGCCGAGGGCAGCAATCCGCTCTCGGGCGGCATGATCCGCCACGTCAGGGGGTATGCTACCATCGAGGACACGATGGGCTCCGGGCTCAACTGGGAGATGCGCCTCTGGGGCCTGCAGTGGCCGCGCCAGGGCGTGGTCCTCATGACGACAACGAGCGAGAAGTTTGAGGGCATATTCGGCCTGCCGCACCTCGCGCCGAGTGCCGACTTCTTCCAGTCGGCGCAGATGATGCTGAAGCGCAAGCTGGCCCGCGTCGTCAGGCGCAAGAGGCGCAACCTATACGTCGACCAGAACATGCCGTGGAACTCGGACGTCGACAATGCCATGTACACGGCCTTTCCCTCGCCGCACTGCGAGTTTGTGCTGTACGGGCAGGTCCACCCGCCGCTTCAGCAGGACGCGGGCGTCGACGCCGAGCACGCCGAGGACGTGATCCGGGCCATCGAGTCGGAGCTGCAGAAGCCGCTGGGCGCGCCGATCCACTCCGTCTCCAAGCTCCAGATGTCGACCGTCATATACTCGCCCGACTGCGGCTTCTTCCTCGAGTCCAAGGGCCCGCCCGACTTCCCGCCCGGCGACTCGGACCACCTCGTCGGGATGAAGACGGAGGTGCACACCCACCAGGTCAAGACGTGGATGCTCGTGTACGCGCTCGTCGTGTTCGCCCAGGTCGGCTTGCTCAAGGACCAGATGCAGGAGTCGTTCACGCCGTCGACCATGGGCCGCGTGAGCTTCTGGACCGTCAGCGCCATGGTCATCGTCGACGGCATGACCTTTACCGCCGCCGCCACCTGGGTGTCGTCAGCCATGGCGACGTTTCTGCCCACGCTGGCGCTCATGTTCGCGTCCTTCCTGTCCATGACCATAGGTGGCAGCTTCTTGGCCAAGATCCATGAGGTGCAGCTGCCTGAGAGGAACCGGCGCCGCGACCAGCAGAGACAGACATCGAGCGGCACCTCGACGGAGACTACGAGCTCTGCCCCGTCGGCGCCCCTGACGCCAAACCCGACAGGCGCTCTCCTCCCCGCGCCAGTGACCGCACCGCGATCTACCCGCTTGCCCCCAGATCAGGGCCCCATCATCATCCCGTCCGATCAGGACATATCTGCCGAGATAGCCGCGGCAGCATCTGCCGTGCCCCGGCCCAACATGGTCAGCAACTCCACCACGACTCCCCCGCCCGCCCCTCACCGCCCGGCGCAGACCTTCCAGGCCATCATCGGGCGCTTCATCCTCTTCAGCCTCTTCGTCTCCTTCCTCGCCATCTCGTCGGTGACGTGGTACTCGCGCCCGCGCGCCCTCCTCCTCAACGCCTGCGCCCTCGCCTACTTCTCCCTGTGGCTGCCCCAGATCTGCCGCAACACGCTGCGCAACTGCCGCCGCGCCCTCAGCTGGCGCTTCGTCCTCGGCCAGTCCGCCCTGCGCCTCCTCCCCTTCGCCTACTTCTGGGTCAAGCACGACAACTTCCTCTACGCCCGCACCGACCGCCGCGCCTTCGCCCTCCTCTGCGCCTGGGTCTGGCTCCAGATCTGCCTCCTCGCCGCGCAGGACGTCCTCGGCCCCCGCTTCGGCATCCCCGCCGGCTGGGCCCCCGACGCGTGGGACTACCACCCCGTCCTGCGCGAGGACAACGTCGAGGCCGGGGGCCTGCCCATAGGCCTCGTCGCCGACGACGCTGCTGTTGCTCGGAGCCCCACGACCGAGAAGCTTGGCAGCGTTAGCGGCGGTGCTGGTCCTGCTGGCGGTACCAGGGCCATCGACTGCGCCATCTGCAGGGAGGTCCTGGAGGTGCCCGTCCTCAGCGCCGGCGAGGAGGAGGGACGTGTGGCAAACGTCTTCGCGCGTAGGCTGTACATGGTAACGCCCTGCCGGCACATTTTCCACACGGCGTGCCTGGAGGGCTGGATGCGTTTCCGCCTTCAGTGCCCGATATGTAGGGAAGAGCTGCCGCCTATATGAGCAATCAGTGGCTTGTACAAGATTGAGAGGAAAAAGTGGTATATGGTATTAGCAGGCGCAGGTTTTTGAATTCGAATTGAAGCGATCCTCATTTACGTGATGGCATTGCACTTGGAACATCAAGTTCTTAAATTGTTGGCTACTGACAGCCAAAGTCTTGGCCCGTAATCGCCACAAACGCTTTCCTGTAGCGTGGGCGGCGCTGCTAAATGCCCGTTTGATCTCCCCAGATCATGTCCAGATCCAAAGCATATATCGTGATTTGAAATGACCCCGGAATGGGCATTCCCAACGCCGGGTATCAAAGTCCCGCTTCTTGATCATCCACAGCGGGAGATCAGTACTGCCATTACCAAGTGATGCGCGTCTTCCTGAAGCGATCATCTGGGCATCCGTCATACAAGGCTCGCGTACCGACGCGCAGATCGGCAAATCGGGCTCTGAGGTCGAAGTCGACCGTCTTAACCATGACACGCTTTTCCTCAGGGATCGGCCGCGTGGGCATTGTACCCGGAGGCGTCGTCTCATCAAACTCCTCAACCTCCATGATCCACTGGCCGATGTTGGCGGCCAGTTCGCTGTCCCACATTCCCTCCCGTCTGGCACTGCTCCTCAGAAGCAGGATGGCTTGTCGACGAAGGCGCGGCTCGCGACATTTTGTAGCCACAACAAAGAGTGGCGGTACGATGCCCATGTCGGCCGAGAAGCTGGGCTTAATGTGATGCGTGGGCAATTTGCCAGCCCTGAATGCGCCCTTGGATAGGTTATGCTGATGGTGGCAGAGGTCAGGGTTGGGGCAACGTTTGGCGGCGGCTCGCTTCTCGTCCGCCCCAACAACCTCCCAACCAAGATCGACAATGGCCTTGAAGTGTGGCATAAAGCCATCAAACTGCACCTCGGTGTCACAAAACATCATCATGAACAAGATGTTCGTGTTGATCTGGAACATTTTCAAGGCAGAGATAGCCGAGCGCTCTAGGTGATCGAGGCCAGGGTCGTGGCGGATTCGAAAGATCGGCTCAAAGGCTTCGGACCAGGCATCCAGCTGATCCTTGAAGCTTAAGCCGTACTGTTTCCACGACGCCGGCAGCACGTTGCTAGGATTGTTTTTGGCAATTTGCAAGCGCTCAATGAAGCGGACGAGCTTCTCACAGAGCTTGTCGGACGCTAGTTTTGCCTCCAAGACCGAGTCAAATCGATATGGTAGGCATGCCTCTGGGGAAGAGCCCGGAGAGCTTGTTTCGGACGACCCCGTCGATCCCGCAGTAGATTGACCCTGCGGGGCAAGACGAATGACATAGGGCTGTGGGAAATGGAAGGCCATGTCGTAGGATTTGGCCTGGATTGCCATCCGGGTGAAGATGACGACAAGATCCTCCTCGATGCGGCCGTTGAGATTTGAAGATTGATGGTGAGGATGACAGCGCAATTGCTCCAACAAGCTGAGGCCGGTTTGGATCTGAACGATTGCTTGCTTGTGATCGCCGATGAAGGAGTCGAAACAGGCGAGCAAGACGCTCGCCATGAGCCGGGTTCTGTAGGACCGTAGATTGTCGCCGGTGAGTAAGAGCATGGCATTGCAAGACTCGGAATACTGTTTGACGGCAACCTGCCAGTGGGCCACGACAGACTCCATCCGGTTCATCTTGCCCGCATGTGTAGCAGGCGCGGGCTGAGACGATTGCTCAAGGGTCTTGTAAAGAGCGCCGAGTGCCACCACCGCGTGCCGGATGGCATTTTCTGCGTGGCATTCTTGCAAGACACGCTGCGCCCAAAACGTTGAGTTGAAGTAGCCCGACAGCTCTGCAGCAGTTTGGACGCGGAACAACTCGAAATAGAGAGCTTCGGCGTTGACGAACTGTAGACCTGAAGAGGGTTGGTAGACGCTGGGCGAGGCTCCTATGGCACCTGGGTGAAGAACCGGGACCACAGGTCGTTTCCGCCTGTTGGCACGACGCGGCGGCAGGACTGTCGGCGCCCGAAACACGATGCCAGGAGTGTGACCCTGCACCGCTAGGGGCTGCGCCGTGGCGAGTGGCTTGGGCGCAATGCGTACGTCGGTCAACGGCCGATCGCTGCGACTAGGAGGCGGATAGCCAGTGCAGAGCTTGTTGCTCCTTTCACATTGGGTACAGGAAGGCCGCCTCTCGTCGCATTTGATGCGCCGCTTCCTGGGTTGGGTGTCAGCGGGGTAAACGGAGCATGTGTAGGGGACCACGACGGATGGCATACTTGCAGTTGGCGCAACCCGTCTTTACCTTGGGATTGCTCCTCCGGTTTCGCTTCACGGGTGCTTGTGTCGAAGGACCATCGGCAGATTGGTTCGCGGCTGAAGGCGCCGACATGGACGTCGAGGGTCCCGTGGATGTTGAAGCGTCGGGTGGAGGGGGATGAGACGTCATCGTTGGCGACGTCGCAAATGGCACCTGCGGCAGGTCCGCTTTGAATTTGCGAGAGAGGGAGAAAGGAGGCTGTAATGCATGCAAGCGAGAACGCTTTCTTCAAGTTAAACGAGGGCGGAAGCGCTGGGGAGTCGAGTGTCGTGGCGGCCAATTGCCGCAATGACAGATATGATGCCTTGAGGCACGAGCAGGCGGGGGCGGTTGTGCTACATCAAGCGGCGGAGGTTGAGGAAGCGGAGGCTGCAGCGGCGCCGGGAAGAAGAAAGGACAGGCGCATGAGAACGGCAGCCAAGACGACGAGGTTGAAACCCGGGTGAGGAGTGCGAGGCGAGAACAGACGCACAAGATTTGACTTTTGTCAGTGTGAGCCTGTCCGGGGGAGCTGCACGGTTCCCTTTCGGGATGCCACTTGGGCTCGAGGCAGGGCAGGGCAGGGCAGGTACTCCGTGAGGTACTCCGTCGTCCGTCGTCCGTCGTCTGTACTAGGGCGATCGTGCCTGCCGTGTTTGCTGCCGGCCCGGTTGAACCGCTTGCGCCTGGCGCTCGCTCGAGTGACCTCACTTACGTTCCTTCCGTCGCAACGGCGGTTGGCACTTGGAAGCGGGCAGGCTGGATCAACGGAACGGGTGGGGGAAGGGAGGCCCGACGGAAGAGCGGAAGGAAGCAACGGCAGGAGGAAGAGCGGCAGGAAGAGGAAGCATCGTCCAACGGTCCAGTCTCCAAGAGCAAGGCGGTTGCCTTTTTAGTAGGGGACGGAGTGCTGAGGTGGGCAGTGGGAAGCGCCCCATCACGACGAGATGACGGGTGGCCTTGGGGTCCAGGGTCTCTGGAAGTAACCCCTCGCCGACCGGGAGCGCGGAGCTACATGGGATCGGGGGTGCTTGGACGTTGAATGCGTCTAGCGCTAGTGGCGTCGCCGAGGGTTGGGTGCTGCCATCCGCGGATGCCTGCAGCATGCCCTCAAGGTTTCTCAAGTGCCGGGGGACCGGACTGCCTGAGTGTGCAGCAAGCAGCTCTGAGGTTGGTGGACACCTTCGCATAGGTTCTAGGCGAGGTGGGAATTGCGGCACGGAGCCCTGGCCGACACTAGGCGTGCCCGGGGCGACCAACTCGGACATCTGAACGACGCCACAGCGCCCCTCCGAGCGTTCACGCGCCCGCTGCACGTCCCAAGATGCCCTCGCGCAGAGGCACCATCTTGCCTCAACGGCCGGACCAACAGGCCCGGACGGGCTAGCTGGCGATGCGACGCAGACTGGTATGTCCCGATCAGGCCATCGAGGATGACGAGGCAATAGTGAGGATTGGCGCTGCCGGGCGCGTCTCGGGGCAGCTAGCATGGATAAATGCCCAGGCTGAATTGGATGGCGCGATGGGCAGCAGCGATAAGTAATTTAGATGCTTCGCATCGCAAAACTAGCAGCGAGTACTACGTCTGCGATTAAATCCTACCGTGCTTGGCTGGCCGATGCGCGTGGTCATGCTTGTAGCCGTTGCGATCGAGCCGTCCCAAGCCAAGACCCGATGGAGAGACGACTAGGATGGGGCATCGAACCTTGACCACCAGGCGCCCTTAGCCCAACGGCCGATTAGAGGTACGTTTTACGAAATGTGGACAGAGGTAAAATGGTATGGAAATAGCAACGCGCAGCAGCGTGCAAGTCTGTCTGCGAGGCCTAACCAGGCGCGTGCTGCTGCATCGCGCACGCCGTCCAACCACGGCGGCAATCGGAGCAGTCCCTGAGATGCCGCCTGACCCATGCTGGCGATCTGGGGTGGCATCTCCTCCCGCGTTCCTAGCCGTCCCGACGTGCGGTTATATCTCCACTCCTCCATCTGGCGTGCCAGAGTAGTGGCAGCTACTGAAGCCACTGGGAAGCGTTTACCCGAGGTGCTGGCCGGCCGGACGGTTACGTACGTGCTATCGCGATGCGTTCCGTCTCTGGCTCTAAATGGCAACGGTTGTCTTGAGCTTGCGCGGGGTTGCGTCGCCCTAATGCTCCAGTAGTAAATGGGGCAAGGCAGCGTTCGCAGCTTGTTGCCCTGTGTCCATCGTGTGCATGTGAAGTGCTGCTGTGAGCATTGAGGATTCACCCATGGGTCGTCGGCGAAGCTCCCCATGAGAGTGAGTAGAAGATTCCATCAACAACCCAAGAACGGACAGCAATGCGCATGTGTGCTTGCAAGGATAGGTCAAATAGTCCGATGTCAACGTGCATACCGCAGCTCAAGCTGCCACGCCAAGGGCAGTCGAGGCCTTCTGGAAGGCGGCGCGGAAGTTTGCCGGACCACCGACCGGGCAGGACCCACAATAAAAGTTGCGCTCCAGAGTCCAGAGTCTCGGCGGCGCCGCGTTTGACGGCGCGACTCTCCGACGACACGACCACGACGACAAACGATCCTGCGACTACTCACCGGCGGCCCGTCTCGGTACTCAATCGCCGAACCCCTCGCGACCCTCGCAACACCCCTCGCGTCGCTCCGAGAACGCGCACAGCGCTGCCGCCGTCGCCATGGCGCAGGCGCAGCCCGAGACACAACCGCCTCTGCCCCCGCGGAACCCCTTCATCCACAATGTCTGCATCGCGGGCGCCGTCATCACGCCGCTGGTGATGATCCTGCCGCCGCGGAAGATGGACGTCCGATTCTTCGTCCTCTTCGGAACCTTCTCCCTCTGCACGAACCAGCTCGCGTACGAGTACACGGGACAGTCCATCTACGGGCGGTTCGGCAACCGCGTCGGCTCCGTCTTCGACTCGGGCCTGCCCGAGGGCGCGAGGCGGACGCAGCAGCTTCTGCGCGAGCAGAGAGAGCGCGAGGCGGCTGAGAAGAAGCGACAAGCCGAGCTGCAAGACAAGAAGGACGGGCTGATGAAGGACATTTGGATGGGTGGCGAGGACGAGGACTGGTCCAAGAAGCGCGCCGAGGAGCATCGCAAGAGCTTCGAGGAGGGCAAGGGGCTGAGTGACATCATCATGGAACAGGTCATGGATGTCTGGCACGGGAACTGGAGGGCGGGAGCAAAGAAGGGCGGCGAGGAGGGCGACAAGTCGACGGGGAGCAGCACGGACGAGGCCCAGAAGAAGTGAGAGGAGCCGGGCGCAAGCGGGTGCATTCACGACTCGATGACTGGCGGCAATGTACAAACTGTATCACTACTTGTATGCATACTGGGGATGGGACGAATATCGACATGTGCATCTCCTACTGTTTGTTCAGAGTCGAGTTTGGCGTAGATACCTCGATAACAAGTCACGGTTGAGCGCAACAGGCATGCCTTGTGACTGACGCACTCATCATGTGACGCCGGGCTGTAACGGCATGGGATGCCTCTGTCTGGTGATTCTTGGAACATCATGTCATTACTAGGACGCTGTCCTGGGCTGTGTTGCCATTGTGTAACGCTGCGCGGACGATGCAACAGGCCGGACGCACGGTCTGACGGTGCCCCTGCTCGACGGGAGGCTGCTATCGGGATAAGTCGCTGCATCCTCGGCTGTTGCTGGACGGGACAGGCCGTGCCCGAATGCCCAAATGCCGTGGTAGTGGTGGATGCCCGTGCATGGCTCGACTGCCGCATGCCATCCCATCCACCGGCGCATTGACGCTGCCTCAATGCTCTCTGACGACATCCTAGCGGCCGAGTCAGAGGGCTCCACCAGGCGACCTGGGGGGCCCGGTTGACGTTGCGTCGTCTGCATGAACAGAGCTTGCGACGAACTAACTAACGGCTGCTGCGCGGGCGGCGGGAGGGAAAACGCGCCTGGCTGGTGGGTTGGATGCCCCCAGGCGGAGAGCCATCACTGCAAAACCACCAAGTACAGCAGGCTGAACAAATCACGAGAATCGCCGTGCCATTCCCCTCGTAAAATGTACCAAAGTGCCTGTTCCAAAGTTAGAAGCACCCGCAGATGGCGAAACCTTGCTGACGCACACCCGTCAAGCCACAGGCCAAGGCCGTGTCCCGCCCCTCTGTTCACTGTGTCCGCCGCCCCAGCTTCGCCTCGCGATGGATCTGATCAACGCCCAGCACTGCCCTCCCCAGCCCGAACAGCTCCACCACCACTGTTGATCCCTGTAGTCAGCTGCGGCGGGCGGCGTCGTGTCGTCGTGTCGCCTGTGCTGCGCTGCGCTGAGCCAACACATTTTGGGACCTTTTCCTCGTTTCTTCTCCTTCCTCTCTTTTTTTTCCTAACCTTTCATCATCATTCACCGTCGCCGCAACATCGCCATCCTCATCGCGCGTCGCCGCCGCTGCCTTGCACGCTTCCGACACGCGCACACCCACCCGGCGACTGAAACGTCTTCCCGCGCCCTGGGGACCCTGGGCTTGTAATTTACAGCGGGCTTCCTCGAATCACCGTCTCCAGCGGGCCGCGGCACAGCCTGGACTCAGACGCCACTACGTAATTCACAGCCAGCGCAGCGTGCCATCCGACCCCTTTGCGCCCGTCCCTCCACCAGCGCCTCCGCAGACCAACCACCAACATCCTCCTCAGGCACCACCCCTGGCCCTGTGCGCTCACAACGGGCACCACCTCAGACCACCCGCTCCTCGGGCACCTTCGTTCTTCAATCTTTCTTTTTCCCCTGCCGCATCTGGTCACACCGCGCCGCATCTCGCAGACGTCGCGGCCCCGTCATGGCGTCCAACGAATACTACTACGGCACAGGCCAACAGCGTCCCCACGGCGGCACGGCTTCGCCAGCTCCCTACAACAACGCTCACTTTGCTCCCTCGCCGCAGTCGACGCCCGCGCCCTCGTATCACTCTGGCAATCCTGGCCACGCGCCCTTCGCTGCGCCGCAAGACCACCCGCCTCGCACCGGGCCCTCACCCTTCGACACCGTCTTCGACGACCATGCCTACCCGATGAACTCCCACTCGAGACCCTATGCCGCCGGCAGCAACAGCAGCATGTCGCAGCAGGGCCTATATCAGGATACCGGCTACTATGGCCAGGCCGGAGGGGCATCATCAACGCCGCATGGCCCCAACGACATCCCTTTGCAAGATCAGGCGGGTAAGGGGCCCGACTTCAACGATCACATTTACGACGCACCCGAAGGCGCGCAGAGACGTCCGCGCAGCAAAAAGGGCAAGGTCCGGATCGGAGAACTTGGCATGTTTGGCGCCGATAGGAAGAGGATACCGTGGATCACGTACATCTTCACGATCGCCCAGGTTGGCGTCTTCATTGGCGAGGTCATCAAGAACGGTACGTCTTCGTCCTCTCCGTGAGGTTTTCACTGTGGCTAACGACGGACTGCAGGCATCTTGACCGGCTCGCCCATCATGATCAAGCCTCAGTTCAACCCCATGATCGGACCCTCGACGCAAGTCATGATCAACATGGGTGCCCGATACACGCCTTGCATGCACAACATCAAGGAGATCCAGGGGTCGACCATCCCTGTTCTCTTCCTCTGCCCGAATGCGACGCAGAATGACCAGTTCTGTCCACTGTCCGAGGTCTGCGGCTTTGGTGGCGTCCCGAATCCCACCTTCAACAACGCCGACCAGTCTCCCCAGCCGAACCAGTGGTATCGCTTCATCATTCCCATCTTCATGCACGCCGGCCTCATCCACATCGGTTTCAACATGCTTATGCAGCTCACCATTGGAAAGGAGATGGAGATGGCGATTGGGCCTATCCGCTACTTTCTCGTTTACATGAGCGCCGGAATCTTTGGTTTTGTTATGGGCGGAAACTTTGCGGCTCCCGGTATAGCTTCCACTGGAGCCTCTGGGTCTCTGTTCGGCATCATCGCGCTCACGCTTCTGGATCTCCTGTACTCTTGGAAGGAACGCCGCAACCCAGTCAAGGACTTGATGTTCGTTATTCTCGACATGGTCATTTCCTTTGTGCTGGGGCTACTGCCGGGTCTGGACAACTTTTCCCATATCGGAGGGTTTCTCATGGGCTTGGGACTAGGTGTGTCTGTCCTTCACTCGCCCAACTCGCTCAGGCGAAGGATGGACAACGACATTCCCTACTCGGCCGTCAACGGAGAGGGCACGGCGACCTCTCCCTCATTCTTCAAGAGCCCACTGGGCTTCTTTAAGGGCCGCAAGCCGTTGTGGTGGATTTGGTGGATCGTGCGCGCCGCCGCCCTCATCCTCGTCATTGTCGTCTTCATCGTTCTGCTGAACAACTTTTATACCGTCGGACACACCTGCAGCTGGTGCAAGTACTTGAGTTGTCTGGTAAGTAATACGGTGCTCTTGACGGCTGTAAGGATGATGCTAACTCGCATATAGCCTGTCAGCAACTGGTGCGAGCTTGGAACGATTCAGGAGCAGAAATCATAAAAAATGTCATGACCTAGGCCTCGGAGACTTGCAGTCACGGACTGATTTGATTACCTTTATTAGAGACTGGCTTTAGTCTTGCATCGCACAGCGACGGCGTTCACGAGAGGACCATTCTGGTTGAGGGGCATACTGGAAAACATGGCCATCGACGACGCACTGATGAACGGAGAGCATCACGCAGTTATGTGGAAGATTCAAGAATGGTACCGTACAGCGAGAAATACATTGTATTCTGCTATCAACATGTGAAGGGATCATGGATGTTTGCAAGCAAGTGTGCCTCGGGTCTTGCGACTGATGCTTCCCATCAAGGACTATGTGTGCAAGAGGGGAGTACTTCCACAGCTTTTGTAGCGTTGAAGAGCGAAACTCGGCGCGCGAAGTCACCGAGTATTGCAAAGGACGAGCAAGGCAACTCTTGCACAGAGTATCGGGCTCCCTTCAAATGCGGGCAGCATCCAGGCGTTGAGTCCACCCGGGCTGACACGGGATTTCTACAGCGTCTTTAGGGGCCAGTTTCAGGGGGCCGTCCACTGAAGCGCTTGGCGCCTGCAATCCCAGGCAGCAAATCGCCAACTCACGTGCAGACCTGGGGGGCCATTAAACACCCGGTGGGTCCGTCACGTCACGCTCGACAGGCGCGTTTCTCGCGGCGGGACACCCGTCTAGGTCGTGTCAGTTGCATCCGCACACTAACATCGTCCACACAACCCGTCCACCGTGGGGAGACTGACAATCCGACTCCTAAATGACACCGCGCTCCTAGATCGTCGTCCCCCCACGCCCACGAGAGCAACACCCCCGGCACACAGCTCGCCATGGCCACCGCATTCCTGCCCCAGAAGCGGGTGCTGGGCGAGGCGGGCACCCGTCAGAACATACCCTCGACGCCGGCCTCGGCCAAGAAGCGCAAGACGGATGTCTTCTCGTCGTCGCCCGCCGCGGGCCGCTTCCTGGGCTCCCAGATGGACCAGCGCGCGAAGCTGGGCTCCAGCCAGCCCAAGAGCGCCTTCGAGTCCGAGGTGCTCGAGAAGCTGAGCCAGGACATCTCGGACATGAAGCGCAACAACACGGAACGAGACCAGGTCTGGGAGCGGCCGCCCGTTGTTGACTTCGACCCCCGGCGCGATAATCTCTGCTTTCAGTCCATCGACGCCGAGGAGGGCACGCTGCATGGCGGCCGGGCTACGGTCAAGCTCTTCGGCGTGTCGGAGCAGGGCCACTCCATCATGCTGCACGTCACCGACTTCAAGCACTACCTCTACGTGCCCGCGCCGCCCATGTTCAAGGCGCAGGATGCAGCCGCATACAAGGCGTATCTCGAGACACAAATCGCCCAGCACCAACCTGTCATCCACTCCGTCACCATGTGCCCGAGAGAGAATATTTACGGCTTCCAGGGCAACAAGCAGAGCTATTTCCTCAAGGTCACCGTCACAGACCCCAAGTTCATCCCAAAGGTGCGCTTCACCATCGAGAAGGGCATGGCGGACTGGAAAGGCATGTGGGGGGCGAGAGAGAACGGCATCATGACGTACGACAACATCCAATACGTCTTGCGGTTCATGGTGGACTGTCATGTAAGTGTCCTGTGCCTCCTAATTGATGCGCGTGTGCTGACAAGATGCAGATCCAAGGCATGTCCTGGGTAGAAGCGCCCGCAACCAAGTATAAGCTCATCCCCGAGCAGAGCAAGCAGTCCAACTGCCAGATCGAGGCCGAAATATGCTATCTCGACCTCGTCGCCCACAAGCCGGACGGAGAATGGGCCAAGATGGCTCCCCTGCGAATAATGTCGTTTGATATCGAATGCGCTGGTCGGAAAGGAATCTTCCCCGAGGCAAACCATGACCCTGTCATTCAAATCGCCAACGTCGTTACCCGATACGGAGAGAAGAAGCCCTTTATCCGAAATGTATTCTGCCTCGACACAACGAGCTCAATCGTGGCCACGCATATCCTGGAGTTTGAGAAGGAGGAAAGGATGCTCAAATCTTGGCAGGAGTTTATGTTGAGCGTCGATCCCGACATCATCATCGGATACAATATTGCCAACTTTGACTTTCCGTACCTTCTGGACCGCGCGAAGCACCTCAAGGTCAACGGGTTCGAGTACTGGAGTCGTATCCCCAGCGAGCCTTCAAGGGTCAGGGAAACCAACTTTTCCAGCAAACAGATTGGCAACCGCGACACCAAGGAGACCAACACGAACGGACGACTGCAACTCGACCTGTTGCAACTGATTCAACGCGATCACCACCTCCGAAGCTACACGCTGAACTCGGTGTGCGCCCATTTCTTGGGTGAACAAAAAGAGGATGTGCACCACACCATGATCACAGAATTGTTCAACGGAACGCCAGAGTCGCGCCGTCGTCTGGCACTGTACTGTCTCAAGGACGCATACCTCCCGCAACGACTAATGGACAAGCTCTCCTGCCTCGAAAACTACACTGAGATGGCCAGAGTCACAGGCGTGCCGTTCAACTTTCTGCTGTCCCGCGGCCAGCAGATCAAGTTCATCAGCCAGCTGTTTCGAAAAGCGCTCGAACAGAAGCTCGTTATTCCGAATCTCAAGTCGCAGCAGTCGGACGAACAGTATGAAGGTGCCACCGTCATTGAGCCAACTCGCGGCTACTATGACGTGCCCATCGCCACACTCGATTTCGCCTCTCTGTATCCCAGTATCATTCAAGCGCATAATCTGTGTTACACAACCCTGTTGGACAAGAAGATGATTGAGCAGTTCAAGCTGGTGAAGGACGAAGACTACATCGTCACGCCGAATGGCGACATGTTTGTCACGACCAAGCAAAGAAAGGGGCTGCTGGCGCAGATTCTGGAGGAACTCCTCACTGCACGAAAGCAGGCCAAGCGCGAGCTGGCCAAGGAGACGGACCCCTTCAGGAAAGCCGTGCTCAACGGTCGACAGCTGGCTTTGAAAATCAGCGCCAACAGTGTGTACGGCTTGACGGGTGCGACCACCGGAAAGCTGCCGTGTCTGCAAATTGCCAGTAGCACGACTAGTTTTGGCCGCCAGATGATTGAGAAGACCAAAGACGAGGTGGAGAAGAAGTACAACATTGCCAACGGCTACAGTCATGACGCCCAGGTCATCTACGGTGACACGGACTCGGTCATGGTCAAGTTTGGTACCAAGGACCTAGCAGAGGCGATGAAGCTGGGCGAGGAGGCGGCCAACTACGTGTCGTCCAAGTTCGTCAAGCCGATCAAGCTCGAGTTCGAGAAGGTGTACTTCCCGTACCTGCTCATCAACAAGAAGCGGTACGCCGGCCTGTACTGGACCAAGACGGAAAAGTACGACAAGATGGACACGAAGGGTATCGAGACTGTGCGACGAGACAACTGCTTGCTGGTGCAGACTGTCATCGAGAAGGTGCTCAGGATGATTCTGATCGACCGTGACGTGCAAGGGGCACAAGAGTGAGTTTGCTTGTCTCACGGGCTTGCGAGTGTAGATTGCTAACGCGGGTGAACAGCTACGTCAAGGACACAATCGCCGACCTGCTTCAAAACAAAGTCGACATGTCGAAGCTAGTCATCACAAAGGCACTGACCAAGGACGACTACGCCGCCAAGCAAGCGCACGTGGAGCTGGCGCAGCGGATGAAGAAGCGCGACGCCGGATCGGCCCCCGGGCTGGGAGACCGCGTCGCGTACGTCATGGTGAGAGGCGCCGCGGGGGCCAAGAACTTCGAGAAGTCGGAGGACCCGCTGTACGTGCTGGAGAACAACGTGCCCATCGACACCAAGTACTACCTGGACAACCAGCTGGCGAAGCCGCTGGGGCGCATCTTCGAGCCGATCCTGGGCGAGACCAAGGCGCGGCAGCTGCTCACGGGCGACCACACGCGGACCATCTCGGTGGCGGCGCCGACGGTGGGCGGGCTCATGAAGTTCGCCAAGAAGACGCAGACGTGCATGGGCTGCAAGAAGCCGCTGACGGGCAAGCAGGAGAGCCAGGGGGCCGTGTGCGCCGACTGCGCGCCGCGCGTGGGCGAGCTGTACAAGCGCACGCTGGACAAGGTGTCGGACCTCGAGGTGCGGTTCGGGCGCCTGTGGACGCAGTGCCAGCGCTGCCAGGGCAGCATGCACTGCGAGGTGATTTGCAGCAGCAAGGACTGCCCCATCTTCTACATGCGCATGAAGGCGAGGAAGGACCTCGAGGACGCGGGCAAGGAGCTGTCGCGGTTCGACGCGGACCAGGCGGCCATTTGGTGATGTTGTTTTGTTTACTTGCTGCTGTTGGAAGAGACGATGAAAAGCAGGCAGGCAGGCAAACAGGCAGGCAGAGAAGCAGGCAGGCGGGCGTACGACTTATTATTAGCATGTCGGATGTGGCGTTTTGGGCGTGGGCAAGTTTCTTGGCGGGTGGAACGGGCAGGCTGACGTATCGCGGTTATGTGTACGGCCGCCGTCTATTACATGGCATCTGCAGGGCCTATGTACCAAATTATGTGTGTGTACAGACATGTGCTGTGCTGAAGTGGATGTTGTAAACTCTACGAGATGTGATGTTGATGTTCCTGTGCGCCTGCTTCATGCACAATGACGAACGATGTATGAGAGCAAGCCAAGCAGGAAATTGGCAAGCGGCTATCCATGGCACCGAGCCGACAATAGCCACGTCAGTTGGAGAGCAAACAACAGGTCGGTGTCCGACGGCGCGGGCGCGGACGACAACGGAGGCAGACACGGAGTCGGAGACGACCAGGGCAAGGCTGCCAGCGAGCCTCGCGCGCCGCATTCCGCAACTGCACCGCAGCGGTCCCCCATCCAGGCACGAAAATGAACCGGCACGCCCGATATCGCAGGGGGGCACAGAGGCGGCGCAGGAGTGGTATTGCCTCACTCGGCCGGTACGGCGATACGAAGGAGGGCCATTGCTCCGAGTCCCGCCGCGCGCGCGGGAGGGGCGGAGGTGGGCAGTCCAAATCTCGGTGTGCAGTAGTCCGGACGAGGACGAGTAGTTGGCGCAGGAGAGGGGGAAGGGGAGCGGGAAAGAAATGTCGCGTATACCAGTTTTCGCGGGCTTGCCTTGGCACTGCGTGGCCGCCTGGGCGAGCGAGATGGCCCGATTTCCAATCTCGGCGCGGCAGTCCCGACGGATGGGGATCCGCACGTCGACTCGCACGCACTGGACACGCCTCATATGTGGGGGGCAGTGCGGGACGCTGCAGACAGACCAGTCTTTAGCGGTGATTTGCATCTCGAGTCGACGTGCGCATAGAGCGGGCTCTCAGCTGTGTGTAAGCGTCGGTGGCGGTCGAGGTGTGCAAGGAGCGGTTCCGGGGGGCCGGTAACGGCGCGCGGTGGGGGGCAACCCTCTCGGCGGGCGTGCGTCCACGAGCAGCGAGCGAGACAGACAAAAGTTGCAGCATGGCAGGAACTGTGTGTGCAGCAAGTACGCACGTAGGAGGACCCTAGATGCCTAGGCAAGGTAAGAAACGGGGCCGCCCACGCCGTCGAAACCCACCATCCGCCAAAACCCTCGGCCGGCGCATCGCAGGCTAAGACGGATGCGTGAGCGAGGGCCGGCGCTGATTCGCCGGGGCGAGATCTGGCGACGCAATCGAATCTGTCAACGGCAATGGGCAAGGCGGCCAATCTGGAGTGCAGGACGGGGGTTTGCAACGGTGCTGATAGGGGGCGGGCGGACGGGCGTCATCGTCATCGCCATGTCGTCTCGTCTTGTCGTCTCACATCTGGGAAGTGCGGTGCTCGCGACCGGCCGAAGGGAGATGGGCGGCTCGTTGGCGTGCGACGTTCCGTCTGATGATGGATGGATGGACGGACGGGTGGCGGTGGTGGCCGTCGAGACAGAGAGGGCAATGGAGGGAAGAAATGTCACCAAGCATTCTCCTTATGTGTTGTTTGTTCGTTTTGGAGGATTTGGGCCACGGTAACAGCGCTGGGGGTTGCGGTTGCCATTTGCAGCAAGCACGTGAAGAATACGTACCCGAATTGCCTCGCCGCCTCAGGTTCTGCGACAACAGCATCAGGAAGGCACGCGAGCGAACACTTTGCCCATCGAATTGATCTCTGATCCATCAATCCACCCACCCATCCATCTTTGCCCGGCGACGCCACTCGAACTCGCGCCCACACCCATCCTGGACGCCGTGCCGTGGCCTGCTGCCATCCCGTCTCCAACACGTCCGTGTCCAACTCCAACTCGATGGCGGGCGGCGGCGTCCGCAGCCACCGCGACGGCGCCCGGCGATGATGGCACTGCGTTCGCTCCCTACACTTCCCGCACCAGCGCGGCGCAGCTCAGCACCGCACAGCGCAGTAGCACCACTTCGACCCGATGCTTCATCTCGTTTCGCGCGACTGCCGGCCGGCGACTGGCTGCCCTGAATGGCTGTTACCCTTTTCTATTTGCTTTGCCCTTCGGTTCCGCCCCCGGCTGCCCGCCCCCCATGGCCCCAAGTCGCCAACTGATAAGGCTCCCGAGCGCTTGCCACCAATTAATGCCCTAGCTGCGGCTACCTATCTGCGCTCCCCACCGCGCCCACGCGACTTTTCCGCCCACGGCTGGCGGACCCCTGCCCGAGCGACTTTCGGAGCCGCCTCTCACACCTCGACTCGCCTGTCCACGGACAGTCGAGACACCAGGCGCCGGGAGATGAAGGAGGACGTAACGTCACGCCTCCCGCGCTGCCGCGTCCGCTGCCGCAACCGCCGAAGTACGGTCGGCGACGCTGCCAGTATGCGCTCATCCGTGGCCCAGCCACGACTCGGATGCCCGAGTCGCGGAGACGGAGACTCCCTCCCCCCCCTTCTCCAGAGCGCCGCTCTCGTCCCTAGGCCGTTTATATAAACTCTCGTCCGCGTCTCCCATGGGCAAACCTTATCTTTGCTCATCTATCGTCCACTCGCCTGCCCTGTCTCTTGCTGCAGTGCCACCTGTTTCCTTGCTTTGCTAGCCTGTGCCACCCCCCGCCAGCATCGACGTCTTTGACTCTGTCCCTGAATAAAACAGGAGCCTCTCCCGCCTGCCACAAAGCCACCCTTTCCCTCCGCTCTCACCGCCGCCCACCATCCCAATGCACATCAAGCTCCAGGTCGCCGACAACATGTCGCAACTCCCCGCCGAGCCTGAGTTCCAGCAGGCGTACAAAGGTTGGTCCCTGTTCTCGCGAACACCACTGACTGAACTTTGCTGACTCGCCCGCTTCCAGAGCTCGCCAGCACTCTCGAGGACAGCACCCTCTTCAAGGAGCACCCCGAGTACCGCACCGCTCTCGAGGTCTGCTCCATCCCGGAGCGCGTCATCCAGTTCCGCGTCGTCTGGGAGGACGACAAGGGCCACCTGCGCGTCAACCGCGGCTACCGCGTTCAGTTCAACTCGGCCCTGGGCCCTTACAAGGGCGGCCTGCGCCTTCACCCCACGGTCAACCTTTCCATGTACGTGTTTGCCGATCCTTCGAATGGTTATCACGGGACATGAATCTGACAACCGGAATTAGCCTCAAGTTCCTCGGCTTCGAGCAAATCTTCAAGAATGCCCTCACTGGCCGTAAGTCGGAATCTTCGGTTCACATGACCAAGGGTGTGTAAGCTGACTTGATCGCAGTGAACATGGGCGGTGGCAAGGGTGGTGCCGACTTCGACCCCAAGGGCAAGAGTGACGCCGAGATCCGTCGTTTCTGCCAGGCTTTCATGCGCGAGCTTTCCAAGCACATCGGTGCCGATACCGATGTTCCCGCTGGTGACATTGGCGTCTCCGGCCGCGAGATCGGCTACATGTTTGGTGCCTACCGCCAGGCCCGCAACCGCTGGGAGGGTGTCCTGACCGGCAAGGGCCTCACCTGGGGCGGCAGCCTGATCCGACCTGGTAAGTCCCGATGAGACAAAATGAAAAACCTGTTGGAGATTGCCGCTGACATCCCCCGCAGAGGCCACTGGCTACGGTGTCGTCTACTACGTTGAGCACATGCTCAAGCACGCTGGCCGCGGCAGCTTCGCCGGCAAGCGCGTCGCCATCTCGGGTTCCGGCAACGTCGCCCAGTACGCCGCCCTCAAGATCATCGAGCTCGGTGGCACCGTCGTCTCCCTGTCCGACTCCAAGGGCTCGCTCGTCGCCGAGAAGGACGCCTTCACCGCCGAGCACGTCGAGAAGATTGCCGCTCTCAAGGCCGACCGCCGCGCCCTGACCGACTTTGAGCACGTCGGCCAGTACAAGTACATCGAGGGTGCCCGCCCCTGGACCCACGTCGGCAAGGTCGATGTTGCGCTGCCCTGCGCCACCCAGAACGAGGTCAGCCGCGAGGAGGCCGTGGCGCTCGTCGAGGCGGGCGTCCTCGTCGTCGCCGAGGGCTCCAACATGGGCTGCACCCAGGACGCCATCGACATCTTCGAGGAGCAGCGCCGCCAGAAGGGCAACCAGTCCATCTGGTACGCCCCCGGAAAGGCCGCCAACTGCGGTGGCGTCGCCGTCTCGGGTCTCGAGATGGGCCAGAACAGCCAGCGCATCAACTGGACCGCCGAGGAGGTCGACGAGAGGCTCAAGGGCATCATGAAGAACGCCTTCACCGCGGGTCTCGAGACGGCACAGAAGTACGTCGAGGCCAAGGACGGCGAGCTTCCCAGCCTCGTCGCCGGCAGCAACATTGCTGGCTTCGTCAAGGTCGCGCAGGCCATGCACGACCAGGGCGACTGGTGGGCTTAGACGAAACTTGATGTCTCCTTTTGATCATGACGGATTCGGTTCACGGAGTTTTTGGAGTCGACTCGGCAACGGGCCTTGATATGCATTGCGACGATTTGTTTTTGATGCTGGGAGAGACACATAGAGGCGTTGTGGCATGCCAGGACGACGGAGATTCCCCCGCAGCGTGTGGATTGAAGGAGCCTGCTGGAACGGCCGCATTTCGTTTTGACACGATTTGGTACTGGGTTTTGGCTGGCAGGTAGTTGGACTAGATTGTCCCGCCGATGAGCAACACCAATTGACGAACATGATGATAATCAATGGCCTCTCAAAGTGCTCGCGTGAACAGAAGACTTCGAAGACGGATGAGGCCGCGGGGCCGACGAGCCTGATCGGATCGTCGGACAACTTTTGACAGGGACCAAGCGGCTCCACTTCCGGCCCCGGCCAGACCCCTGTCGGGTTGCCGAATCGAGACACTTTGTGGGTGGGCTTCGTGACTTCGTTGTAACACAGCGATGCGTGGCACATGAACTGCCTGCCTGCTGCCTGCCTGCCCGCCTCTGCGGCCAACAACAAACACTCAGCTCGCCCGACCCAACGGCGCGCCCACGCCAAGCCAAGCCCAACAAGCTTCCCGTTTCGCTCACCACCACCCCCCTTCTTCGCGCCGAGGTCCCAACGCGGGTAGAAGGCCAGCTGAAGGTGCGTTGGGAGGCGTTGGGGGTCACGTAACGCAGTATTGCACACGGCGTTCCTGAACCCTCGGGGGGGGGG